ATTTCATCATTAGTATTATGGTACGTGGAAATAAAGTCATTGATTAGGTATTAAAATATAGGGAGAATTACAATAATATCTTAAAAAAGAAAAAAATTGCAAAACAAGTTCTAAAAGTTGTTATTCTTTATTCTATAATTTGTTATTATAGGCTGTTCAAATTGTTATTGAGACTTTTTAGTAATTACTTCTTTCTCTCGAGACTTGATTATAATTCTTCCAAAAATATATAAAGCCCCCTCACGGAAATGATGCTAGGTTCCTTATAAATCACGTCCAATCTAATCTAACCATGATAAAGCTTAGACAATTTAAAGTTAGATTATATTACAAAAAACACAGTAGTCCATTAATCTTAAGCTAATTAATTAGTGGTTCATCTAGCATATTAAAACATTTTTTTAAGTAACACTTAGTATTTTATAATATTTTTTTAACACTTAGTATTTAAGTTTAGGGTCCATATTGTTGATGAGAAAAATACTTTACACTAAAAATATGGAAATACTTTAAGATTAACTTCTATTGAAAAAAAATATTTTGTGGCCCTCAATTTATCTTAACCATTAAAAATTTATCTCAACTTGCACATCAAGCACTTAATGGATGATAATAATTTTTTTCAATCAATCTGAAATGTTTTTAAAGTAATGTTGTAAGAGTAAAGTACTTCCATCTAAGATTCTCTTTTTTTGGGAATATTTATATCAAACAACAAATTAGTAGTATTTAGTTTTTTTTTGGCCAACTATTTAGTTGTTTTTGACGCATAGGAAATTATATAAATCTCATACTACCTTTTATTCTAATTATAAGAACTAATTGACTAATTTGAAGAGATCAAAAAAAGAAGTTAAGTTGGTTATTTGTAATAAATATGTATTGTCTTTCCTAAAATATCCTTATTAATTAAATATATTGGCTAGAACTACCATTGTTAGAAGGACTATTTTGAAAAAAAAAAATATAAATATGAGAAACAAAATAGATTGAGATCTTATATTTAAAATCAAGGTTTTATATTACGGAGCGGGGTAGTATTATAATGATTTTTTGTGAGCTGATTTATTATTGTGGGCCAAAACTCCAAGCTGAAGCCTGAAGCTGATCTAGCGATTTTGCCCATCTGGACTATTTCTTGTGTAGAAGCCCAGCCCACAATTAAAACGCAAAAACCCTAGCCACTTCTTCATTCCTTTCTTTCTTATATCTTCTCAATTGAAGCAGGGAGCGGCAAAAGGTTCCTGCGCGAGGGAGTTGCGTGAGAGCCAGCGACAATGGTGTCAGGATCAGGGATCTGCGCAAAGAGGGTGGTGATCGATGCTCGTCACCACATGTTGGGTCGTCTGGCCTCTATCGTGGCCAAGGAGCTCCTCAATGGCCAGAGGGTCGTTGCGGTGAGGTGCGAGGAGATCTGCATCTCTGGTGGCCTCGTGAGGCAGAAGATGAAGTACATGAGGTTCCTTCGCAAGCGTATGAACACCAAGCCTTCCCATGGGCCCATCCACTTCCGTGCTCCAAGCAAGATCTTCTGGCGCACTGTTCGTGGGTGAGTTTCTCAGACCAAGCATTTCTGTTTTGTTTTCATTTATTAGGCATTTGTGCTGGCCTTCGGATCCTCAGAAATATTGTGATTCATTTTTCACTGACCTGATTTTTTTCTCGAATGTTGTTCCTTGCTGTTAAGACAGTCTGGGTTGTTGGCCTTAGTTAATGTTCTTGTCAAATTTCGGAATTCATTGAATATTGATGCTTGCGGACTACTTTGAATGCCATACTTCCTGTGCCAAATCCAGGGAATGAATAAGTCATTCGTAACAAGATGAGGCATGTTTTCCTTTAAGCAATACATCTGTATGTTTTCTAGGGCAGCAGCTCTACTGAGTTAGCTTGGTCATCAAATGGAACCGTTTGCCATGAGCAACATTAGATGCTAAATTTGAATTGATAGCTAGGGTAGTTAATTTCTTTTAACAAGGACGCTTGTATGTATGGCCATCAATGCTGACTATTTCCTCTAGGGTAGTTAATTCATTTTAATTATTCTCCAGAATACTACTCTGTTTATAAGAAATTGCAAATTATGTTTTGTTTTTATCTAGCTTATGTTATGTTATTAATTGGTAATGTCTTTATCTATAGAATGATACCCCACAAGACAAAGCGTGGAGCAGAAGCACTTGCTAGGTTGAAGGTTTATGAGGGTATTCCCCCTCCATATGACAAGATGAAGAGGATGGTTGTCCCTGATGCTCTGAAGTAAGCTTTGTAGTTCTACTTATCTTAACCCTTCCCATGTTGGCAATCAGCAATTGAGATTATGAGATTTTGGGTATTTGTATCCACTTTTCTCTAACGAATTTTGAACTGAATGGAATCAGAGTATTGAGGCTTCAAAAAGGACACAAATACTGCTTGCTAGGAAAATTGTCATCCGAGGTCGGATGGAACTACTATGACACTATCAGGGTGAGTGCATCGTGCTTGAACTCCTTCCTTCATCGAACTTATAATTACATTCCACAAATGTTTTAACAGGCCTTTTTGTAAAATAGACTCATCATATTATGTCATTAATTATTCCTATAAACTAATTGCAAGGACCATTTGAGTCAGATATGTGCATGTATATTTGATCATTTAGGACTTGAAATTCTTTGTTCATCCCAAGATTTTTTTAGGGATTATGAAACTTGTGATAATTGAGGGGAACATTTGGTGTGTCTGGTGAAGTTTTTGATCATTGTATTACTCACAGGAGTTGGAGAAGAAGAGAAAGGAGAGGGCTCAATTGGTTTATGAGAGGAAGAAGCAGCTCAACAAACTGAGGGTGAAAGCTGAGAAGATCGCAGAGGAAAAGCTTGGTCCCCAACTTGAAATCCTTGCTCCCGTTAAGTACTGAGTTGTCAATTTTAGGTAGTTTTTCTGAAGTTTTGGCGAGAGTTATACCATATTGAACTCTTCATTTTTGTTGCTTGTACCTTGTGTTAGACTCCTACTCTGTTACATCTTGAAAGCTGTTTTTATTTATATTTTAGAGTTACCTATGTCGTTTAGATGTTTTATTGTCTTCAAATGAGCTGCTTGTGGTTTTGCTTACAAGGAATGAATCTTTATAACCTGAATGCTTCTCATCACAAGCCCCGTTGATGGGCTGTGTGCATGATGTTTGGGGGCACACGTCAAGTGTAGTGTGTTTTGATGTGGCAAGTGTGAAAGTCGCCGTTAGTTTAAAACGAAAATCTGTAACTTTCCCATTAATACTGTAAGATTATAATTTGATGGTTAATATTTTTTAACTGGGTCATAATTGAGGGGGTCTATATCCTGAGGCTGAGGCCGGGAAACTTTTATTGTCTTGGGGGCATCGAGAGGCTAGAGAGTGTTGAAAGTTTAGTTCTTTATTGGCTTTGTTGCTCTCTTATTTTGTCCAACAATGAACATGGTTATCGAAGAGGGACGATTTTTTTCGTGAAATCGCGAACTTACGATTTCAGTGAAGACGACATGTGTTCTAATTTTGCTTGTGTGCCTACAAAAGAATGGAACAAGAAAAATCACGCGGGATCTACTTGTTCAAAATCTCAACTTAGAAAAGGGTCAAGGTGCTAGCTGAGGATCCTGAATCTGATCTTATTTGGCACAAGCCTGGCGAATTTGGCACCCTGATTTTTTAATGGTTTATTATAGTATTTTGATCTTAATTTCGGGCATATTAGTATTTTAATGTATTTTATTTATAATACTTATTTTTTTAATGAATTTATCTGAATTATAATTTGATGTATAATCTAATATCACAAAGATTATATCATATTTATCAGAATTTAATAATTTATTTGATCTATTTAAATTAGTTAAGTGAAACTTATAGTCTCTAACAATTGATCAAATGCAATGATATCAAAAATTAAAAGAACTTTTTCAGATGGTTTTCACAAGTACCTCTTCTTTGTAGTGTTTTTACTTTTTATTTGGCTATATTAAAATATTTTCACAAAGTTAGGTATTTATTATTAATTTTAATAAATATATTTTGTACGAATTACTCAATATTTTATATTCTTATTTAATTTTAATTAATAATAATTTTGAAAATAGTAAAAATGGCAGCTAATTTTTTCTCTTAAAACAAACTTCGCAAAAGCATTCCAACAAATACCGAACATTCCAATCCTGGAGTTTCCAGGCTACTTATTCTGTTCTAATACGAATGTCATCATGCCCAATCCAAGTAAAGTAATTCACTAATTCTCATTAATTCCATCACAATGTCAATGCAGATGCTTTTTCCAACCTTTTTTTTTTTTTTACAATAAGAAAAATTAATACTCTAATTATAAAATGAGTCTTATATTTAAGATTTGAAGAGGAATAGGTAGATTCTCGTTATTGTTGTTGTGTTTTTTGGCCAACTATTTTCATAGTTATCTTATATTAGTAATTGATAACTGATGAGATGACTCCCATCAAATATGTGTGTGTGTGTTAGGAAACTGTTATTAACATTAATTTTTATTTTTATGTGGATAATGAATAAAATTTATTTCCTTATTTTTTATTCTGTATTTCCTATTTATATACTTCTCCGGTGTTTAATATAAGACCATTTTAACTAATTTGATTAGATTAAGGAAGTTAGGTAAGTTAGTTAATTATAAGAAAAGTGACATGTTTTTCCTAAAACACCATAATCATCTTTTTTAATACCTCCTCTCCCTCTTCTACTTAATTATGGTTGAGGGATTATCTATAAGGGTAATTTAGAAAAAATTGATAAATATGAAAAATGGGTCTTACATTTAAGATCAAGACTAACTCAAAAATTGGGTCCTATATTAAGGACCAGAGGAGTATTTCTTAATGATGGGCATCCCCGGCTTTGTCCTGTTGACTGTTGTTGAACAGCTTCACTTAAACGACGCAGTTTTGTATGAAGCCAAAAAGTTTCAAAAGGTCGGAGGGATTAATTGGAGAATCGAAGTCATCTCGCGATTTCCGAGCTCTTTCCCCATTCTGCTCGATTCTTCCGCCCTAAAATCACGACTTCTCTGAAATCCTGATCATCCTGAAATCGAAAGCGAATTCGGTTCACGGTTAAAGCTCTAAACTGCAATATTACTCAATTTTAATCGTCAAAGGAGAAGACCATGTGGGCTGCTTCCTGCCTCGCATCATGCTGCGCGGCTTGCGCTTGTGATGCGTGCCGGACGGCGGTATCAAGTATCAGCCGCCGTTCCGCTAGGATTGCCTATTGTGGGCTATTTGCGTTCTCGCTAGTTGTTGCATGGATTCTTCGCGTAGTTGCTGCACCCTTAATGGAGAAAATCCCCTGTAAGCATTTGAATGTTTTGCTTCTTGATCTCTATCTGTTTGTTTGTGGGTCTTGTTGTATCACCTCTTGATCACGCAAGAAAAATAAAATATTTCAATTTATTTTACATGTTTGTGATTTGGATAATTGATTTCTTTATGAGTTTCAACAATGATTTGTCACTGAAAATTTGAAGCGCATCGTCAATATTGGTAGTTTTATCATAGATAATTTTGGATTTTCATAGATATTTCCAGGAAGCTCGAATAGACTATTATTGCCCGTCTGAGCTGTGCAGACAACTGGATGTCTTGCAGATGATAGTTGGGGCTATCAAATCGATCAGCTATTTCCAAAAGTTAAAACTTTCTGTGCACCTTGGTCGTAAATATTCTTTTTGTTGGGTTCTCTCCTCAAAAGTTAAAACTCTATTTTTATTGCACTCTGTTGGGAAGTTTCGTTATTCAAATTTATCAAAATCTATTAATGTAACATGTAAAATCTCTGGGAGTCAAACTATTCATGTGCGTATGAAGCTTCTTGAGTTCTTTGTTTTTCTAATTCTTTTAATCTTTCTTAACATATTTCATTGGATTCCGTATAATTTCTTTTATTCCTTCAACCTGTTTCTACGCATTTTGACATGATTTACATGTAAGAAAAACTAGTTACAATGTTAAAATTTTTTGATGTTGTTCAGTCTCATGCGTCATATGGAGAAATATATTTAGTTGTTGTAAGTATTATGTAATTTCCATAGCCACAGAGACCGTGTTCATATATAGTTATGTTTCCCCAGCTAAAGCTTTACTGCGAGCAAATTAGTGTCTAACTGGGTATAAAATATCTAGAGATTCTATGCTGCAGAATCAGCTGTGCTAGTATTTTATTAACCAAGATGAGGATGGCGTTCTTATTTCAAGGTCAGGATTAATCCAGTATACTTTTGTCATGGCTGCAGGGATTAATCACTTTGCGCACACACCTAGCAAAGAATGGTTTGAAATTGATGCAGTTCTGCGGGTTAGCCTGGGAAATTTTGTCTTTTTCACTATTCTGGCAATTATGATGATTGGCGTAAAAAGCCAAAAGGATCCCCGTGATGGTTTGCACCATGGAGGATGGATGATGAAAATCATATGTTGGTGCCTCTTGGTCATCTTCATGTTTTTTCTTCCAAATGAGATTATTGATTTATATGGTAAGTAGTTCTTAATAATTTAGTTTTATTTATTTGATTTTTGATTCATTTTCTACAGTAAAGTCCCAAGCTTATTAAGCTATGTGAATGTGAATTTGAGGGTGCTATGTGCTAAGACATTCTATCTTAGATCCGTTATGCAATCTTTTAAGAAATTGTATAATCATTTGAAGTTTTATGGAAGTATAAGGATGTCATTACTGGCATACCTGGACGTAGCCCTTTGCAAAAGAGATTTCTATGTTGAAACAACCTGAAGTTAGTCGTTTAGTGGTTAGCATCACAAGATATTGAGGCAAAATGTATTGTATGGAAGCTTTAGATTATAAAATGCTAAAAGGCTTACTGACCAATGATAAAGATTATGAATTGAAAGAATTCAGACATGACATGCTTTTTCATGATATTCTTTTGACATGCCAATCTTCCTATGTCTAGATTCTTATGAAATTTCTATTGTTTGCAGAAACGTCATCAAAGTTTGGCTCAGGTTTGTTTCTTCTTGTTCAAGTTGTGCTGCTGCTGGATTTTGTTCACAGATGGAATGACACATGGGTCGGATATGATGAGCAGTTCTGGTGAGCCTAGCCTTTGCTATACTAACTCATCTTCTCTAGTGTAATTTGCTTTACCTGACATGACAGTTTTAAATTATCTTATTATTTTTTTATACAGGTACGTTGCTCTGTTTGTAGTTTCTCTTGTTTGTTATGTGGGTACGTTTGCATTCTCTGGCGTTCTCTTTCACTTCTTCACAGCATCTGGACAGGACTGCGGCCTCAATACCTTTTTTATTACCATGACCCTGATTTTTGCATTTGTTTTTGCTATAGTCGCTTTGCATCCTGCAGTAAGTTCATTATTTGATTTTATTGTAGTGAACTTCTATTAAATTTCTTTGAGTCAATTCAAATTTGTTGATTCTGTTGTCTTCTGGTATCAGATTGCTGTTCTTGTTTTTGTCTAAGCACTGGTTGAATCGAATTATTTTGAACAGGTAAATAGTAGCATCCTGCCAGCTTCAGTGATATCCTTATACTGCACTTATCTCTGTTATAGCGCTCTGGCCAGTGAACCAAGAGATTATGAGTGCAATGGTCTTCACAAGCACTCAAAAGCTGTTTCCACTGGCACCCTCACTTTAGGCTTAATTACAACTGTTCTGTCAGTTGTCTATTCTGCTGTAAGAGCTGGATCATCAGCCGCAGCGCTTTCTCCACCAAGTTCACCTCGTGCTGGTAATTGCCAAAATCTGAAGTCTGTAGTGCCCCAAAAAAAAAAAAAAAAGCCACTTTCAAAAGTATCACTGTTTCACAACATTATCAGACATTGATGCCACGAAAGAAATTATGATTTGTCTTATTGATATTCATTAGAAATTGCGTCAGATTTCCTGTTTAACCACAGGTGCTAACTAATAACTGTTCATCTGGCTTTTGTCTGCAGGGAAGCCTTTGCTTCCTATGGATGCCAAGGAGGAAGAGGAGAAGGAAAAGGCAAAGCCGGTCACCTATTCATATGCCTTTTTCCACTTAATTTTTTCCCTCGCTAGCATGTACTCTGCAATGCTTCTGACTGGATGGACAACCTCTGTTGGGGAGAGCGGGAAGATAGTCGACGTAGGGTGGCCTTCCGTGTGGGTTCGCATCGTCACTTGCTGGGCTACTGCTGCACTGTACATATGGTCTCTTGCTGCTCCTATCCTCTTCCCCGATCGGGAGTTCTAAGTGCCCTGCTACTCAGTTGCAAGATTCTGAAGAAGGGTTTATCTTATCAAGTGCTATATATGTAATATATCTCTGCTATGGTGTGTTACTTCTATCGTATCATGTGTGGCCTGGAATAAATGTTTGCTTGACATAATGCAAAATTCCGAGTGGCAGAACTTGCTTGTATGGCTAACTGTTTGATACCCTGAAGGATTTGTTCACTATTAGGATAATTTGATATCATCCTCTCAAGGACTAATGGAAGGCCAATATGAGCTTTGTTTACTGTATGGATATGATCAAATTAGTAATTGAAGTGACGTGAATTAAGAGAGCATTGCTTCTTGGTAAGGCCTGTGGGGATAGAAGCATGAAGTGTTCACCTTTACGTGAATAAACGGAAATGTTGAGCGAAAAAAATTTAAAAAAAGAAGAAGAATGAGACGAAAGAAAGAAAGAAAATTGTATGGTAAGCAACCAACAATCCCTTCCCGTATGATGAACAAGTTTCTTGCTTTTTGTTCGGAATTATGTTAAAATTACTAGTGTATGAATGTGAGATATATTTTTTGTAACTCATTTTTAATGAAATATATCCTCTTAAAAATATGTATGAGGACAATTGGTTAAGAAATGTTAATGGATTAATTAATGGATGATATTTTTAAAAAATTAAATTATACTACAAATTATTATTCCATGAAAATGTATAATTTTAGCAATGATTTAGCTAAGAAATTGTGAAAGGATAAAATTAAAAGAATATAATTAATATCTCATATTTTTCATGTAAAATGACTTATAAATTAACCAACTGTTTTGGTAAATCCAAATCCTATCAATTTGTTTGTTAAAAAAATAGCAATCCAGCTTCGGTTTAGCGCTCCACACCTCCGAATTCTGAGACTCGGATCCGGAGCAGGCTTATCCAAGTAGCCAAACACGTCCCATCAGTAGGCGTGGTCATCAAAGGTGGGAATTCGCAGAACAGAAACGATCGATCGATCTCTAGACTGTGAGAGAGAGAGTGTGGAAGTGAGAAGCAAAGTCAGGGAAGATGGGAGGAGGAATGGAAGCCCACAAGAACAGGTTCATAGAGGATTGGGGTGCTGCTAGAGAGAATCTCGAGCACAATTTCCGATGGACTCGCCGCAACTTGGCCCTCGTTGGCATCTTCGGCATCGCAATTCCCGTCCTTGTCTACAAGGGCATTGTCAGAGAATTTGTATGTCCCTCAATCTTTCTGTGATTTCCTACTATTTTTTAATTTGAATGATTTCGCTTTTATGTCATTTGATTGCCATTTGCTGCTGCTTTAGGATAGATCCGTCAATGCCCTAATTTTCCCTCGTTTTAGTTTACTTTCCATGTGGTGAAAATTCTGGATAGTCATGTTCACTCGTGATAGTTCTGCGAAAGAATATTTGTGGCAGCCTATGGTTAAAGATGCCACCTTTTTCCCCTCTTGTATGTGCATTTTCTGCTTATGAAGTAACTTTCTGGAGAAAGACGGAGGCAGAAATGTCGGATGCGGGAAGATTATGTTGCTGCCTTGAGGGTACTTAAGGTTGTTTGTCTGGAAAGGTCTAGAGTAGCTTGGATGATGTGGCAAGACATAGTGGTAGTGTTGCTGGACTTAGAAGCTATAAGTTAACTTCCCACTGTTTCTGGCTTGAAAAGAATAGCTCGTCTGGAGTGATAAGAATGTGGCAACATGATAGAGTATTTTTAATTGTTGAAATAGTTAGATACTTGGAACTTTGATTAGTACAGTCGGAGATTTTTAATTGTTGAAATAGCGAATAAGAATGGCAGAGCATTTACGACTGTCTTGTCCATGCAGTGTGGAAGTATGAGAGCTTATCTGAATCAATGGTTGTATTGCAATATATATATTTTAATGTGTTTTCATGAAATGGATGGCTGCTGGCAGTCTACAGAACCTACTATTAAATACAATATAGGAAATTTCACATCATATATGATTTCTTTAAGGATCCCTGCCTATACTGGATTTTTCTGGTTGAAAATGATGTGAGTTCCACATCCTTGGGCACAGCTTCATCCTTGGGTATACTTCCACTGCCAAATAAAATTTGAGCTTAACTTGGCTCTCTTTTGTTTGACCTCTATTTCGTGAATTGTGATACTCCTTAGGTTCTATATATGAGATGATATATTTCTCAAAATTTTCCTTAATGTTATTTCCTATATACTATATGCATGAAAGTTTGTTCTGTGTCTTGATTAGTTTGTTCCGTTTACAGCATATGCAAGACGAAGATGCAGGCCGACCATATAGGAAGTTTCTGTGAGAATTTGACAAATCCTTTGTAATAATTGTGGGGCTTGCGAAGATGAGAACTTAAACGAGACCACAAACATGTGCCTTTTCTTCTCTCCACTAAGCGTTTTTCTATCTTCTCTTTGGAGTGATAAAACCGGAAGACCTTGTATGAAATCATTTGGTGTTGGACTTGATTACATTGCAGTTTATTTATTGCTATTTTTATAGAAAGGAATTGCAAGTTGTGTTGTTTCACTCATCATGAAAACAGCTACACCACACCAATAAACAGTCGTGGCTGTACTCTTCATCTGAATCCAGAAGAGATGCCTTTTTTATTCTGGGTGTTTTTTAAATAAACAGGGAGAATTACAGATGCTATGGATAATACAGTAGAAAGGGCTAACTGTTAGAAAACATTTTACATTTTACTTTATTGGCAATTAATAAATCCTTATATCTTAACAGGGTGATATCAAGAAAGACGAGGCTTTCGTTCATATTTTCGGTTTGTTGGGCTAGTCATTTTATATACTTTTCCAAACACATGGATATAGATGACTATACTTTTCCAAACACATGGATATAGATGAGTGCTGGCCCAAATATTTTGTGGGGAACTGTTAATGCCTCAACTGAATTAGCACATATAATGGCATTTTTGTATTATTGTCCACAAAACATTTGAGCCAACGCTGATGGAGACCACCCTTATTGAGATAAAGACTTAACCCTATCCAAGTCTGCATCAGCTCAGCCATTTCAAAAGAGACGTAAGATTCATTTATTGCTGTTCGGTTTCTATCACAATATTACAACCACAATGGCACAATGTGGCAGACTTATGAACATTGCCAACCGTGGGCGAATTCAATGCTCTTCTTTCATATATTGGAAATACAAAGGAATGGAATTTTGGACTGGACCATGTATGTATATTGCGCATTATTCATTATTAATTGCGTACAGTGGGGTATGCCAAAGTTTTTTATATCCTTCCAAATTACTAAGTTGGGGAGTTTAGCAACCAGCTTCAGATGTCAGCTACGATTGCCTGAACCTGCACGGGAACTATTATTGAGCCTTTTATTTTGTGTATGTGACCTTCCTGTTGAAAGAATGTAGTATTGGGAAAATGGTTTGGATTGGTTCAGTTTCTGCCTGCTTCATTGATTCTAAAACTCCCTTTAATTTACATGCATTATTCGACTCAAATCTTGTCCGAGTGCATAAAAGCCTAAAATTACAAATGAACATTCATGTTAATAAACAATAAAGTAATAATATTTTCTATTCAACGTCTTTATATCCATCACGAGGCTCATGAAAAAGGGACACCTTACAAGTAAATGCTCTCTGATTTCAACTTGTGATCACAAAAAGAACTTGCCGAGGTTACTTGCAACGTGCAAAGTGACTATCTTTCACTGTGAGTTTTAGGGGCAAAGCAATTTTCAAGATCCTCCATATGAACATCTGGATTTTGAACAGAAGTTGCCACTTTCAGTTTCAGATATGTTTCCAAGCTACTTGCTACAACGATCTGCTACTCTATTCTACCTTTCCATATCAAAGTATCATGTTCATCAATCATTGGAAATCATGGGTCCAGAATAATCATACTGAGTTAGAATTCCATATTTTAAATGATAATGCTTTGAAACATGTTATGAAATGATATCGGATGAACACCTGCAATCAAACATACGGCTGGGTTCACAAGTGTCAGATTATGAATATTCTGGCTTCCCATTTGGATTTGCATGTTGCTCTTTTGATTATTATTTCCCTTCTGCTCATCAATTCCACAAATTAATCACCACCATATGGTAGGTCATCATCATGATATTCCTTCAGTACTAGTTTGCTTTGCAGTAATTACTCTACTTCACCGCTCCATCAAAATAGGAATAATACATTTGTACTTTTGTGGGTGAGTGGCACCGTCAACAATATTGGGTTTCATTCATTTTCTGATAATAAACTTTTCATGCTTCTTTTATTATTTTATATTTGAATTAATTTCTCATGGCTGCTGTAAACAAATTACCGTGGAAAGAGTAGATACAAACATTGGACGAAGTATCCACGCTTACTGTGCTACAGTGTCTCGAGCAAAATTGTTTTAATAATAAAATACCTGTACTTAGCACCAAAAAAAAAAAAACACAATGCATGCAAGAGCTTTGGTGGCCATGTATGAATATTTAAGGAAAATTACACTTGGGTCTTGAGAAATGAACTAGGTCTTAAGAAACGAATCTAATGACAGTTAGGCCGAAGAATAAGTGGTAAATGTCTATTCAATTAGGTGCTAACATAGTAATATGCTAATGTTGTAAATTAGGTATTTGGATCTTACCATTATGTTTCGTTAAATATTTTTCGGAACCTTAGGTTTGAGACCCTACAATCATTCTTCCTGTTATTTAATATTAATTGTTAATTCTAATAAAAAATCACCAGCGGTATATCCGTACATATGTTAAATTTATACAGAAATTTATGCAAATCTAATGCTTGGGAAGCAACGCCAATAAAATGTGCCAGTATGGCTGCGTCCAAGATTCAATTTTTATGTTGCTTCCCCCATTTGTAAACTAATGTGGTCCAGAATCCCACATGAGAAACGAGACAAGTGTTCTCGTTTTGCTGGTCTCCTCCGATTATTCAATACGATGTGGTACCACACCAAAACCAAGTGAACTGAACAAGCTATGGACATAATGCACGCAGATACAGACAGTAGGTGGGTCATGCATGGCCACGAGGGTCCAGAACCAGCTGGGTGTGGAGAGAGAAAGAAAGGTAAAGATATTGCGATATTGTGGTACAGCTCTGCCCTGCCTTTCTCTTCTCACTTGATCTTCAACCTCGTTTCACCTCCATGTCGGTGGCATCATTTTTTCTCTTTCACTTCCCGCCCTTTTGGCTGTTGGAGCTCTTTATTAAGCCTTTCTGTATCCAACTTTGTTTACCACCCCCAGTTCATTACTATAGAAGGCCATTCCTTGTGATTCCAGTTTCGCTAGTGAATCTGCGGTGTGTTCATTTGCATTTACCTTTTTGTCACCTGGGAGGACTCAGTTATTTATTGCCCTTGTCTTTTGAACTTTCATTTTCATCTCATTGGATTTGGTTATCCTCCGAAAAAATCAAACTTGCCCTCCACTGGCATTGCTTCCCTCCTCTTTCTTTTGGGCTCCATTGCTCTCTTGAGCGTATTCCCTTCAAATCCGAGTTTAAAGTTCTGGGAAAGCTCTATTTCGTTTTACCATTGTCTTCTATTTTTCTATATAGACCCGGGCTGCCAGACCAATGTGCAAAACAAACAAGAGTTCATGGGGCATGAAGCTGTGGTGGTTGGTTGGGTTTGTAGGATTGGTGATTATCAAAGCGGTCGAAGGTTTCGACAATACCAGTGTGACAGAGATGGATTATGTCAAGAGGAGGGTTTTCAATAACAGGCCCTTAATGGTGGGTATCACTTTTATTGATGGAGCTGCTGCCAAAGGCGCAGGTATTTCTTCTTCCTACCTAACCGTTTTTTCTGCATTTATTTTTCTTTCCAAGTGACGGTTCTTTTCTTTTTAATATTTTGTACATATGCTTCTAAAATCTGCTTGCTTAAGTTGACGGGGCCACCAAAAATTATTTTGTTCTTATGGTGGCTTTTCTCATAGTATATTATTAGTTTCACTTATGAGCATCTGAGCATGGAAGAAGCACTCAAGCAATGGTGCCTACGCCGTCATCATTTGAACATTAAGAACCATGAAGATTTAACCATTAAGAATATGGGCAACAAAATCCCTATCAGTAAGAGTAACATAGTTATAAGTTGCTTGTCTCGTTTGGGATTATTTTGACTGAGACTTGGAGGCTAAGTAGCCTAAACAAACTTTCCCAAATTACATTCTTTAATTTAATTGAGATCTTGCGTTTGATGTGTCAACTTTCAAAACCTTAAAAGCACTATATAGGTCACTGCTTTGAAATGAATCAAACTTTACCAGATAATTTCCCAGTATCATATAGCATGGCTTGCATTCTTCATGTGCAGTTTGTCTGGATGGATCTTTACCAGCTTACCATCTTCACCGTGGTTATGGTTCAGGATCAAATAGTTGGCTTATACAATTGGAGGTGCGTGTTTCACTGTTCAATTTATTGTATTTTTTAATTCTAAAATACGGTTAAAGCGAGTGATCATACCTTGATCAGCTGCAATGTTTAAGCTAATGCGTTCTTAATTGACTCTTAACTACTTAAGAAAGTAAGCTCAACTTATTGTACAAGTAGTTCTTCTGGTGCATGCTTCCAGAAATCAAAAGAAATTAATGAAATTGAGAAGCTTTTGCTTCATTACATTGGAAGGAAGCCTTCTTTGCCCTCCACCTTAGCTGCAGATATAATCTTAGTCAATCGGGGTATGATTTGTATGGTCAGGACCTGATAGTGTTTTGTTTTTTGTTTTTTTGGTTTTTTGGCCAAAAGGACCTGATATTGTTAAGATAGGTACGTGTGGATTTAACTTGTTCCACCTTAATTGATTACTTCAGCAAGCCTTTTCATGACAGGGAGGGGGCTGGTGTGGAAATATCAAAACTTGTGAGTACAGTAAGAGAACTCGTCATGGTTCATCTAATTTCATGGAAAAGCAGATTCCATTTATTGGAATTTTGAGCAACAAAGCTGAAGAAAACCCTGGTCAGAACGCAAACTCAGCATCACTAGATTTTCCATTGTTCACATGCTATTCTATTTGCACTGGAAATCAACTTCATCATTCTGCCTGATGAATTTGTTTACAGATTTTTTCAACTGGAACAGAGTAAAAATTCGTTACTGTGATGGTTCATCCTTTGGCGGGGACAGTCAAAATAAAGTAAGTGGCAAAGCAGGTCTATTTTCAATGTAATCTATTCCTTGAGCCATGCACTGTGTGAAGTATGATTTGCAGCGTCTAGTCGAATACTTTTTCCATGCTAGCATAAAAGTTTTTTCAAGTTTTCATTCGTAGGAGCCAGAATTTTTCCTTCTAATTTTGTTCTGTTCTGCAATTTTTAGAAGTTTACAGTTATGGTGGTTTTGCTATCTACTCTTAAGGCATGGCATTTTTAATTCTTTATTTGTCATAATTTTCCATCTTCTTTTCTCAGCTTACCTGTTAATTTGGTTTTTGTTCATTTTTGCTTTATATTTGTTGAAAGTAAAATTAAAATGTCAAGTCAAGACAGCTATTTGAAGGGTTTGATCTCATAGTATTATCTGTGGTGGATCATGATGGTTAAGAATGTTGTTGAATCACATCTAATTTCTTCTTTGATCCGTAGGCTGCGGGTCTGTACTTCAGAGGACAACGCATCTGGGCAGCTGCTATGGAGGATTTAATGTCAAAGGGCATGCGCTATGCTAAACAGGTTTACATGACAGTTTCAGCAAAGAAACGATAATTAGCTGCTTGACTTCTGTTTGATTTCATTGATTTGTCCAATTAGGCTCTTCTATCTGGATGTTCTGCTGGAGGATTAGCATCTATACTTCATTGTGACGAATTTAGGGGACTGTTTCCTGCAACTACAAGAGTCAAATGCTTAAGTGATGCTGGATTGTTCCTTGACAGGTAAAACATCATTTCATGGAATTTCAATTCTCATCCTTAATTCAATGGATATGCTCATAGGTCATAGTATTTATATGCGGGCATGCAAATAACAAAATGTTTATTCTTCTTGAGTTGCAGTGTTGATGTATCTGGTGGTCGCACTTTGAGGAGGACATTCAGAGATGTGGTTGCCTTACATGTATTTTTTCTTTTATACTTTCTTGTTGATGTCCTTTTTTTTCTAGTGTCATGACAGATCAAGTAAAATATGACAAATCAGTGAAGGGCAAAGAACCAAATTCTGAAATCCTCGTATTATATTAAATTAGTTAGTTGCCTCGATATTTTGAAGCTTGATATAAAGAGACTGTTTCAACTTGTTTGAGTAGTGAGTTAACAGTGAAGAATTATATTAGGATTTTAAGATTTTATGTCGCATCATATCCACTGATTGTTCAGTCTGCTACTTCAATCACCTGGCCCCCTATATTCCCTTCTGTTTTTTTTTTTTTGGTTATCCCAAGATAAAAAGGAATTGTAGGTGTTTGACCTCAATTTCACAACTCAGAAATTTATATTAATTTCATGGTTGGATGCTTCAGTTGGTCCATCTGATTGCTTGAATATTGTTAGCAAGGTGTATAGGATAACCAAAATATACTGAAAATGGAAGTTGGTCTGGATCTTTTGTGGCAGGGAGCAGCAAGGAGCCTTCCAAGGAGTTGTACCAGTCACTTCAATCCAACCTTGGTAACTATTGTTTTGGGTCTTTCAATATTATTAAATTACTAGCGTAGCATTATCACGTGTCTTGTCACCTGAGATATATACTGTGAAAATGGGCATAACATGTGCATGAAATGCTAGTACCGTCATTTTTCAACTGCAGAAGCTCGAGCAGTATGGGAAAATATTTTATTATTTGTTCTGTTACGTGATTGTGAATTCATCATTTGGAAATTAGGGTTTTTAATTGATAAATTGCCGTAATTAGAGTTTTGAACAAAGATTTTGGACCTCTACTTTTGTAAGCCCATAGTAGAACTTGGAAACTTAGTGTCATCAGAATTTTTTACTTTAGTTGCTTATCACTCTGTATTGTTAGCTAGACTATACCTCATGCGAAGTGCACAATGTAGACTCCGAAATCAAATGCTTAATTCTTCAAGGGGCTTCTTGAGGTTTCAAAAAGATGGGTTCTTCATAAATTCATGTTTTGCATGTTGTCAGAGCGAAAGGCAAGATGCTTGGCTTGCCTACAACCCTTCATTATTATCATCAGAAGAGTGTACATTACAAATTGAATGATATGTGTATGACTCAAAATCTTCACACATTGCATGTGACAATCTAAAAGAAAAAATGTAAATAATCTTAAATTTTGAATTGATCTGTTTAGCAGCATGTTGAATTGATTTTAAATTTTGACAAAATTTCATTTTTATTCTCTCCCACTCTACGTCGGAAGTTCCTCACATGTTTTTTATTTGTTTATTTTGTTCTTAGTGCTTCTTCCCTCAGTATTTAATTTCCAGTGTCAGGACACCGCTATTTATCCTCAACGCAGCTTATGATACTTGGCAGGCAAATCCCTATAACCCTGTCTCTTTTGATTGATTATTTATGAGAAATACCATTGTAGTCTTTATAAAACTTCAAAAACAAGTTCCTTTACATTGAAGAATCTTATAATTTTGTTGGACATGTGGCCTTGTCAGCTGTTACCCCATCACATTGAGGGAGCATATTTAGGATGAATTAGGAACGTGTAATCTCTTAACATATGAACATTGTGATCCCTATTGTCAAGTTGTATTTGACTTGTGTAATTTCTTTCACTTCTATCAGATTCAGGCCAGCCTGGCACCGCCATCAGTGGATCGTCGTTGGAATTGGGCTGAGTGCAGAAAAAATTACGCACGTTGCAGTGCATCGCAGATTCATTATCTTCAAGGTGTTTAAGTTGAACTTTAAGAATATTCATTCTTGAATCTGCCTGTGTTTTAAATAGCATCAGTTTCAAGTTGTTACTTGATCCTTTCATATTTCAACTGTTCTCTTTTGTGTTGTCAAACCTTGTACAATGTAGGATTCCGAAATCAGATGGTTAATTCTGTACGGGGCTTTTCAAGATCCCACAAAAATGGATTGTTCATAAATTCATGTTTTGCGCATTGTCAGACCGAAAGACAGGATACTTGGTTTGCCTACAATTCTCCCCATATTGGAAACAGAGTATGTGCATTCTAAATCATTTGTTATGATTTATGAATAACCTAAACTCACTACTATACTTTTCTCTCTCAATGTGCCATATGCGTTCACAATTTTTATTTACAGATAATCCGGATTAGATGAACTTCTAAATAAATAAATCCTAAATTGCTTTATTCAATTATGTAATTACAAATATTTAGATCAATGATCTTGTAGCCTAGTGGCATGAGAACTTCCTTATAAGTGGGAGGTCGCAGGTTTGGTCCTTTGTAAACCCAGGTTGTTAGTGCCTGGCCCTTTAAATACAGAAAAGTATATTTAAATCACAAATCCTAGCATGCCATGTTTATTTTTTCTCTTTAGTTTTCTGATATTTGCTTCATGGGCTTTAAGGGCTTATTTCTTTCTCTAATACATGGCTAAAACACATGCAGGGGATTGCACAGTCTGTTGGAAACTGGTTTTTTGACAGAGTTGGAATCCAGGCTATTGGTTGTGCTTACCCTTGTGACAAAACCTGCCATAATTTGGTCTTTGAGTGAAAAATAAAACTGCCTAAATTATCATTCTTTAAGAATTTTGTTTTACTCTCTATTTACTCTCTACCATTTACATTGCCAATATATCATTGGAATGTTTAAAGTTAGGACTTTGTTAGAAGAAGCAAGCTGTGTTATAAAACCAGATCACAGCCATAGAAGCATTTCTAAAACTCATTCATTCATGTGAAGTTGGTTGAGCTTTTAAAGGTTGATTATATTAAATCATTGTAAGCATGTAAATCTGAATCTGTGTCTCTGCAACTTCATTGTTATGACTTTATATTCAGTTATCCATGGATTGTGTTACCAGAAGAAAATATTGCCTTCGTTACAATAGTTTTTCTGATTTTAATGCCTCTGTTTTCTTCGGCTTTGAGTTGGAGGATGTTCAGGCGATGGTTGATTTGAAAGGTGAGGCATCATGGTCAATGCAAAGATATAATCACAGGTGTGGGTGTCTAAGAGAGCCATCATATATATGTAACTTTGTTCTCTTGTTTCACTTTTATTGGGAAAGAGAGTGAAACAAGAGAACAGAGTTACATACATACATACATATATATATATATATTTTGCCAACATACATAGAGATTTCATATGTCATAATTATATTAGGGAAATCCGCTGGCAATCAATAGTGAGTGAAGCTTCATAAATTTTTGAGGATCTGTGGGTGCATGTTTATGTAAAAAAAGAGCGAAATGTAAATAATATATAGGGAGAATTACAATGAGGTCCCAAACAAGAAAAACAATTAAAAAATAAGTCTCAGAAATTGTCATTCTCATTATACGACTTGTCATTATAAGTTGTTGAAGTTGTTATTAGGATTTTTTAATAATTATTTCTCTTATGTGGGACTTGATTGTAATTTCCCGTTATACATATTCTCATTTCAGGGTCATTTTTTTTTAAAGACCATTATTCACATTAATCAAGTAGACAGTGACACTCAAATGTCTTTATTTTCTTGCATCACTCTCTTTTAAGTTATTTTTGGGTTTTAGATTTTGGCATTACCTTTTCCCCCTATTTTATTGTTTCTTTTAAAAATTTGTGTAAATAGAATATGGAAGAAAATTAAATTAAAATAATTAATTCTAAAAGTAATGTAATGTGAAATTTTTACACTTTTAAGGTATATAAAATATTATCCAAATTAGAGTAATCCTATATCTTGCTAGATAAGTTTTTCTTGCCAACGTCGTGCTGGATTAGTTGCTACAATGAAAAGTGAGTTCATTTTCATTTTCATTATCATCAATAACTACTATGTCTTGTAATCATTACTGAAAGATATTTCTTCTTGTTCAAAATATAAGCTAAATTTTATTTCCTCTATTTTATTTTTCTACTTTTTAAAAAATATAAAAATAAATTCTTTCTAATTCTCAAAATATTTTTTTAAATTCTATTTCCTATTACATTTCCCTCTATTTGGTGCTCCAAACAAATCCTTTGTTGAGACCACATTCTTGTTATTAGTGGACTTAAATGCTTATATGCATCTTACTTGTCATGATATATGGGATACAAGGCAAGATTTAAAGTTCAAGGCATCTCATTCCATTGAAAAGCACCAAAGCCTCCCCCACCAGATTTTCTCCGTGATGCCTTGATTTCGCTAATTTATTAGCATACATTAAAAAATATTTTTTCAATTATAATCTTGTCTGTAAAGAAACTACATGAAAAATAATGAATGCAAATTTATTACAAAAAAATAATAAATAACATATTTAATAGTGATAAAAATAAAAAGACAAGTTTAAAATTTTAGACAAAGATGATTTATTTTTTATTTAAAAAAATCACTATAATAGGAGTTGTTTCTTATAAAAAGGATGGAGGGAGTATTTCTCAATATATATCTGAACAGATTTTAAATGTTGAAAAGATGAATACATTCCTTGCGAAACTTCTTGAGTTATCATCTTTCTTGTGCACTGTACGATGTGTACTTCCTCTAATATAACACTTTTTCCCATGCTAAGCTCAATTATTTTCTCATCAATGTCTGAACAGTGATCCATTTTGCACAACAAAACAGAACTTTGTCATCTCAACTAATTTTCTAGGAAGCCCTGGAACATAGAATGGAGAAATTACAATTGCCACTTTTGAGATATGGCCAAACGCTCAAACCACAGAAAAACTCTCTCTCCGTCTTGAATGTTACACCCAGCACCGGTGGTTTTAGTGGTCATCAAAGTTTCCTAGAATATTTGTTATCAGGCTCTCCAATAAAAACATAACACGAGACGCAAATTTTTTCAAAGATCCAACTATGTGACGCCAAGTTGGAGGGAAAAAAAATCCCACTTGTCATGTTATAGAATAAGAACCTGATAGCAAAAATACCTAAAAACTGTACCTAACTTTTGGCATTCAAAATTTGCGAAGCTTCCTCCGGGAGTTTAGATGTGGATGGCTGGTTCTGGTTGGCATGGAACTTTTCTAGTTGGCGTGCAGCAGAAATTTTTTCTGCTTCAACTTGCTCAAGTAAAGCCTGTTGCTCCATTGCTTTTAGCATTTCTTCCGAAGTTTTCTCTTTCCCTTCTAGCTGCATTTTCATTATAATCTCGGCTTCCTCGTCAATAGGTTTGAAGTATTCTTCAACGGCTGCTTCCTGAATGGAAGTTACAACTAGCTTGAGTTCCTCATATCAATGAATCATAGAGGAAAAATTAAAGAAACGCAATCAAACAGAGGTGAACTTTTTTCACATGATAGAAAAATGTCTCATTAAAGACAATCATGAGGGAACGCGGGTGATGCAGCATTGGGAAAACAAGGACAGAGTTTTATTTCAAATAACCAGTGTAGGTCCTGAAAGAGAAGAGCACTAAAATGTGAATCCTAGATAAGAAGTCCTGGGATGCATATAGTACAAGTTTTCCTTTAAAAAATAAAAATCTTTTCAGATTTGATACTGTGCCAGTCAAATTGGTCAATGACAGATAAGGATCACATTTAAACTTCTTAGTTCAGTCTCCACCATTTAAAATGTTAAGAGATTGAGCTTACTGTCTCTTCCAACTTCTTGTTTAAAGCCTGCATTTCTTCAACCATACGGCGAACCTCAGATATAATAATCTGCTCAGGTACTTTGTTCAAAGCTGCCTTCCTCTCTTGTGCCTTTCATAATCAAATGCCATACACACCAGAGTGGGAGTAAATATAACAAATGTCAGAAAGAAATCGAGAGCAAGGAACAGCTGACAGTTCACATCAGATAAAAATTCACATTGGTGCATAAAGAATGAAGGTTAAAACCACTTTAGCCTCTTGTGATAATGAGCTTAGCAGCAATGAAAAAGGAGAAGGATTAAAGTCAAATCTTTTTTATGTTGTTTACCCTATATTTTAGGATTCTCATATTTTTATTTTGGAAAATCGTATGCTGTTGCTTCTTCAGAATTTGCTCCTTATTCAGATATTTGATAAACATGAATATTACCATTTAAAAAATACCTCACTTTTGGTACATTTGAAACAATTTGAGCCTAGGATTTCTGAAGACTATCCTGCTTAACAGGTGTAGTTCGTGCTTTCTCACACTTCAGATTAGGCAAGGCTCCCTTGATTTTTAAAATGTGAGGCTCACTTCTCTCCCTTGCATAGAACCACAGCTCCACTTGAATAAAGCAGCAGTTCATTTGTCTATGTTTATCTTCTCAATTAGCTTCTAAAAGGGAACAGTTACTGATTCAAGAACATGATTGTTGTTGAGACAAGAGAATATGCCATACCTGCTTAAGTTGGTTCTCCAGTTGCAGCCTAAAAGATCGTATTCTTCGCTCCTCATATCCAGAAAGCACCCGTACATAAAATAAAGCTTTTCTTCCGAAGTCTAACAACTTATTCATGTTAGCCAATGACCACCAACTAATTTATTTTTTTTTCCTGCAAGAATAAGATTTTTTAGCTCAGATGCCATAATCAAAGTTTGATCAGAACTAATTCACATGAAAGCTTTGAACGAATGCATTTACTAAGCTTTACACGGCTGCCCCATGGGGTCAAACACAGACAATCTCACCAAGTGAAAGACATAAGTCACAGGAAAGAGTGCTAAATCCAAGGCTTTTTATTTAATTTCTGATTGTTTAATTCAAATTGTTTAACGTAGTACCCTTTCAATCTATCTCTCAGCTCTCCCCGCTGATATAAACACACTATTTACTACTAAGACAATCCAGCAAGAAAATTCAGTTTGATCGATCGTCATATGACATAGGATTTTTTGTTCTTTTAGGCGCCCATCTCTTTAGGGCGGAAGCAGATAAAAAAATTGCAAACGAACAACAAAGTGGAAAGCTGCCCGGAGAAGAATCTGAGGGTAAAATGCATATCAACATAATTAGGAATTAGTGCCGGCATTGTAGATAGCTACTGACAATAATGGTAGTACAAAACTTGGATAGTTAACATTTTAAGGTACAGGTACTGTTCTCCAAGGATAATTTCAAAAATGGCCCAATTACAATTTCTCAAATTCAAAGGAGTCCCAGGATTTTTCATTACTCTAAAACGGTAAGCCAAAAAAAAAAAGAAAAGATCAGTCCAGTTTCAAAGCATCCGTTTCACCCCACGATTCAAAGGAATCTTTCCAACTCTAACAGATCGGGAATTCAAAGAAGAAAATAAAAAAGATCGAAAGGGAGCTTTACCAATGCCCAGTGGAACAGAAAGCACCCGACGTACTGAACCGCAGACGATCGGCGACGGCGGAGAATGGTCTCCGGGTATGAGAGATTCGATGATCTCTGAGCTATGCGTGGTGCGATGAAGCTCACTAAGCTTCGGCTAAAGTCAGACTCAAATGATAAATCTTAAAATACGAAAAATAGGAAAACGACAGACGCCGTCGTTTCTGCCTGAGCAATTTTACCCAGCCAAAGCCAAGAAGAGCATATGAATTTTCCAAGTGTATTTGATTTTTAATTTGTCAAAAAGAGGAAGTTTATTTGTCAAACATATGTTTGATAGAAATTATTTAGTTGATATATAAAAAAAATTAAAATATATAATTACTAGGAAGAATATGAATTTTAAGATGTAAATTGAACTAAGAAATAAATAATATAGAATATCTAGAGAAATAAAATAAAAATAAATTATGGATATAATAATGAAATATATACATTATACAAAATAATATATTATTTTAAAAAAGTTTTGGCCAACTTTTATATTCTTTTTAAACCAGTACTTTATGTTCTTTGTTGTTATATTTTTTTTTATAGACATAGATATTTTTTAGGGAAAATCCTAAAAAAGGTCCTTGGAATATGGGAAATGCCAGATTGGGTCCTTAAATTTTGAAAATGACAGAATGGGTCATTGACCCAATCTGTCATTTGTGAAATTCAGGCGAATTGACAATTTTGCCCTCATTTATTCATTCACTACAATGATTCAAGGAATCACTATAAGAGTTTAGGTGTTACCTAGATTCGTATAGCGAATAACTATTCACTTTTTCATAGTCAGGTGTCTTGTTATTAACTACAACTAATGCTGTAATCACTAGAACAATGTAAGCATTACCTAGATTTGTGTAGAGAATAACTACTCATTTTTTCATAATCAGGTATCTTATTATTGTCAGGTACCTTATTATTAACTACAACGAATCTTGTAATCACTAGAACAATGTAAGCGTTACCTAGATTTGTTTAGAGAATAACTACTTACTTTTGCTCAGGGGCAAAAATGTCAATTCGCCTGAATTTCACAAATGACAAATTGGGTCAATGACCCATTCTGTCATTTTCGAAATTTAAGGGCCCAATCTGGGATTTGGTATATTCTAAGGGTTTTTTCTGGGATTTTCCCTATTTTTTATTAGAAACAATTTTATTCGAAACACTGTTGAGTACTAAATGTAAGTATCTTTCCTAATGAAAATTCGAACATTAATTCATCAAGTTATTTGAGACTAGCTTCTTTCGCTACACCTAACTTCTATTAGTTATATTTTTCTCCAAACATATAAACATATAAACATAGAGAATCCAAAATTGTTTTTTTTTGGATAAAAGAATTCAAACTTTAAAAAAAAATTGGATATTTATTTTTTTCAGCAGAAAAAGTACTGTATATGACTACGGCCCAACAAGATATGATTGTTATGTTGGGCTGGCAAAAAAAGGTTATGAATTAGGGCCTACAGGTGATAAGCCCATGAAAAATGGGCTGCTTCTGGAACTAAGTGGGCCAAAGAAAATGAGATCGTTAAGAGGGATCTATCATCCTACGATTGACTAGAGCATCCACACGCTGTCCCCTCCTGCGTTTAACCAAGCGATCCCAAAATTCCCGATTTCCCTGTTTGGTGGGGATTTTCGTCAACACTCCAAGGCTCCAAGCCATGAAACGCCCGATCGATGACATCGTTGTGCCCTTGGCTTCTTCGGCTGCCTCCTCCGCTGCTGCGGCTCCTTCGAAACCGGTGTTCTTAACGAAAGCTCAACGTGAACAATTGGCTCTTCAGCGACGCCAAGAAGAAATCGCCGAACAAAGACGCCGTCAGGAACAACTGCTTTCTCGGAACCGCCCATCCGACCCGAACTCTGATTCTAAACCCTCCGATTCCGATCGACGGGACCGGGACCGGGACCGGGAACGGGACCGCGACCGCGACCGCGACCGGGACCGGGACCGGGACCGGGATAGAGAGCGGGACCGTGAGCGCGAGCGTGAGCGAGATAGGGCTCGGGATCGGGACCGTGAAACAGAACGCAGGAACCGTGAGAGGGAGCGTGAAGAGGAGGCTAGGGCCCGCGAGCGTGCTCGGACGGAGAAATTGGCAGAGCGGGAGCGTGAGAAAGAGCTTGAAGCGATCAAGGAGCAGTATCTTGGCTCGAAGAAGCCTAAGAAGCGGGTTATCAAACCCAGTGAGAAGTTTCGGTTTTCCTTCGATTGGGAGAACACGGAGGATACTTCTCGTGACATGAACATTCTTTACCAGAATCCTCACGAAGCGCAGCTTCTCTTTGGTCGTGGCTTTCGTGCTGGCATGGACCGGCGTGAGCAGAAGAAGCTTGCTGCTAAGAATGAGAAGGAGATGCGTGAACAGATCCGGAAGAAGGAGGGCGTGGAGGAGAAACCCGAAGAGGCTGTTGCACAACGGCGAAAGGAGGCTGCTGCTGACCTCTATGACACCTTTGACATGAGAGTTGACCGCCACTGGAGCGAGAAGAAGCTTGAGGAGATGACTGAGAGGGATTGGCGTATATTCAGGGAGGATTTCAATATTTCCTACAAGGGTTCTAAAATTCCTCGTCCAATGCGTAGCTGGACCGAGAGTAAGTTGACTCTTGAGCTATTGAAGGCGGTTGAGAAGGCTGGGTACAAAACCCCTTCTCCCATTCAGATGGCTGCCATCCCTCTTGGCCTTCAGCAGCGTGATGTCATTGGCGTTGCCGAGACAGGTTCAGGGAAGACCGCTGCTTTTGTGCTTCCCATGCTGAGTTACATCACAAGGCTTCCTCCCATGAGTGAAGAGAATGAGGCTGAGGGTCCCTATGCTGTTGTCATGGCACCTACCCGTGAACTTGCACAGCAGATTGAGGATGAGACCGTGAAGTTTGCCCAGTATCTTGGAATCAAAGTGGTTTCCATTGTTGGTGGACAGTCAATTGAAGAGCAAGGTTTTAAAATAAGGCAAGGTTGTGAAATTGTAATTGCCACTCCTGGTCGATTGATTGATTGCTTGGAGAGGCGTTATGCTGTCCTAAATCAGTGCAATTATGTTGTTCTTGATGAGGCTGACCGCATGATTGATATGGGGTTTGAGCCTCAAGTAATGGGTGTCCTGGATGCAATGCCTTCCAGCAATCTGAAACCAGAAAATGAAGATGAAGAGCTTGATGAGAAGAGGATTTACAGAACTACTTATATGTTCAGTGCCACCATGCCTCCTGCTGTTGAGCGGCTTGCTAGGAAATACCTGAGGAACCCTGTTGTGGTAACCATAGGCACTGCAGGAAAGGCTACTGATTTGATCAGCCAGCATGTGATTATGATGAAGGAATCTGAAAAGTTTTTCAAACTGCAACGGCTGCTTGATGAACTTAATGACAAGACAGCAATTGTATTCGTTAACACTAAGAAAAATGCTGACATGGTTGCAAAGAATTTGGATAGGGATGGCTACCGTGTAACCACTCTGCATGGTGGCAAGTCACAGGAGCAGAGAGAGATTAGTCTTGAAGGATTTAGGACCAAGAGATATAATGTCTTGGTTGCTACTGATGTTGCAGGGCGTGGGATTGACATACCTGATGTGGCTCATGTCATAAACTATGACATGCCTGGGAATATTGAGATGTACACACATCGTATTGGACGTACTGGTCGTGCTGGGAAGACAGGTGTTGCTACGACGTTCCTGACTCTTCATGACACTGATGTCTTTTATGACCTCAAACAGATGCTTATACAGAGTAATAGTCCTGTCCCTCCTGAATTGGCCAGACATGAGGCTTCAAAATTCAAGCCAGGAACTATTCCTGATAGACCACCTAGACGGAATGACACCGTATTTGCACATTGAAGACTTAGTTGTTCGAATAGGCAGTTTTAAAAGGGAGCACTGACGTTGTGCGTGACAATGAGTTTTTTAGATGGCTGAACAGCTTGCCAGTGGAGCTAAGGGGGCGTAATCTGCTTTTTGTAGACGAATAGCGTTGTATTTAGTTTAATCATAACTATCCTTTAGTCCTGGTAATCTTACTATTGCCTATATTCTGCCTCACAAATGTTATAGCTCTTATAATTATTTGTCGTAGAAATTGCTTGTGTTGACGGAGAATCCTTGATTGATGTTTTTCGATTGACCTCAATCATTTTAATCACATGGTAATATGGCTTTTTCTGATCTGTTTATGATTTAATGGCTTTATGCAGGATATTATTGTAATATTATTGTTGTGTATAATAGTTTTAGATTAATTTTAAGGATTTAAATTAGCTTTTAAAGTTTTGCTGATTTCTGCGATCAGATGGCATGGTATTCTGTTATGTAGCATCATTTGAATGAATTGATTGTGCTAAAGTCTGATCTTTCCATGCTATATATGCCTTCTAACTCTGGTACACATCATGTGTGTTTTTGTAAAATATGTTTTTGATTAACTTGGCTGTAGCCCAGTTTACCTATTGAATAGTGTCATATTTAATATGATGCAACTATGATTCTAAAAGAGGGAAGTTATATGGACCAGCTAAAGAGAAAGTTAACTGGTTAACATCCTTGATCAAGTCTTTCCCTAGCTGGATAGGAGTTTACTATATTATCGATCGTGCTTAGTTTCCTCCTTTTCCTTTATTTTTATTGGTACTAATTGTTGACATTTTGTGTTGCTTGTTAGAGTTGTCCCTCCATGGGTGAATGAATGGGGTAGGGGAGTGTTAGTAATTATATTATTCCAAAAGGGAAGCTATCGTCCTTGTGTTACCTCATTTTTTGATGCGGCCTGGCAAGCTTATATGACAAGTGTGTTATCTAAAATCCAGGAAGCTGGAGTTGTTTGGAATTTTTTATTTTTTTAAAAAATATGAATCTTGTAGTCTAATTTCATTCCTGATTGTTTTTATGTTTTTGTGGGATGTGCCACTTGCTGCTTTAAGTAACTAGTTTTCCAAGATGTCAATGAACAAGATGTACTTCTATTTATCGACAATATCTTCCGATTTGTTCAAGCAGGATCCGAAGCATCTGCCTTATTGGTCATACTTCATATCGTTCTCTGAAGTGCAGGTGCAGGAGCGTAGCCACTCCGAGCAGGGGAAGCTTATTGTACCTACGTGGCAAGTGTGTCAGTTAGGGACTTGACTATGTATGGAAACATTATTTGTTGATATTTTTACATTTTACACTATGCCTTGCCAATCAACTTGTGTTTTCTAATATTATATGGTATTTCTACACACGTTTCATGGTTGTTGATAATTCTCTTTGTCCTTTATCCTTTCTTTTTGTGGTATCTGATAACAAAAAAATTTAGAAGCTAATAGGTTTCTCCAATTCTAGCATTTTGGTTTTATTGAGTGATTAGTTTAAATCATGCAAAATGCATCTTCTATCTTATTGCCTCGTTGTCTTATAGGTTGTGGATTTTGGGGAGAGTTGTCCTGTTCGTCGCTCGTGTTCCAAGGTCTACGTAAATCCTTTCATGAAAGTTGTTGAATTTTATTTCTTCTATACAAGTGCTCATCTTTTTAGTAGTTTTTAGCTTGTTAAGTTTTTGTCGTGAGTTGCCAACAGTTCTAATATGTTCTTTAGTTTCTTTTCTGTTGCCTGTTGGATTTGAAAAGGGGGCTCAGGAAAGCACACAACTTTACTTCATAGACAGAGTTCGTTTGGTGTTGGTTGACTATCATGAACCGAATGCCAAACTTTTTTCCAAAGCACATTTGACAGGATGGTAAATTTTATGTATTTGGATGTGATCTCAAGTTACTTGTATCACACGATCCATAGCTCGGCGAAGACGACGATTTCTCAAGGCATATTTAAACTGTCAACTTTTTAAAATTTGTTTGACTGGTTTATTTGCAAGTCCTTTCCACGTATGAGTGATATCTCTTGGCATCTGTATGAGGGAATCCTTCATTGTTTAGCTTTGTAATACGGTCAACCATACGTCTGGTTTTAAAGTTTATGGGATAGTACCTGGTCATAAGTGGAGTGTGCTGGGGATATGCTTGTGTTGATTGTGGAAGGGACCATCCTTAACACCAAAACAATGCTTGCAATAAAGAATGAAATAAAAAATGACTTGAGCTGTAATAATGCTTGCAATTTTCGAAGTTAAAACTTTCAATAAATTTAAATCTTTTAATCTCGTTTATTTATTAAAATTTAACTTACTTTGATGTGATCTTTTAAATATAGATGTTGCCTGAAAATGTTTTGCAGTTGTATATATTTATTTTCAATTAAATTGCAAAGTTATAAAATGATATAATTTTGAAATTCTTATAGAAATATGTCATAATTGAAAACTTTTAAATGTATTTCATAAAACATGTCGTTAAAAAATTACTCAATTTTTGGATCTTCTTGTTAACATCTTAAGTTGCTTAAATTTTGTCTAAATTTAGTAGAAATATGACATAGATAATTAATAAATATTAATGTTTGCAGATAAATTAGAGATTGAGCATAGTGAGGGGTAAATTAATAAGAAAAAATTATTTTAATATGGTTTTTAATTAAAAAAAATACTTCAAGAATATCTTGAGAATATTGTATATTCTTGAGAATATTGTTTAATGGTGTTAATAACTTGGACTAAAATATATGTTTTAAAAATAGGGATCTCTGTAATTAAGACAAAATAAAAGAGGTTAGAGTATTTTATTTTATAAATAAACATGTTTACGATTTAGAAAGAAAAAAAAAACAGAGGCATAAATGGCAATAGCAAATAAATATTTTGTTCACCGTTAACCACTGTTTCATGCGTGATAGGTAATTCCCACCTTGGAGGGGCCTCTTTACCAAACAAAAGGCCTCAACCATGCTATTGCAAGGCCAATGCTCAAGGGGTGTCTTTACCAAAAACTTCTCATAATATCCCTAGTTTGAGGAATGAAGACGAACCAAACAACCAAGTATGTTTCTAGTTTGGTCCTTCAAAAAGGCATCTCAAGATGAAAGACTTCCTTGCAGTTGCAGAAGGTGGTCAGGAGCAAAGTTAGCACCAGACACAAAGGTTCGGCCGGATTAGGTTTACCCAAACTTTGGCATTTAATGTTAAGAAGGATGGCAGATGCCAAAAGCAACCCAGTTTTAGATGCCACCCATCTCTTGAACAAATTTCCAGTCTGACATTGGATCACTTGACATGTCTAAACAAATTGCAGTGGATTGATGGACTTGTTTGCCTTATCAACAACAGCTAGGAGATTGTTTTGTGAGGCAACGACGCTTCAGTTGGTTCTGAAGGTTTGTGAAAGGACAAATCCGTTCTGTTCGCTTAGGTCAAATATCATTAGTTATTAAAAAGCGTGCATATGAATGTGTTTATACTTTCCTCCTAAATATAGGGCCTACTTAACCAATTTAGGGATATTAAAAGAGTTGCTAAATTTATTATTTGTAATCATTATATTATTAAATGATATTATTTGCTGTCCTTAATATAAGAGCTAGATAATTAGTTTGTAAATATTAAGAAAATTAGTTAAGTTAGTTATAGGTAATCAATGAGTATCTTTTCTAAAATATTTTTACTAATTATGTGCATTTGAACTATTTTTTGATAGAAACCTTTTAATATGTATAACCACCATAGAAATTACTTTAGAAAAAAATAAATAAATATAAAAGAATCTAACTAGTTCTAATATTAAAGACAGGAGGTCATAACAAACAAAAGAGTGAATAAAAGTTATGCAAAGGAAAACAATATTCGATGGGAAAGACAAAGTGAATTAGAGTTTTGTATTTGTAATCAAAACATATCTGTAAACTAGATAAGTAATAAGTTATGAAGAAAAATATAAATTAATGCTATAGGCTTCAATTCAAACTAGACGTCCTGGCTAAAAATGAATAAAGTTAAGTATCATATTTTCATCTTGTTTTTAAATTGATTGATATCACAGGTATAGGTGGTTTTTAGATTACAGGGCTTCAAGGCTAGGAGTTAGGACCTAATAATAGATATCCTGCGGTGGTGTTCAAGTTCATGAAGCATTGCGAGAGCTGCAGAGTCATACGAAGTTTTCTTGTCAGCCTTAGGATCTCCTGTACACTCCATTATGCCGCAGTTTGGGATCTGTAACGTGATTTTAGAGACATAGCTGTTGAAACCATATCTTTTCTCTGAGCCTTCTCCGAATTCAATCGGAGTTCTGTAGATGAACAAAAACAAAATATACAAATTGAAGTCGGACAATTGGTTAGTTATAACGAATGTCACCTGATCCCCATAAAATACCTGAATGTAACATAAGATTATTTATTAGTTTATAAGTTAGGTAAATTAGTTTGGGAGAAATAATAAGTATAAAAGACAAAATGGACCAAAATCTTATACTATCTCCGGACATTAATATAAGCTTTCGTTTGATTTTTATTTTGGTCTTGAATAGAAGATCTCAATCTACTTTATTTCTCATATTTATTCTTTTTTTTAAAAATAGTCCTTGTAATAATAGTAGTTCTAACTAATAAACTTGATTAGTAAGGATATTTTAGGAAAGACAACACCTATTTATTACAACTAACTAACTAACTTACTACCTTTGGTTCTAATTATAAGAGTCAGTTGAGTAATTTGAAAAGATTAAGAAAGTAAGTTGAGTTAGTTATTTGTCCTAAATAAGTGTTGTCTTTCCTAAAATATCCTTACTAATCAAGTGTATTAACTACAACTATAATTATTAGGAGGACTATCTTGGAAAAAATTGAGTGGATTGGGGTCTTATATATATAATCAAAATAAAAGTCAAACAGGGTCTTATATTAAGGACTGGAGGTAGTATTTTCTTAATCTACTCAAATTAGTCAATTAGCTCTTATATGTAGAACCGGAGGTAATATTTAGGATCAAATTCAACTCTCAACTAACTCTTATATTAAAAATTAGAGGTAATATTATACTCCTCCGGTCCTAAATATAAAATCCTTATACACACTACAAAAAGAATCTTATATTTAGGATTGGAGGAGTATTATGGATTGGAGGTAGCACAACAAGACACTTGAAATTGCACCGAAACATCACATTTGTCCTCATACTGCTTTTATGTGTCATGTTGCATCTTAAATCCTTGTAAGTGCTTAGGAAGATTAATATTATCATGTAAAACTAAGTTTATTGAAATGACCTGGATTTCGTTTCTTTGGTTCTGAATGTTGGCATCGGCCACTGTAATGTCTTGCATATTCCAAATATCGAGGTCCGGGGTCCACCTTTGCTCATGTTTATTGGTCCAATAACTACAAAGGTAAAAGATAAAAAATTATATAAAAGAACAGAGATAAAAGATTAGACAAATAGAATAGCTATCATTAAACGATCACATCCTACTTTAGGCTGCCAAATGAACGAGTACAATGAAAGCATCAGCCATATTCACTTCCAAGTTCCAACTAGATGGGAGAAGGATGAAAAATCTTTTGAACATGAAACCAAGAAGGGGCAACTGAAACCAACAGAAACTTTAACATGCTACAACAATGGCCAAGAAGTTCCAAAATTTTTAATTTTAACCAAGGACAAAGAAACAAGCATGTCATTCCAATCACATGTTCCAAATCACGACAAAAATTGCAATTTCCACAGTATTTCTCCCTTCCTTTTCTGTTTAAAAATTCAATGTACACAAAGCTCTGACTACCATACATGACTTCACTGCATCTCTCAGTTATAGTCAAGCATAAAATTAATCTAGAGAAATCCCCCCCCCCCCCAAAAAAAAAAAAAACAGAGGAAGGGGATTAAGCAAACCTGGGATGGCAGGAACGATGCTGCAGGTTTTCCAAGAACAATCATTGATTGAGAAGGAAGCTTTAGCTGATTCTTGTGGACATTGACTTTCAGTTATCTTTTCCTTTCCTTTGCTGCAAGATTCCTCAGCAGTTACATGACCACATAACTTTATATCCAATGAAGAAGTAATGAAATCTTCATCTTCATCAGAACCTCTTTTTCTCCTCTTGGAAATGCCATTGGGTTTTGAAATATCCTTCTTCTGTTGCATTTCAAGCATCACATCTTCAGTAAATTATCAGGGGTAGTAAAAACAAAAATAGTTTATCCTTAAGGAAACTAACAAACCTCAAGTTCGTCTAACAAACAGCTTGCAGCTGCTGCTTTGGCAGCCTTTTTGTTTCTTTCACAGCCTCTTCCAACTAATAAGACATCTTCCATCTGCAATCTAAGCTCAGAATGAACCATGTCTCCCACTTGTATGCATCTTTCTTTTATAAAGTACCCAAGAGAGTGACACATCTCATTTAGTTTACGTAGTGAAGGGAGTTTTAGGCTATCAGGAGTCACTATTGGAGACAATAGTGGTTCAAAGATTCTCCAAACTTTGTCCAGGTCAAGATTGGTATCAATGAGTATTGCACCAGCAATGCTTTCCACCATGTCTCCAAGAGCCTATGGCAGGGGAAAGTAAAATTTAGTTTGAATAATATGATTTGATAAAAGCAACACAGCAAACTGATATGAAGGGACATTTTTAGGTTGATTTAGTCTATAAGAGAGGTGTCCAGCAAGACTATAGTGAATTGAGTATTGACAAGTAAACTATGAAGCATAAATATATTGACCCGTTAATTTTCATAAACTATGAAAGCTAGCGTGACATGGGATATACCAAATAAAACAATGTTAAACTATATTATTCAGAGTTCTTGATATATTTCATTCTGAACATGTCAATATCAGCACTAATAATCATGAGAACTTACTTTTGGTACTTTGATCTTGTTGAGAGGCATAGTCAATGACCTCACAAACTCTGTTACTTGGCTTTGAAGGAACCCTGAACAGTGCAGAAGGTGTGGTTGAAGGTCCCTTCTTATGCATACTTGAGCAAAGTTTTCATTGCTAACTGCATTTGAACGCAAATCAGTCAATCTTCCGGGATCAATATCTTGGTAGTTCTTGTAGAGATGCGACGTAATGAGAAGACCCAAAACTGAATCGCCCAGAAATTCAAGCCTCTGCGGAGAAAAGGTAAATAAGTACAGGAGTAGCTGAAATCTTCAAGGTCTTGTTGGAAATATGAATTACTCAACTTGGGTTGTGCTAGTTTGGCCAATGGGAATGGAAGTGTACAGAAGGTTATTTTTTCCCTTTTTTTTTTCAAAATAAAAAGTTTAATATATTCTTCAATTATGTAATGGCACCTGAAAATAAGTCAATAATGTGCTGCTGAGTGCAAAAAATTGTCCGCATGCTATGTCTTATTAAAGAAATTTATATAACACATACCTAATTAACTATCCACAAGTATTTAACTTTGACAAAAGAGACTTCGCAAATAACTTAAAAACAGATACCTGGTAACAATAGCCAACCCCCAGTTCTTGCTCAGATGCATGAGTTATAGCCTCCTGTAAGAGACCCTTGCTAGAAAACTCATATCCAAGCTTTAATTCTAAGGTTGTGATCTCATTAGTTTTTGGTACATAGGACCTCAATGATGCCTTGCTGATTGCTTCTACTACTAGTGAAGGATCAAGTTCAAGGTCAATACCAAACCATTTCATCGTATGAAGGGCAGCAACAAGGCCATTTCCCACATAATAAGCTCCTATAAGGGCCTCAACACAATCAGATATAGTCTTTGAACAAATCCACCTGTGTCCTCTGTCACACAACTTTCCAACCTTACAAGATGGATTTTTAGTTTGGAACTTCTCATCCAAGGGAACTTCTAAAGTATCCACACCACATCTACAAGGAACAGAATGTATACAAAGCTGCCCTGGTGCTGCCCAACGACGTGGTTCAAATGCACTATCACGTATATATCGCTGTCAAATCAAGAAAACTTAGAACTCAGATGGTGACTTGTTGTGTAAGAATTTTAATCCCTCAACCCCTTGGAAACTATATACAAATTTTTTAAGTTTAGATAATATGCAAATTTTCGAATTTATATATTGTATGTGTTCCAAATGTGGTGAAAAGATAACTACATTCATGTGGTGAAGACATAATTATCACCAGGAATTTTAAATGCTGTTGGAGGGAAAGTTCCAATGATGCCAATAGTTATGTCAATCCTTAACTATCCTACATTGCTAAACAAAAAGTCACAAGTAAGGGAAATATTACAATGATATTTTCTTTCTTTATATTTACCCTCCATTATCTCTTATCCAAAATTTGCCCCTAACCAAGTGGGATTGCATTAGATCAATTACCTGCAACTTGCAGTTGGTTCCTAATTTATGCAAAGCTGAATTAGAAATAAGAGACGAACGCCAATCAGATAGCTGTCCTTCATCTTTCTCAGGATATCTAAGGTAAAGGTGGCAGCTCACTGCATACTTTAGAACTGAATCCCCGAGCAATTCCAAACGTTCCATGGAGAAGTTTTCACAGCATTTCATTGTTGTCAGTGCTTCAAGGATCTAATCATATAACATAACCAGGTGAAGTTAGCTAATCGTAATGATATGATGATTCACTATAAAGGTTTAAACACTATTTGGTCCCTTTAGTTTTAGAAAGATTCAACTTCGGTCATCAAGTTCAAAACCAAGAAAATCATTCTTAATCCATTCAAAGTTAAGACTTAGCAGGCGAGCATTCGCCCATTTAGTGTAAAAAAGCTGGTGCTCTTCATCTTATTCTTATGATTTGACTATGGGATTACCAAAATGCCAGTTTTAATGATGAATCTCAAAAAGCTGAAAACTTTATGAAGTTCTTCATCCTTTCTATTATTTTCCTTTGGATATGGAGCCTTTGAATCAGCCAAAACAAATGGCGTTAGTCGCCTAGGACTAGGAGCCGACTCTCAAACTAGCGGCCACATAAGTAATTTCTATTAACTTGTTGACAGGGTACAAAGGGTCCAATTGGAATTTCATTGAAAATGAGAGGGTAAAATTATCAGGTTCTGAACCAAAGAGACCAAGTTGAAACTTTTCTAAAAGCAGGGGAAGCAAAAGTGACAGCACAAACCAGAGAACTTGGTATCTGAAAGCTGCCAGAGTTAAAATTAATCTCCTTTCTAAGCTGGCTGGCTAACATTAAGGATTCTAAGCGGTGCATTAGTGATGGCAGCAAGTAAAATGACTTCAAAACTTCTACAGGAACGTCAGTCTTGACTAAAACCTCAGGTGGCATATAAACATGAACTTGTTCTTGTTCTGAAGCCGGAGATACACCTGACGAAAAAGAAACAAATTACCAAAAAGAAACAAATTACCGTTGTGTCAATTTCTTTTTCTTTTCTTTTAATCTTAATCAAACTTTGATTTTCTAGTTGACAAACACACAAAACAATTGTCAACTTTATGCAAGTGGCTTACATTTAACAGTCTTTGTCATACAAAGTTATGTTTTAGAGGGAAGGATGGAAGACAGTAAAGAATATAACCAAAAAAGAAATAAGCTTTAAAATAACCTTCTCTCCTGAAATTCACAAGTAGATTATGAGGGTTATGACTTTGCTTTAACCTTAACAAAGGTTGTCCTGGGTACATCAGCACAATCCCATACCTGAATAAGATTCATATTATTAGCATAATTAACCAGTAAATGCAGATAAAAAGTATGAATCATAAACAAAAAAGCAAAAGTAGCATCCAAAGGTACCAACTTTTTATTGAAGTAATCAATGTAAGTACTATATTCGGACGAAACAGACACTTGAGATCCAGTGTAGCTGAAAGGATTCTCAGCAGAAGTATTGGTTACAACTTCAACCACAGAATAGAACTTTCCAGTGTGAATAGCCAAAACTACCATGTCTTTGAGATCATCAATATCAACCACACAATTAGCAAAATGGACTGTTTTTGAGCTCTTCTGCTTCATATCAGATGAACCATTCCAGTCTGATAAATTTTGTTCGTGACTATGCTCAGAACTTGATGCATTGCTCAGAGCTCTACTCTGAAAAAGCTTTATCACTCCAATACAGGAGCTCACCCCTCTCCAGTTTATTCTCCAAGCTTCTCCTTCACTGTTTAATGTCTCTAATGGCAAAAGCATATACATCTTTGATGGGCTCCATAATTTACTTGTTTGATGCGGGAGTAAGAATTCTCTCTTTACTCCAGATTCTTCTGATCCAACGAAGAGTCTCCCAAACAAACCATTGAAGAAAAGTTCCTGGAAACACTTTGCTTTGAACATCTGATACCCAAAAAATTAAAAAAGAATAAGGCCACATAAATTGGTTCCCGGAAGTTGCGATATAACTTCCTTTTTTGGGTGAATGGAAGATAAATAATAATTACACAAAAAATTATGTTATACCTGTTCTGCATCCAAATACAGTTTTCCACATGCAGAAACACAAGAATTGACTGTCTTTGAGATCAAGTATAGATCTGCCTCACAATTTCCCACGTCATCATCAAGTTTTGATTCCATCAGAAGAACAAATCCAGAATAAATCTCTTCGATAATGTCACAAGCAAAATCAAATTTATAGGCATGAAAAGTGGCTCCATTAGGATTTGCAACCCAAGTTCCAGATAATGCATTAATACAAGTAGTCCCATGTAATTCCTTCAGTTTTGTTGTTCCTACAGTAGTATTGATATATGTGCGTAAGTAAAGATGGAAGAACGTAAAAGTAAAGATGAACACTCTTTTAGCCCTTGAAAAATGAGTGCACTTTCAATTCAGTCTCAATCATTAACCAAAACATTTTCTAGAATGCCCTTCCGCGCTATATCCATACAAAATATAATGATAATCCTAATACATTGCTAACTTGGAGTGAGGAATCTGAGGTGTAAATTAAAGGTGCAAGTTAAATCATTAAGTCCAAGTCAAAAATCTGTAAATTTTGGCAGCAATCTTTAGATCGAACAGAATGAAGACCAACAATATGGTATTCTAGTGATTAAGGAACTAAATTGAAGGATTAGTAGGGAACAAAATTAGAAGTGCAATCATCTGTCCGGGACTAAGGTAGAGTTTCCTCAATATGCTAAATATAAAACAGACACGAAAATGGTCCCACGTAAGTTGCAACATGATAAATTTCTTAATTTCAAGCATATCAATATGTGACAACGGATATAATTCTTCTACACATGATCGTCAACATTGTATTTCCAAATAGGTATAATTTATTATGTAAACTAATAGATAAATGGGAACCCAAAGCCCAACTCCTAGGGAAAGGGGAGACATCTATCGTAGCAGGACAGGAATTCAGGAAACGAAGTACTATATTCATCTTGTCTTTATATCAACATTTAATTTAAAACAAATACACATAACATGAAAATTATTGAAACTAGCGGAAATTACTCAGATGAATCACTTTAAGATGTTGACATAATTTGATTAAATTATGCACATATACCTTCCCCGGATGATGAATTTTTCCAATTAAAGCTCATATTAATATCTAAAGGCTCTTCAGAAAAAGGGAGCAGATGGTCGTTTAGAGCACCCATCTGATGCAGCTTTTTACATGCCTCCAAGCATACAAGCTGCTTTGACAACTGAGAATTACTACTCGCAGGACCAATTAACGTGTGAAATGGTGCACTAGGAGGAAGTGATAATTTACATTGATAATTCCCTTCTGAATATGACAATTGGAAAATTGGTTTTGGAACAAAGTACCTGTTTTAATTGGAAACAAATCAAATTTTTCATATTGCTAAGTTCTCAGAATCACATATATTACCAAAGTTTAAAGGAACTCATGTTGTGGCATTGATTAAGTAAAAGTATTCATACTTATCACCAGGAAGCTTTTCACAATATCTATGGATGAGACTGACACTAGAATCTGCAGTAACACGTGCACCCGTTTTATTGACACTATATGTGTGTATTTCCTCATTCCTATAGGGTACCAAAGCAGAAGAATCGAGTTCTCTTTTCATCGCCACATCTTCCATTGAATATTCACTCGTAATAATGTCAAACAGTTGATTTCTTTGTTTCACATTTGCCCTGTAAAACTTGTAAAGTGAGAACCTTTTGACAGAAAAACATGAAGAGAATATCATTAAGAATACGTTGACATGTTTTGAAAAAACTGCGTCAACCGGCTATTTTCTATATGCAGGTGTGCATGTACGTGTTATGTTAGACCGTGTTATGTTAGACCAGTATGATAAGAAACAAAAAGAAGAAAGAGTGAGATAGAGCGTAGAAAAGAAGGAAACTTTAATTAACAGCCGATACACACTACCTTCCACCTAATGCGAGGCTTTTATATTCGTTGGACATGAAGGGCATGAAAACTAACTCCCCACTTTCTAACGATTTCACCTATCCCTTCTATATTACATACTACTGTACTATAAGCCAATGACAACTGTGTTGAAAACCGTATGTTGATTATTAGTTGCCTCGTATCACTTGCACTTGAACTGATCTATGATGATAGACACAAAAAGATATCAGTTGATCACATTCAGATTAGTTGTTTCTCTGTTTTTCTCTGTTAACTATACACATTAGCATCTGGTATGTGTTATAGGTTAAGGAAGATAACTTTTGTACCTTTCAAGCATGATGATAAATTGAGAATTGTTTTGCCGAGCACGTCCCCTTGATTGGACATAACTACGAACTGTTTTGGGCAGATCAAAACGTATCACACAAGAGCAATTTGCCACATGAATTCCCTCCTCAACAACATCAGTTGCAAATAGTAGGTTAACCTATATGTTGGAATTAGTAATTTAATATTTTCCAGATGTATAAGTTCAACGTTAGCGTATGTCCATAGTAAACGTTCTAGTTCTTGTTAGGGTATAAGTTAGTGATTCATGTGATTAGAAGCTAAAGGATCATCCCAAACCGGCTTCTATACTATCTTCCTCTACCTCTCAACCAGTGGGCCATTCATATCAAATATAAACTACTTAGGTTTTTCTTCTTAAGATTTAACATATGAATCTTGATATTTTGAAAAGAAAAAAAACCTTAAATCTAGATCATCTAAATTTAAGTTCAATGGTCCAGAGATCAAGGTATAGAAAAGCTTATTGGTAACCCATATACTCTCATTGTACATGAAGATTAAGAGAAAGTCAAAGAACTTGAGTAAATATAGAAAAATCGCTCTTCCTCCCTCCAACACCGTGTAGAAAGTTTGTGCAGCAGAACAGACTCAATGCTATAAAGAATAAACATTTCTTAATCAATTGATATATAATATCCAGTACCTTTCCACAGGAAAACGACTGTAATATTTCTTTCTGCATCTTTGGCACTATTGAATCACAAGAATTATTGCTTCCAGTTAGATGTGACACAGTAAAATGTGATAAAAACTTGACTTTCTTCACAAGTCTGTCAATGACTTTCGCTGTGATAATTCTTTCAACAAATATGAGGCACAATACATCCTTACTTTCTCTGCAATGTAAAATATGATGGTCAATTTTCGTACCATCATTGCTATTATTAATTATTAATATTATAAAAGGACAAGTAATCAGCTTACCCAAATGATTTGAAAATTTTTATTAGTTCATATAATTTTGGAGAAATGTATCCCAAGTCTACTTCTTTTACGAGGTCATCACTAAAGTCCCCAAAGTTGTTAATTCCTGAGAAGAGATGAAGATTAAATAGCTTCTGCAAATCTTCTTGCTTACAGTTATTTGGCATCAAGTTACATGAGGAGACCTACTTCATTTTTTTTCTTTTTGGGTAATTGGACATCACTAGATGGTATCCCTTGAGATGATGTAGCAAATCAACAACTAAAAATGAAGATCATATGAGAAAAGAAATCCACATATAAACAAACCAGTAGGGAAAAATGCCCCAAGTAGCTGCATCAGTTCATTAAGAAATTGTGCGTGCTTCAAACGGCTTTCATCATATAGTTTACACCCCTCTTGAGGATCAGGGCTGTTCTCTTGACAGAATTTAGCAGCCTATAGAAAGATGGATAATATTAAAAAAGACAAAGGAAAAAGGAAAAAGTTAAGGGACAAAACAATCACAATGAATGACAGGAATATAAAGGTATGAATGAGAATAGTTTGCAAAATGCTTCTAATCCATCTCAAGAACTACGTGATAATAAATTGCTACACCGTTGAAACTATGATAAGTATTGCATAACTGTGAAAGAGATCAAGAAAGGATCAATAGAAGTTGAAAAACAATTCTATGAGATTAATCAATGAGGACTAAAATCGTACCTCATAAGCGCACACAAGGCCAAGATCTTCAAGGCAATACAAAATCTTTGAATAATCTTTAGACAATCGCTTTCTCATTCTCTCAAGTCTATCATCCACGTCTTTATATTGGCATTCCATTGACCGTTGCAGTCTCAGCAATGAAGCATCAAACTGTCAAAGCAGAAGAGTTTCTCACTGTCCTTTCTGTTTTAACAGTAAATAAATATAATATTATTCATACCATGTGCATGTGTTATTTGTACACATAGGAATCAGATAAACATGTACCAGATTATATTATGTGTAAGTAATAGGGACACGTGTATTACAGTTGAAAAGTTTTAAGTAAGACTTCACCTAAAAGTCTAAGCTGTGAAGGAACTAAAAGAACGAAGGCTGTAAAGACTGAGCACAAGACTGCTAAGTTATGGAACTCTAATATTATAGCAAAGACCGTTTTAGCTTGAAGCTTCAGCTTAACAAGCAAAGACTTGTAATTTGTACTATTCTGGCACAACGTACCTCTGGCCATAGAGATTCCATCTTTAGTTTTAGACCCTCAAATGGAACTCGTGCCTGATCATAGAATCTACAAGTTCCAGAGGCAGAGGGTACACATATTTCCAATTCTGTTCGGTCTTTAACAGTATAAATCTGCTTGACAGCATTTGAGAGTTTCAAAAATTATCCATTGACCTTGGATGACTAAAAATTTGATCTATCAACATCACCTGGGAATCCAAGATGCTTTCAAGAGTAAACATCTGACCTTTGCAGTCCATGGTGGATGAGATAACTGATGCAAAAAGTTCAGTTTAGAGTCCACTTAACATTTCAAAAAATGTCAAGATATTTGATGTTTCCTAAGAAATAAAAGTAATCTATATGACGTAACTAACTTCATACTTCTTAATCAAGCACCCTCTCTGTATATTTATATGTCACACAAGATTAAAAATAGTAATTCAGGCCAAAACGTATATTGCAAACTGTAATGACTATGTGTCTAGCGCACACACCTTCATGATCCCATGTATTTCCTATATTGCCTTGCAATAATAAAGTCAAGCCAATAAATACTTTAGACAGAGATTAACTCTAGATTACTACTAATAGAGATTAAGGTATAATGACATGTCCAATACCGCGTTGAGCAGTTTGGGCTGCTCAATGGGTATTAAGCGAGTTGATTCGCTCATGTCAATAAAAAGATTTTGCAACAGTTTTTCAGCCCGCTTAGGTTGTCATCAAATAAGATTCACAAAGAAAGATGATTTCTAAGGAAGGTCCAGTAAATAGCCCTTCATAGATTATGATTACAAACTAGCATCATTCCAACTTGCAGCATAATTTGGTTTTGAATCTGAACAACTACGAATGGAAAATAATAAATTGCAACTGCTTGATGTTAGCCCTTGAAGCAGACACATAACATCAGAGGCATGAAAACTTCATTTACCCTTTCCAATGACTGGTGATGCTGTCATTCCAAAAATCTTTGGCTTGTCACTGGACATGTGATAAAATTCCTAGAAATGAAAAGGATGAAGGTAATAAGCTTCCCTCTTAAGGTTATTGCTGTAAATATAAACGGCAACAAGGGGAAAGTTCTTCAACAATATGTTTTATTCGTATATTAACACTGCATTACCAAGATGCAATTCAAGCAGATTTTGGATATTTCTGGGGAAAATGTCAAAACAAGGACATCCCTGAACTTTGAGTCACATGCAAATAGCACCTAGGACTTAAAGCAACTAGAAAATAGGTCCCTCAACTTTCACAAATAGATTGCATAATCTGCACCAACCTTCATTATTTTAACGTAAGGATGGTTCCCACTTGCACGATGGCATTCATCAATAACCAACAAAGAGACTGTTTTCATTTTGAAGAATGCTTTTCTTAAGCCATCCAAGAGAATTTGTGGTGTCATGATCATAACCTGTATTATTAGTGAGGAGGACAGAGGAAAATGTTCTATGAAAGGAAAATGAAAGTGAAATTGTAATTGTACGACTAAGATAAACAAAAGAAAGCTATAATAGTGGCCTTGAAGGACCATAAAACTTAACTAATATTATAGAGACAACTTTGTTATGACTGTTTAAATAGCAGGCTTACATCTTGCTCTTCAATTTCCTTTTCCCAGCAGTTCAAATTCCAGTCGTCTATTCCCTTGGCTCCATGGAATTCTTCCACTGCCAAATCCGTGTAGTCTTTTAGGACCCCAAATTGCTGCGCGCAGAGTCTAAAATCTGTCAGTCATAAATTCGATACAATTTTCTGCGGAAAAATCATTTTACAGTCCCGCGTAAACAATCTAATAGCATGCAGATATTATCATTTCCTACACCGGAACTTGTTACTGCATGCTTCGCATTTGTTGTAAGACTTTTTAGTGATTAAATTGCTTAGGTGGGACCGCACAGTAATTTTTCCATTTTCTTTCCTTATGTTCCCCTCCTTTTCATTTTCTTTTATCATGTGGCATCCAATGATTCATTCGGTTTGCATCAAATCGCCCCTATGGTTAAATTTTCATCAAATTGTTTAGAGTTCTAGCATATTATCATCTCATATGAATTTTTAATTATTTCTGAAAATAATAATACAACTACAATTAGGAAAATGCCTGATTAACAATATGGACTGTGGGAGCCAAGAAAAGAATCAGCTTCTTTTGGTGAGTGGACTTAATAGAATGAGCTATATGCCTAATAAGCATCACAGCTATCATCGTCTTTCCAGCACCAGTATCCAGCACTGCTATAGTATTCCTTCTCTTGGCAACTTCAAACACCTCAACTTGATACCTTTGAGGAACACACAAAACCACAACCCAAAAGACACATCCAAAGGTTAATTTTCCAGTCAATATCATCACATAGGCAAGATAGAATCTTCAAGAGAAATGAACGGGAGCCAAATTAATTACGTACCTTCTAGGATTGAAATCTTTAGCATTAGAAGAAGGTTTAGAGTTTTGATTCACGTCAGGATTTGTAAAGATTGTGTTGTTGGGAGACATCTGAAGAACTTGCTTTTGGGAATTCACTTTGTACTGTGCAACGAATGTGACTAATTCTGTTTCATGTCAACGACTTGTTTAGCTCAAACCAATGTGAAGGGCTTTCAGTCTGTGTTTAACTACATCCGAATCATAATAAGAATGTGATGAGGCTGAGTTTCTAAATAAAGGATTTATAATAACATAGTAAGAGCAATAAATTAGAATAAAATCAAGGTTTAAGTTGAAAAATATAGATCAAGACTGGGGAAACTAAAGTTGAATTTTGCTGTGTTAAAAGTTGGGCACATGCAAGTTTCATTCTCACTGGCAAGATGGCTGAAAAACACATGGCATGAAGATGGTGTGTTTTCTTTCTAAAAGCCATGCAGAAACCAAAGGGAAAAGTGGAAATGACGGTTAGGGACCTTTTTTAAAATAAAATAACGACAGTTAAGATGTTTAGAGGCTAAAATTTGAAAATGGCAGGACCAAAGTCCCTGAAAGGAAATTTTATAACCCAAAATGACCCTACTAAATTGTAGAATTATGGGTTAAAAATGTGTTTCAGCTCTCATAATTTCATAATTTTTGGGAACCCAAAAGCCTTGTATCACTTTCGTACTAGTTGAGAATTTAGAAAATGGTTAATTAGAAGAGAAAATTGCACGTAAATAGTTAAATACTAGAGAATGTGAAATCTGAAAAATATATGAAATCTTTCAAAATATCGGTACTTTGCGTATAAATGAATAATTTTTCTAATCAAAATGTATAATTTATATAAGTAACCGCACATGTTCCCCCCCCCCCATATATTGCATATGAAAATTAGGTAAAAGTATACATTTTATCTTTTAACTGTAAAGTGTTCTTTGTTTGTTTTATACCTTAGGCCTAAGAGATGGTTTCATGTTGATCCTATTGTTTTCACAACAACCATTTATCTTTATTAATTTTGATTTTGTGTTGATTTCTTAATTGTCAGCGTGTAATCATACTCAAAAAGCCCCATTATTGGTTTTACCATGTATTTATTAATTAATTTAATAATTGTAATTTATATATTTTAAAAGCATAAAATAAATAATTGCAATCTCAAAAATATTTTAACTTTTCTATAAGCACATATATCATTCTATTGAAAGCAATCATATTCGAAGTATTATCAATTATTAAATGTAAAAATATCTCTCAACAAAAATTCATACCTTGATTTGTGAATGCCATATTGTAAGAAATTAGCTCTTTCAATTAAACTCAACTCCTATTAATGAAAAATATTATAATTTAATGAGTGGGTTTTTTGTATTCTTGTATGGCATTATAAATTCTGGAGGAGTCAAAGTCCTCAACAAAGCCAAAGAATTTACACAACACAGATAAACAAGTAACATCATTGTCCTTCTGTTATGTGAGAACATCAATAAAACGAGAAATTTCTGTGTACACTCTAAACCAGCTGCCTAGATTTGGAAGAAGCCAGAAAAAACTCGTCAATTGCATCAATGGATCGCACCGCCTCACAAGCCTGCTTTGAAATTCTTTACGTGGACATTTGATCTTACCCAGTACAAAGATGGAACGTTTGCCATAATGCACTTTCCTTCCTCACTTGCCACAAGACAAGTACCTAATAGTAATAATGATATTACCTCCAATCGTCTATATAAGAGTTGGTTAGGATTGAATTTATTCATAAATATAAAATATGAACCCACTTTGCTTCTCAAATATATATAATTCATTTTTCAAAATATCTCTACTGATTACATGTATTAAGAGGGTTTCCATTTACTAATAATCATTATTAAACATGATATTTTAAAAAAATCAACTCATTTTTTAAACAACTAACTTAACTTATTTTTTAAAATTAAATAACTCGTATACTAAAGACAGAAAGGATAACTGCTTTTAATCTGAGCATGAGTGCTTGAACATATCAGCAGTCAGTGGTATTATTATTTTATTTTTTTTGGACTGGCAGTGGTATTATAATTTCAAGTCTGAAACTGCTCTGAATAGCATAAACCCTAGTAGTGAATAAGGAAATTCAACACAATTGTGAATTTGTAATTACCATATAAATCAGGTCCACGCAATCCCACAGTAACAGCAGTCTCCCACCCCATTACAACTTCAGAAGGAAAAACCCGTATTCTTCCAGTACACCATAAACACTCAAAAATGGTAGAGGAAAAAAAGTACAAACGAATCAAACCTGAAGAACCATCTAGTTATTTAAACATATGCAACAGAGTCAAACCACAAAATACCGGATAGAGCAATAAGAGGACTGATGACACTAATCCAAAATTATTTTTAAAAAATATATAATTTTTAATTTATTTTAGTTGGAAAAAAAAAAAACTTGCTTCCAATAACCTAAACGAAGTTCACACCTCCACCTATGATAACGGTTCCCATCAGCAAAACCTGAAGAATCAAAGCATTCTGTACCATAAATTCATATACTGTTGCGTAATACAAACCGATAAATGGGATGGTTCAACTTGCTGAATTTCAGGAACAGAAAATAGTCACGAGATTCACTACTTCCGCAAGTGCACAGGCAGTACAAGAAACAGAAAAAAGGTTTTAAAAAAAAAAAATCCATTGCCTCGTGCAAAAACTTGTATTTACAAATATTTGAATTGGCTTTTGCCAACAAAAATGATTGCTATCCCAATTAACTAAGAGGGTGACAATAAACACCCACTAATCTACCAAAAAAGGGGAATTGTGTTTCTCTACAGAATGGCCAAGAGAGACGACCCTGTACACACCTCTGTATTCGTGTCCCTTCCAGAAAAAAAAAGGGGGGGTTTAAAAAGTGATAATGTGCAAGATCTGGATGACACAAATAAAAATAACCAATAGTGCCAGCCAATTAATTTTTTAACAGGACCAGCAGAAACCAATGCATCTGTTTCCATATTCACCAGCTTCATCTGCACAAAACCCCCATAAAATAGATCACGTCATTTTTTCCTGCCATATATAAACCCAGCAAAAGAGCAATCTAAAGGCCAAATGAACATGCACACAACAGATCAGATCAACTTTCATTAAATACCTTGCAACTTGGTAAATACTTTAAGGTTTGAATGTGTGCGTGGGTGTCACTGTATTATACATGAGAGAATTAATGGGGTATCAAAATGCATGTGAATGTCAACTGAGGAAAATTACAACATACATCCACGCGTTATCTGTGTACCAGCACAAAATTGAGAGGAAAACTCAGATGATGTCATATAATATCAGTTACTACTCCCATACAGTGTCATCTAATTTGCATGACTGTTTCTTTAGATTCAAATTACGAAAGAACATGTCAGCATGCATTTGGCAGGAGGAAAAGCTCAAGATAAAAGTTGATGCAGAAAGATTTCCTGTTGTAAACTGAGAACGATAACCTAAACCAGCTGGACTTGGTTCTGCTGCGATTGATATTGTTATGCTTAAAATAGAAGGATAATGCCTAAGAATCAGCTACTAAACATATCAGCTCAGAGGAAAATTTGAAGTAAAAAGGTATGACGACGTTACAGGTCTAACTGGAGTAAAGCTGCAGATTCTCATCAAAATAAGACCTCAATGATGCAACAAATTTAATAACAATAGCCACCATCGTCGCCATGTGGACAAAGTGGTCATATTCTAGTTACGGATATGACCATTGAGGATAAACCTTTATCTACACCAGCATTTGTTGATTGTAAGCCCGTTGCATATGGTGCTGTACATGTCTCTAATTATTGTAGTCTAATGTCTCGTATCAGGTCTCTGTAAATACAAGGATTTATGTAGGTGAGAAGTTGCAGACTACATTTCCCACAAAAGCACCAAACTTAATCAGCAGTAGTTCAGAAAAATCATCCGATGTCTATGGATAATAATACTCTCAACTACGACCAGCTCAAAAGTCACATCCCCCACCAAAAAAACAAAATCTATAAAAACAACAGGTCGCTTATGCTTCAATGCTCACTATATTTGTGAATATAAGTGAAGGCAAAATAAGCTATATATATATATATATATATATATCTAAATACCTGTAAATTGCTGCCAAAAGGGCATAAAAAATTCCAATCCTGACAAAGGCCACCGCTCTCAGGGTAGCTGCTCTATCCATTTGGTTGTATCATTCCCCTTTGAATTCAGGACAGACAAAACAAAACTTGCTCTGCCCTGGCTGCGGATGCTGCAATTATTACTGAGGCTGACGTTGCAAAGTCACATGTTTATGTGAATGTTGATCTTGGCCCTGTTGATGCTGTTCGTGGGGCTGATGTACCTGTTGGGATGGAATAGGTTGCGATGAAGATTGTTGAATAGGCAGTGGCCGTTGCTGCCACTGTGCAGCTGAATTATGTACATGAGGCATGACAAATGACAACTGTCTAGGGCCTTGCCCTTGATTAATAGTAGGTTGTGGCTCATTCCCAGCTGAATTTCTAACAGGTACTTTCTCGAAGGAGCCCACTCGATTGGCAGGAGTTGGAACATGGGAATCAAATGGTGGTTCTGTTCTCCACTGAGCAGAGGAATCAATACAATCATGAGTCACAGCAGTGCCTGTACTAATCTGAGAAGCATTATTTTCAGGGGGATGATCAGCTTGAGTTAAGTCAGATTGAGGCTCGCTTGATGACTCAGAACGCACCCGAAAGTTCTGTTGCAACATTCTGTGAACATTTGACTGAGTTTGATTCATTTTCTTAGATTGTAGCTGAGATTGTTGCTGTGGCTGGGGATTGTTGGAAGAAATAACAGCTGATGAAACTGCTGTCTGAGGAGGTGACAATACATGACCTGATGGAACTGTTGGAGCCTGTCCCTGAGTACTATTATCAGAAGGTGATACCACTGACTGAAGTTGTTTTGATGAGGTGGTTATTGGCCCCGAATTTAAGTTGTGTTGCAACTGGGAATGATTTGAAGGATGAGCAGGACCCAACGGCTTTGATGGTTGAGTAGGATTTAAATTAGAAGCAGGATGTAAGTTTTGATCTCGCATCATGTGTGAAATTTTATCCCCTTTGTCAGCAGTTTGACTTGCTGGAGGTACTGATAATGTATGGAGATGAGAAGAATCTATAGGGATATTCTGTTGGACTGAGATGCTTCCTCTTCCCATTCCCTTCACAAGTTTAGCCTGCTGATGAGACAGTGGATGCTGCCGTTGATTAGGATGCTGCCTACCTGATTGTTGATGCTGTTGCAGCTGCTGCTGAGGCTGTCGCTGCCTTTGGTTCACTGCTTGATTGTTCAACCCACTAGCACCAGGATTCCTGGTGAACCCTTGTGCCAGGTGATGCTTCTGCTGTTGGTGAGATGACAAGGGAGTCAAAGGGTGTGAAGGTGTTACAGGGAAATGAGTTGCTTGCTGAGATGAATTTTGAGATTGGGCCAGACTATTATTTTGCAGAGATGATGACATCGAAGGTTGAGATTGTGCCTGAGCATGTGGCATCAATGCACTTGCTGCAGCAAGCTGTTGCTGTTGCTGCTGAAGATATCGCTGCTTCTTTAACTGTCTTTCCTTTGCCACCCGCATCATATAGGCTTGCTGCTGTGAATTAGTAGCAGCATGGTTTGGACCTTGAAGATTAGAATGAGGACTGCTGAGATGTGACTGTTGTTGGGACAGCTGATGTGGCTGCTGAGCTTGCCCAGGGTATGGCTGAGCAGGCGGTGGAATAGTCTGATTACTAAAGGAAGAACTCAACCCACTGAAAGCTGAAATACCTTGGCTATTCCCTTGAGTGACCTGCATCTGAATCTCTGGAATCACCATTTGCCTTTGATGTTCTGGATTATGGCCAGGCTAGTGACAGGGCAAAAGTTATCAGTGAAAATTGATATGGCTTCACGTGTGAGAAAAAGAATAATAAAATAACAGTAAAATAGACTAATGTTAATTTATTATCAACAGGTACCAAGGAAGCCATTTAAGCTAGACCAATGCATGGATGCTGAGTTGGATGGATTAAAAATTTCATAATCATAATTCTGCCTAAACAATGTCAACAATAAAATTTAACCCTTAAAAAAAATGGAACAGGAACACCCCTCACCCTTATCATATGTAATGCCTCATGAGATCTCAGCATTGAGCTGCCTTGTCCAGAACCAACTCCAGAGTGCATGTTTCCAGGACTTGGCATCCCCGTCATATTAGAGGCAAGCATGCTCCCAGAACTCACCATAGATGATGATGCCATTCCTTGAAACCCTGGCCTTGACAGTGCCATACTTCTGTTCATCCCACCAATCATGCCCACACTATTTCCACCAGAAAGCATGCGAACACCACATTCACTTCCCGAAAGAGATCCAGGAACAGACATGCTCGACTGCTGAACATTTCTTCTAGATAACATTTGATTATATTGTTGAATTCTTTGCTGCTCCTCAACTGACAAAGGTGAAGTTCTTGGAACCCCATATCTGTGTCACACAAAATATATTAACTACCCATCAAATGAGTTGTGAAACTGATGCAGTAAATTACTGCAACGCAAGAATCTTCAGCTGTATTAAGACCATACCTGGCAGAAGCAGCAGCCGACCCAGATGGTGAAGACAAGCTGTTACCAAGAACCATACCAGAAGATGCTGGAAGTGAAGGATTCACCCCAGACGTAGGAAGTACTGATGGCACAGAACCTTGATTTGATAAAAAACCACCAGCATGAGAACCCTGATACCCAAGGGGAAGGGAGTCTGCTATATCACAGAGATCAAGCGGCCTTCACCAAGAAATCAGCCAATTAAAAAACTTGTTCCCAATGAAATTGAAAGGGGAAAAAGAAAGAAAAGCAGCCCAAAAATGTTAAAATCAAATGTCAAATCCTATAAGATGAGCAAGGTAGGTAATGTAATAGAACGCAAACTATAGGTTAAACTCGCATCAATTACTGTTGGAGATCACAGGATCCCAATTTCTCCTACAAAATTATTTGTAATTTGTCTCCTTAACATCAATCTATTTTATTATTTTGTCCTGTCAAACATCATTATGCTTCAATTATTGCCTTTTTGGTGGCTAATTTGGAGGGATTAGATCGGAGGTTCGTCTCCTTTCCTTCTCTATATACTTAATTACTTCTCATTCAATAAAATTTGAACTCAAGAGCTCAAATTCTCTGAACTTTCACAATTATCACTTAAAAACTAAACTAAAATAAAATAGAGCTTACGTTAAAAGACCTCCATTCCGGTTGTTTGGGCTGACTTTGGAAAGAGCAATGACATGGGAGTTATCGACAGTCATTATTTGTTTTGCATCTTGATTATCATTCTGCATTAAAACAAAAAACATCAAATTAGAATCAAGTTCTGAGACTGAGGGGTTAAAAGGACAACGAAGTTTCCAAGTCCTCCACCGCCCCAAAGCAACTCAGAACTACAAGCTCATAATTCAAATAATCAGATAATGCATCAGTTACTTAATCTTTTCAGAGATGAACAAGATACTACCAAAGAAAATCAAATGGATAATTCCAAGACTGCTTTTGTTCGTCAAAAGTACTGTTTCATATACAACCACATTTTAGAACAACATAATGATCCAAATAGCTGCCTGAGTTTTTTTGGTTCGCTCACAGTTTCTGGATTACCCAATAATGTATCCCATATACATATAGATATGCTTGGGGGCCTGGGGCAAGCTCTCAAGTTCAAACAGCAACAAAAGCCAGAACATGATATCACATAAAGGTACTAAAGTGAATAGCCCAATAATAAAGAAAGCAAGTAAAAATAATATCAGGTCCTAAAAGTTCTAAAAATCATTGAATACCAATGCTAATACAAGGTGTCCTCTAATCTTACTAATGCATGACCAAGGAATTATGATAGGAAATTGCAATTCATCTGAGCTCCAGGTACAGGCATCAGTAACAAGGGAATAATAATACGAAAGGCATATCTTTTGATATCACATTGCCAATGAAACCGTTGCAATAACAAACTAGCATGTGAGAAGAAAGTTGAGGAATTCCATTTCCTTTCGAGGCAGGTAATGGCCCACATGAAACTTAACCACAAGATCTTGTGATAGGCACTGAATGATACCTTGCAAGATTTCCATCCCCACCAACCACAAGATAACACACAGGATATATATTGTACCCAGTTAACAATGTATCATGGCCACACCACTCCTAAGATTAGATTACAAGACCACTTAACATAATTATGCAGCATATAATGGAAATACTCAACCAATCGCAAGGAAGCAAACCTAAAGCATCGCTATGTAACAAGGACAAAAAAATATTTAAAAAATCAAGAACAAGTGATAAAAGGTTCAAGTTGTGGCAAGGGAAAATATCCCAGCATCATAGCAACTAAACCTGATTCCAGTGGTGACGGTATTTTTGCCCAATCTTAATAATTTTCTCAAAATGAGACTTAATGGTTTCCTCCTCCATGGGCCCTTGCAAACGCTGAAACAACTGTCTGGCACTGCCCTGCAAAAAGCTAGAACAAATCTAATCAATCAAAGCCTCAAAGTCCGTTGACCTCAAAATAAATAAAAAATAAATAAATAAACTCAGCTTAAGTAGTTAGGTTTACTACATATGGTTTCACCATTACATATTCTTTAACAGTTAATTAGAAAAAAAATGAAATTTGATAAAAGATTCCTGCCTTTGGAATTCCCGGTAGTGTGGATGGATAAGACTGAGAAGACCCTGAATCTTCAGCACTATCTGCACCATCCCCAGCACTTTTATCCATCAAGATCTTATGACGCTCCTTGCACTCTCTTGGCTTTCGAAAGATGTACTAGAAATGTCACAAATTTTTATCTAGTAAGTGAAGAATCCATTATATCCCAGTGAACCAAATCCAAATAAAATTAACTCAAAATAAATGAGAAAAACTTCAGCAGTCGAATCTTCAAAAAAGAGGGAGGGGTATCCGACATCTCCTTTTGATGTGGTGGCATAGTCAACATCAGTAATTACTAAAATCTTGTTCCTGAACGTTGCATAGAGATGTTCTATCATTTGCCATGCTGAATGAAGCGCAAGTAGTGCGAGATAATATCCTAAGATTAACATTTTTCAGTGGGTAAAGGACTCTTGCCCCGCATAAACAACCGGTTCTGTAGTGCTTTCATTTATTTAGTAACCAGTCAAAATCACAAAATGGAAAACGATCCTTGAAACTTCATTTAATTAAATCATTCTATAAACCTCTAGTCGCCAAACAACATGGCTTGATTTGTCTTAAAATAAAAAAGAACCTTGACTTTTCATTTCAACAATGTCTTTGAACTAGTAGAAGAAAAATTAACATGTTCCACAGCACTATAATCTTGACTTTCTTCAGAACCAAGTCACGTATGGATTTTCTTCAAACCGAAGAAAACAACAGGATTGTGTTTTTATTTCAATAATAGATCTTTAAAGTAACAGAAGATAAACTAAAATTTCCCAAAACCTTGCAATCTTCCCCTAATTTGCAAGATTATTCATATATAAGCTGTTGAGAGCATCACTCATAATCTTACCTTCAACTGGAGTATACTGTTGATAGCATCACTTATAAGCTCCCAGTTTGGACCCATATCATGTACTAAGACAACAAGTGCCTGTGATAGAAAAATAGAGGAAGGCCTTTATAGGTCAGTCATTGAGATAGAACCTAAACTATATATACCAATTTGGACAAGAAAATTCAATATAGCTGAGGAATTACAAACAACCTGGTCTTCAAATAACGACCAAGGACCTCCAGGATCTGACTGTCCAGCAGACATCTAAATGAAAAATAGAATAAGCAATTCAGCAAAGTCATAGCAAGAGATATTGCGGGAAAATAACCATGAAGGTCAATACCAAAGTTACCTTCAAAGTTTTAGCTTTCCGGCCCCTAATGATTTTAATGGACTTGCTGAGATTGGACATGTTACTCATTTGTGATGCAGCTGGGGAGGGAATAGAATTAGTCATTGGACTAATGTTGTCAAAAGTGTTATCAAATGATTGCTTAGTTATCTTTGGCTTCTTTGCATTATGTTGTCGATACAAACCTAAAAACAGGACAGTTGAATGTGTAAAGCCCAAAGAATACTAATCATCATACAAAACAGATTTCTAAAATACAACAAATAACAATGTGAAATACCACTGCTTCCGTTAGATTCAAAATGATGATCATCCAATCTCCTCTTGAAAAGACCCCTCTGCATTGCAAAGAGACCACATAACTAAATTAGAAAATCTTAATAGTAAATCAGAAGAGTGAAGAATGGGTTCAAAGAAAAACTCTTAAAAAAGTGACTGGAATAACAGTGAGGAAGACATATACAAAGAAATTGACTTAGTCAAACTGTCTTTTATTTTGCTTTTTTGATTTTTCTAAATATTTACCTTGGATATAATAGAAAGCCATACTGATGGAGCCCTTTCAAACAATTTACTCCCTAAAATCTAACTTCACCACAGTAAATTTGCAAATGCAAATAAAAGTAGAAGAGCAAGAGACAGGTCAAAATCAATTTTCAATAATCTATTCGAAGTCCAGTCACTCAATTCATTCTACAACCTACAAAACCAGTATCAATAATCCCAGTATCTTAATGGACAAGCCCATAACAACCCATGGGTATATAAAATTAAAATTGTGCAATGACATCGACAAGATATAAAAAAATAGCTTTCCAGAATAGAGTCAACATTTAACAGTTATAAGATGTTAAACAAGATATTTCCCGAGATAGACCCTAACGTTGATCTAATAACATCCTATTAATCTCAAATTTAAAGCCAGAAGTTTTGATCTGGTTTCATGACCTCCAAAGAGGAACACTGATACCATAACAAAGAATTTTTTATTTTTTATTATAAGGAGCTACCTGTTCATTTAGAACAACAGAATCCACCAGCCATCTCTGATCATATGCAGAAACCTGCAGACACACATGTTAAGCAACTAAAGCTGAAGTATGAATACAACAGTTTGTTCATATATTTTTTGGAAACATTTAAGAATGGAAAGAAAAGAAAAAGGTCTACACATCTCTTGAAAAAATGCCTGGGAGTTGCATGAAAATCTAAAATGATCGTTACCAGATTCTTTGCCTTCTTTGATTTGAAAGATGTTTCTACACAATCAGAAGGTAACTGCTTCTCTAAGTCTCCAACTGATTCCACCTCCAAACTTTTCAGGAACTGTGATCCACCATGTAAAGTACTCTGGTCATCCTGAAAGGAACTGGTGTCTCCACTAGAAGCATCTGTCTTAGTTTGAACCTGGATTGTCCTAGTGACCATGAAAGGACTTACAACTCTCTTCCTGGAAGCCATACGCTTGCGTTTTCGTTTTGTTGGAACTGACCCAACGTTTAAACTAGCAGGCCTTCTTCCAAATATCACGGATGGCTGCGTTCCAACATTATATTGACTGCAGGAACCTGGAGCACAAGACTTCATATTTCTATGTTTCTTCTGGGCATGCAAGTAATAAGTGCTGGTCTCTCCTTCATCCTCATCATATGCAATCTCTTCAGAACCAGCATCTACATTTAATTAAAACTAGAAAACTGTAACAAGTTCAAAAAAGATCAAGGATGCATCCAACATCAAATAACATATATTGTTGGAAACCAACGAATATTTAGACTAGCTTTTCTGTTATTATTTGATATTTTCCGATTATTTGTTGCTCATTATCTTTCTGTTTCATTTTGGCCGGAGAGGATTAGTTAACTGGTCCTAAACATGCAACAGGATATCTAAAAGGAATCTAATCTAAATCAGGTTAGAATCTTCCATCAATATGTAAGCCACCTATTGACTGAATCAATAATTCAGAGGACGACAGCCTTTGACCTCTGTTTCACATTTAATAATCCCCACATACCTCCTGCAGTATCATAAAAAGACATCTCAACTTCTTGAATGCCACCCCCTGTTCTCTGGAAAAACGATAAATGAATTAGCTCTCAATGAGAGCGACCAAGAGCTAAGTGATTAATAGACACAATCACATTGATAATATATGAGAAACAAACATCGTCACTGCAAATAAGACTAAACCATGATTCTCAGAACCCCTACAGTCAAAACCATTCAAGAGTAAAAAAAAAGCAGTAAACAGAGCATCTCTAGTCATAATTTTACCTCGAGCTGTAGAAAATGAGATTCAACAGATTTTCTATATGCTTCAATTGCCATAGGAGGAACTGTATAGAAAAGATTTTCCTGTCAAATCAAAATGGCATGGAAAGAGTTACTTGCTTAAATCCATGAAATGAAATGAACAAATTATCAAAAAGAGTCCACCCAAATCAACAAATAAGTCATCCAATAGATGAAGCAGCTTATCCAATGGGAATTAACTACCAACATTTGATAAAACTAGCATGTCAGTGCCAATATACAGGTGATGGAGAGAGAAAGAGTAAGAGAGATAGGTCACTAACATCAACATTAACATGTTAACCAAATATTTATAAGGTAACTTGGCCCATACTTCAGTAAGAAGCTCCTCCCATGACCTATCCACATTGCTAGAGTCAGGTATCCTTTCAGCTGTTTTCACTGCAGCTGGTTGGGAGGAAATTCCGAGAGAGTTGTTATACTTCAAAAATCTCAAGGCATATGCTTGCAATTTAAGTGACACGATCTTTCGGGGACATTCTCCTTTCAAGTCTTTGCGTGTCTCCTGACAAAACCAAACATTATAAACATCAGTAAATTATTAGGTCATAATACAAAACAAGTTAGAATGCGAAAGATATATAATGTTGTCTAAATACACCAACACTATATACATAACATATATTATTTCCCATTATGGTATCATACAACAATTCCAAACCCTTGATGAATCCAGCTAAAGTACACAAACAAAACAAGTTATTACAACAACAATAACAACAACAAAGCCTTATCCCACTAGTTGGGGTCAACTGCATAGATCGCATGACGCCATTGAGCCCTATCCAAAGCCAATCTTTGGACAAACAAACAAAACAAGTTAACGTCACACAAATGAAAATATCAAGAAAAACTTGACAACAGTCCAACACAAAAAGGCAAAGAAGTACTATGTAAAAACAATATATCATTTCCCAACAGTTTTCAAGATTTGTAACTTCCAATTCAGAAATAATCACCAGCTGTAAATGATACAAGAACACAAAGCATAATCAAATTAATACGAGATATGAATTTTTACAAGGTCCATCCAGTTCTGTAAATTATTTTGGTTCCCACATCATTGTATGAATGAAAAAAGGTTTAAATGGCAATTACATGCTATAGATTAAGTGGTTTGACATAGAATCATCTGACTATTAACCAACTAATTTCAGAAAGTAGCTAATTAAATATAAAAAGAATCATGTAACATAAGTCTTATCAAGGTGACCAGCCCAAAGCAGTTGCCAACAGAGAAGATCCAAGAAATTTTCTTTTTCTTTTTCTTTTTCTTTCTTTTCTTTTTATTTTTTCTTCTTTTCATGGATAGAGTGAAAGGTGCACATAAACAACCAGCATCGTGTTGGAATTTCTGCTCTTGTCACTAGAAGCTTCATATGAATAAACCTTCCCAGATTCAACAGAAGCACCACCGTCTTTATGAGTAGGATCATCATCGCCCACAGGGTGCGCAACTGAATGCCAAAACTGCAAGACAGCCTTTGCCATGCTGTGAGCCAAATTTTTTGACTCCCTATGTTTGTTTTGTTTACCATATCTCAATTGAGATGTCACAGCAGCTCGATGACACAATTGTGCAGCAGCAGCTATCTTCCAAAGACGCTCCTACAAACACATTCAATAATCAAAGATCAAAATTCAAAATATAAAAGTGGCAAGAAATAAATTTGCCGGTCCAAAAATTGAAAGACTCCAATATAGAAAGGGAAAGAGATGGAATCTCTAGCAGGTCTAGAAATTTAAACCTGCGCAAAATCATTTGCCAACCATGACACTTCCTCAAGGACAAAACCCCAGTGAGATACTCTGTGGTTTTCTGCAGGCAATTTCTGAATTGATAATTCTGCAATCCTTTTGCGCTTGGCCTATTTATCAATATCACATAATATTAGATAGATTTGTTTATGCTTATGCCAAGTGTGGCAGGAGGGGGGGGGAGAACTCCAAAAATTGACAAATAGAAGAACTTTGATTGCTAGAAATTTTCACACAAAAAAAAAAAAGAACAAAAACAATAACAAAGACAGACCTCTATGATCCGAGCCTCTTCCAAGATAAAATCTTCACTAGCCTTGTCTGCCAACTTCAAGTGACTAGAACATGGTCCACAGTCAGAGGCATCAGCATTAGCCTTTTCTTCTAGAGCAGTCTGGGGTTCTGAAATTGACACAGCCATAGGACCAGAATGTCTTCCACAGCTGCTGTCTTTGATGGAGCAACAGCGATCCACCATGACATCACTTCCTTTATCAGACTTTGATATGGTATTAGAACCATGCTGCACATCCTTACTATTACAAGAATCATTACTGCTAATATGCATATCTTCCTCATCCTTAACCATATTAATAGCACCACAATGGTTTTGACGACCAGCATCATTATTATAGCTGACAGTAGCATTACTTTCACCATTGTTAGCCTTGTTATTTTCTTTTACAGCTTCAAGAGTTGAGTTTAGCTTCTCAAATTCTGCTGCTTGTTTTATATCACTTCCATTAGCATCAACATTCTTTATATTGGTACATATGTCACTATCATTATTTACATCTCTACCTAGGCAAGTCTGGGTGCAGGACAACTCTGAATTGAAATTTTTCATGCCCAATACACTTTTCCTGTCTGCTTTTATGTTGCCAAAGCCATTGCGCTGATCTGAACAAATTTCATTCTGACATTTTGTGGTATCTGCAAAAGGGGGAGGTTCATGGTTATCTGAAACTGCTGGTTCCCTAGCTTCAATCACATTAGCCTCCCTTGAAGCCATGATAACTAAGTTTTGTGCAGTATCATCTTGAGACAGTAAAATACTTTTATCTTCCTTAACCCTTCTGTTATTGGTGACTTTCAAGTTCTCTTCAAGAACACTAATGCTGCCATTATCTGTTTGATTTGTTCGTACATGATCCAATTCATGTTCCAACGGAATATTAGATGTTAAATCTTTAGTAACCACCAAATCACCATTTGAACTTGCAGGCCTTGGCTTGGAAACAGAAGACGAGTTGTGGACTTTTTGGCTGTTTGTCTCAGATGTCAACCCTTTCCCATCTCTTGCAGCCCCACGAGGACCATGATTTGGTCGGGACCTGTTCCTTCTAGCATACGGGCGGAAAATAGCAGAATCTTCTGACTCCTTAGGATTTCGACTCCCCATAATTTTCGAAGACTGTTCTGATGGGGCAATATAATTCCTTCTATTCGAATGTAAAGACCTCTTTTTACTTTCAGTTAGCTCATTCTCTCGATCAAAAAGTGAGAGATTATCAGCAGTATTAGGCTCACTAATGGAAGGAACCACTGGTCTAGCACTGCTATCCACTGAATCACCATGAGGGGAGGCAGCCAATGCAAAACTACCTTTTGCTTCGCTGACATCACAATACAAGAAGAGGACATGAGAAAGATGATATATCAATTGGCAATCTATACACAGAAGAGATTCATAAGAAGGTAGCACATAGGTCAAGGAGTTTAAACACACACACACAGAGCCAACCTTGTCACAAATTGCTCATGATGTTGATCAGTGAGTGAAGTAGACTGGACACTAACTGAAGCAGTATTCCCAAACTTAAAGTCCAGGGGATTTCCACCCTGCACTTACAGGACGCGATTAATCATCAACTAACAACTAAAAATTGGAAACATAAGCCCAAAGGATTAAGACACCATACCCTTTCAAGAAATTCCAGCTCCCTTCTTCTTTCCTCACGAGCATCATACTCCTGTCTGTAATCAACATTCAACAGTTATTCTCAAAGCATCAGAATAAATTTACACTTAAAAAATACTCTGCATTAACCACATAAAGGATCTCCCTGTTACCTGAGCTCAGCTCGGGCTTTCTCAATTGCTGCTTGGCGCGGAGAAGTTTTCAAACCTTTACCAACTCCGCAGTCAACGACGCCTCCCATGGAATCAACCTCAGCATTTACAAGGAAAGTGGGTCCTGAGTTACATCCACGCATTCCCGGCACTATCATCTATAAGCTTCACCTTCCATCTATTACCAAGTCAGTTTATGTATTAAGGCATACTATCAAGGAAACCAAAAGCCATAAATGCATTTACAGATCAATACCTAATGATATAGACACCAAATGGAAATATTAAGGCACAAAGTGACAATTTCAGCCCAACATTATCTGAAATATGAAAATCACTCCAAAATAAGAAGCATAACATTTGCATGCTTTTCAGTTCAGCAAGGTTTAATCCCTACCAGGAACCCCCCCCCCCTCCTCAAAAATAAAACAGTTGGCTCTCTACCCGACTCAACTATTAAAGTATGAAATCCAAAAGATCATGTGCAGCCATTTTATGGTTTTCAAGCAGATCACATCTGTTGCCCAGCACAGTAATGCTCTAACTATATTGGTCGCATCAGCAATATTGTGGCCATATCGCATAATGTGATCCACAACAAACAGCCAAACCTAGAAGATGACAAGGGTTGCAATGTTTCTGCAAGCTAAATATGAGAGAAGGGAAGAAAACAAGAAAATTATGCACACATTATTTACAAAGAAAATTTCTATGGAATCAAGTTTTTACCAACAAACATGAAAAATATGGAAGGGCTCACATAGCTTATTTATTTATTGGTTTATAATGTATAAGTAAATAAACTCTCATTTGAAAAAGCCCTGTACTCATATTTGTTAAACAATGCTACACTGAAATAGCCATGAGCTTAAATTTCAAAGAAATGCATTTTCCAAGCAAAGTCTATATCTGTAGAAAGCCAAATGGTTTACGTATAGTGACAATGTAGCTTCAATCGAACTTCATTCTTTTGTCATCTCTCTTCGATTATTATTAATAATTCTCCCTTTTACTTTATGCACAACACATTGATTACACTTTTTTATTCTTATATTTTAATTTAATTTAATTGTGTTTTTCTCTCCAAAGTTTTTCAATTTTTCTTTCAGTATTACATTCCCTCAGGCCATCCGTCCTGGGCATGTCACTGGACAAAATCCAGCTAGATATAATTATTAGAAAATAAATTCAAATTCAAAGAAAAAGTCACCATTAGATAATTCAGACAGGCTTTAAAGGTTTTTTTAAAAAAAATTTAAAAATAGCGCGGTCAATGCATTGCTTACACATAAAAACTTCTGTCATTCCAAAATGTTCACCAGGTCGTAGGGGTCCTTCATTAACCCCAAAAATGAAATCAAGGGACCTTTAACTAGAAAGTAGCAATTCCAACCTAAGTAAAATGAGGACAAGACCAGGGACAGGACATTCTTTGAGAGCTTTGATAAGGGTAGGCTTTTGATACATATATTTACAGTAGAATCAAGGGTGTTTAGCTTCAGATATACCATATAAATAACTCAAACCAGATAAAGAAGAAATAAGGAAGAAACATAAACTGTTACCATTATGACACAACCAAACATTTAACTGGAAGTTTTATGCTTTGGCATGCCAATGAAAACATCTTTAGGCCCCATACACTAAACGTTTCTACGCATAAAATAATTATTTCCATAAAAATTTTGCGTGAACTGTTGAATGAATCAGATGTTAACTCTTCCTTGAAAACTAAAGTAGGAAAAGAGTAATTCCAATATTCACCAGGCAAATGGTCCGCATCTGAAAATCAAATTAAAAAGATTTTTTCTCTCCAGTTTCTGCGACTAACAGAAAGTACGTTCATAAGTCAGCAGGTCACATCATTTAATTATAATGTTAAAATATCTACAGTCCTACTGAAGCGGAAATGCATAACCTGACAGAAGTCGTGCATTTCCACGGCCAATATGCAGAAGAGGGAGGCAAGGAATGCTTTTTTTCCCCCCACCTCAAGGAAAGCATAGTAATTCACACCTAAATTACAAGTCAGTCTACTTATTAATACGCATGTTGGTCAACTATTGCATGTATAGAGGTTGCCGCCAATGATTCCCTCCAAAATTTCAAAGAGTCATCACTTATCAGGAACCTACATTTATTCTTCAAATTATTTGATTATCGCTTAAAGGACGCATTCCCAATAAGGCCAGACATATTTCCCCCATTCGTGAACGCATTAATGCACAAAACCATAAACGGACACAAATTCCAGCAAAAACCCGAAGGTATTCCACCACAATGTATATGACAGTCTCAATGAAAAACAGTTTCGCATAATTCGCCCAAATTATCGATAGGCTAATGATAAACGTTTCCACGAATTCCCCAATTGATGAGTCTAGGGTTTCTTAACCACACCAAACGCCAAAACAACAGCAATCAAGACAAGAAAAATACCCGGTACACACAAGAGTCGCGAAATTGGAAGCTAGGGCACTGCTAGTGACAACTGAAGGCGTCTGTCCCTGAATTTTCTCTCTCCTAGGGTTTGTATGAGGTCCCTCCTTCAGTGGGGATAACACGAATTTGACCTAAAAACTAACATTTCACATCAAATGTCCGCCATTAAAGCTTTCCTCAATGTTGGCGTGGAATCCAACGTCCCCAATTAGGTTGTCTTAAACAGGTCTTGTAGGAATTTCGTAAGAATTGATTTTGTTTCTTACATCTGCAACTAGTCAGTTCATCGTCCGGGTCTATAGCAACCGTGCGACTTCTGCAGGTGGTGGGCTGGACATGAAGACGACGGTGACGATGAAGAGGGCTTCAAGGATCAACAATTTAGAGGTCCATTTTGGGCTTTTATTACGTAATATTTATATTACACCAATTAAAATTGTGCTCAATTGAGTTTTTTATTATTTTAGTGATTAAGAAGGTGTTTGGATAGAAATAAAACTATAATTTTAAAAATAATTTTGTAGTGAAAAAATATTCTAAAAAAATACTTTTATAGCTTCCAACACTCTCTAAATAAATATTTTTCCTTTGTCGTTGTTCTTGGGGCACAGGGCCCCAACATAATATTAATCCGTTCATTTGATTTACAAAGTAGAATGAATACATTAAAAAAGATTATCTCAAGAATAAAAGGTCTATATATAGGTACCATAAGAGAGTCAAAGCTCAAGAGATAAGAAAGAATACTGCTTAAAATATATTACCTCCGGTCTTAATTATAAGACCCAATTGACTAATTTAAAGAGATTAAGGAAGTAAGTTAAGTTAGTTATTTGTAACAAATAAGTGTTGTCATTCCTAAAATATCCTTACTAATTAAATGTGTTGGCTAGAACTATCATTATTAGAAGGACTATCTTGAGAAAAAATGCATAAATATGAGAGACAAAATAGATTGGGGTCTTATAATTAGGACCAAACTAAAAGTCAAATGTGATCTTATATTAAGGACCGGAGGTAGTAATTAATAAAAGTCCACGCAAAGAAATTAAATAATCGTTTGGGACGTCAAATCAAGATGAATTGAACAAAAAATGAGGCTCCTTCTTTGGCTGATATAGCAACAAAAATGGGAGAAACTTTTGTTAATAAATATATGTAATATTACCTCCAATCCTAATTATAAGACCTTATTTGTAAATGAGGTCTTATAATTAGGGCCAAAGATGATATTGCAAATTCTTTTTTTTTTTGCCAACAGTAATATTACAAATTCCAATGAATATTCAATATGACATTTACAAAAATACTTCTCATGATTATCCATTCAACTATCTCTTTATTGTTCAACCATTGTATATTACAACTATGATCCGTTTAAAAGGTATTACATTTTGTAACGCTAATTATTTTACATGATGTAAAAAGGATCACACTGTTGTGACGGGATCACAATATGAGGGGATTTTTTGGGGGGGGGGGGGGACGAAGCATTATTTATCTTTTTTTGGTGAAAAAATTATTTATCTTTGCCTCCACAGTCTCTCCACTGCACGACCCTATCCACTATTGCTGCCCAGCCTCTACCAGCAAGGCACCTCCAGCGCAGGTTGGAATTTCCCCATTTAATGAGAGTATTTTGGTTATTGTATATAAATGGATACTTAATTTCTATAACTTATATATATACACACATTTATCTAAAACCATACCACACATATCCACGGTAATTACCATTTTGTTACTTTCCATTCCCATCTTCTACATTCCATTATTTCCACCCAATTCCACGGACCAAACGGGTCATTATTAATGCTGGGTAAAGCAGAAATGTCAAAATTTTTTTCCAAACATAAATCATTTTTTAATTTGTATGTCTAACCCATTTGCGGCTTCTGCAGCTGATGAAGGGAGTAATTCTGGAAATCATATATTAAGGGCGTCTCTGTCAATAATCCATGTCGCTAGAAGAAATACTTCAGATCAATAATCTATGTGGCATAAATGTAGACACAATAACCCATTTTTTCAATATGAAGATGGTGAACAATTTTTTCATCACTAGTGAGATTATATAGTGAGATTATATATTGATGTAGGTTCTCAAAATCTAATCCCCTTCAATTTTGGTAAATCCTACTTTATCCTACAATGCTTGTTGGAAATTTGGATCAACTTATAAATTGGAATTGGTTGAAGAGTTTTCTGGAATGCAAGTAAACTAGCCTTTGATGTATAGAAAGTTAATGAAAATAAGGGATGTTCATATGAGAATTTATTCATTATGGTGTGAAATCCTCAAATTCGATATGGTTATGCTGACTATGAGAGTAGCTTCTGGTTGAATCATTGGCCCTCATTACTATCAATGAATCTCTTTTGCAATTATTGCTTTCTTTGCATTGCCATGCTTTCCATGCTGATGAGATTGCAAAGAAAAATATGACAGTAGGCTCATTGTTTAACTATTATGTGGGGAAAAGAAGAATTTTTGGGAACTCTGGTAATGATTTGAGATGGTTTCACAAGGAGGATGAGATTTTCTTGTCATCTCAATGGTTACAGGGACAATTTAGAGCTTGCCCCCTTTGTTTTTGGATTACACTGACCCATTACCCTCCCTTGTAAGAAGGACTCGAACACACAGGAATAGAAAGAAGGACCTCCTCAGCGTGCCATCAAATCCGAGGGACTCAGCTTTATTACTTACCTATTGAGCAAGCATTTGAAGTACAACACTTTATTGTTCAACTGAGGGGTGGTCCTTTGTGCCTCTATTTAGTTCTTACTTCAGACATTTTCTCATTTTGCTCCTATTTTATATGCAGCGGTTAGTTAATTTCTTTTGACTAAAAATAAAGCCAATTAGGCTCCAAATTCCAATCAATGGATGACAGGTAGAAGAAGAAGAGATAAGATGAAGATCATTAGAAAATGGTACAAACAATTTGCATTCCACACAGAAGGGATAGAAGTCCAGGGTTTAGAAGCCAACATCGATGAATATCCCACAAGCAAACACCAATGTTTAACTTAAACCCAAAACCCATATCAGAATATGAAATACAAATAATTCCATTTCTATTATAATCAAAATGATTAGACATAATGATCCTTGACTTATTTTTTCTTTCCTCCACCACCTGCATTATTCCCTCCTGCAGCTTGAGCTGCCTTCCTTGCTGCTTTCTCCTGTAATGCCTTGGCATCTCTGCAAACACAGGCAGAATAGCCAACAAAAAAATCAGTTAAGGTATTAATGAGGAAACATGCATCAACATAATCATATTCATGTGCAATTTAACTAATTTCTGAAATACCGTGGCAGAAAGATCCCCTGGACACGAGATCTGAGTCAAAATGAACAAAACTCAACACGAAAATAGGATGAAAGAGTATTTTGATCCCCACTTGATCAATTACATTTATATCGCTTTGAATTGGTATCCTAAGTTTTATTTTAGTTTATGTTGTACTGTATGTAATAATCCATTAGCTTAGTCCAGTCTAGAAGCTGCTGATCTGACATTTTACGGGTCCATCGGCTTATCTGTAGTTGTACTGTTAATAAATACAACTAGCAGGTTAAGATTCCTGAAATGAAACTAAAAGGACCAATTTTCCCAAGATGAAAACGATAATAAGATTTAAGAAACTAAATGCCAGTTCAAATTAAAGAAGGAAAAGCTGGATGGCAGAGTGAGAGACAATAAGTACGACCTTTCCCGGCGCTGTTCAGGGGTTAATCCATCGCCCTTAGCCTGCTTGCCTTTATTAGATGCTCTGGCCTGAGCCCGTTCTCGATCTCGATCTCTCTGGTTTCCACGTGCGCTTCAGTTAAAGCTAAACAAAAGAACAGAGGGGAGAAGAGAAGAGAAACGAAAAAAGAAAGAAAAGAAGCATCAAGTATTTTCCACATAATTTTCCCGGATTCTCTCGCCAACCAAACGGCTAGCCAATCCAACCCAAGCCAAAATTAACATAATTCGTTGAAAGAAAATACAAGCCTTTATGAAACATATCAAAGGATATGAGACATTAATGACTGGTTCTTCAAAACCAAGCGAGATCGGAGGCGAAAGAAAGGCACTGAAAGATTGAAATCAAGACACAGTCATCGATAACAGATAAATTATGAATATGTTAAACAAGAAACAAGAGAGGAAGAGAAATTGTCGTACCTGATGTGGAAAAACGAAGAAGTGCAAGAGAATGCGAGAGAGTGGGTGGCGTCGGGTGAGGGAGAGGCGACTAAAAAAGGGGCAGGATTTGGAATCGAAGAGTCTAGAGGGGAGAGAGAGAAGGAAAAGCAAATCGAAGAAAGCAATTTTATTGGATGAAGGGAAAATGACAGATAAGTTTCAAGGATTCTTCCTTCGATAGCGTCGTGTGTGCGACGTGCGCGGGATAACTTAACAGGAGGTTGGGGGCCAAAAAAACAAAAAGGGAGATCTAGCTGAAGGGACGGCCACAACGTTCACAATTTTCCTTAAAATAAATTAAAAAACAGAAATGAAATGTTCTTTAAAAATTTGGGAAAAAGTTTTCATTCAAAATCTTATTAGGAAGAAGAACCCAATAAATTTCTATAAACGAAAAAAATCTATACTTAATTTCAAAAAATATCTCAATTTCCCCTAATTTTTTTGATATCTTTTTCCTAAGCCACTAGAAGAGAAATATTCTTATTCTCTCCTTCTTTCTCTGTTTTTATTTTTCGTTTTCATATTTATGATTTGATGAACATTTTGTGTCAAAACGTCCGACCATTTGGAAAAGTCAAATGCATCCACTTTTTAGAAGTCTCGTTAAATTTTTAGTTGCTTTTAATTCTCATCTACTATATCATAAAAACTAATACTTTCAATTCATTTTGTATAAATAAAGCTAACTTTTAGTACATTATTCACGCAAAAATACGGTATACCTCCAATCCTAGATGAGAGACTTATTTTATATTACAAAATAGATTTTATATTTAGGACTGGAGAAATATAGTATAACTTCTTAAAAATACTAATTTCGTAATTTTACATACAATTCTGTATATTTTGATTTGATTATTAGGTTATGATTTTTTTATTAAAATCCATGACACAGGAGTATGATTTCGGTTAGCAGGCCCCTGTGGTTCCATCGAAATCAGGCCCAACTGAATCAGCCCAAATAATTTAGGGCTTTTTTTTTCCTGCTACCCCTAAATTTTTTTATTAGAAGTAATTCTATCCGAGACACCAACGGGAATTGGTCTAAGTGGTATGCAGCTTGGTACTGTTTAAGTGAGGTCTTGAGTTCGAACCTCAGCGTATGCAAAAATCCCTGTTGGGAGACTCACTTACCACAGCCAGGTGCACGACACAGATCGGATCCAGATGTAATCGGAACAAAACTCCAATGAACTAGCCTCTTTCATTAAATCCAACTCATTTTTGTGCGAACAGGAACATAACTATATATTGAGTTTTGATTTTAGATTTACGCAATAAAAATTAATTTAATTTTTCACAAATTTTCCTAATAAAATTTAACACAAAATATATTATTTGATGCATGAGATGAGATTGTGAGATGCCAGAAAGTTTCTCTCCGCAAACATGGGGAAGGACGAGAGCTCGTATTGCTCCATAAAATTCGTTTCACTATTCAAAACCCAATCTCTCTTCCCTTCCCCAAGTTTCTCTCTCTTTCTCCCTGTCTGCTCACAATCCATTCCAAATTATACAGAGCATCCATCAGGAGACTTAGAAGACAACTATCACATCACAAGGTTAATTACCAAATCCACATTAAAAAGGAAGCATTATTATTCTGCAGTAATCTGCCTCCCTCTTTTTCCATCTTCTTTATCTACGATTTTTGAGTAAGTTGTGTTCATATGATAACCCAGGTTTTCTCATTTTCCTTCCTGTTGATGAAATCTTGTTTTCTCTTGATAATTTCAGAACAGCAAATTCATCAACAAATTACTACCTAATCATCAGAGACCTGCCATCTCTGTTCGGGGACCCAGGTAACTGTGTCTTCCATGTTCCTTACTTTAATTTATTGTTCATTTCAAGATGAATTTTTAAATCTTCTCTGATAATTTTCTTTGGCTAATAATCATCGACGTACTCTTTCTGGCATGGAAAAAACAATTGAAAAAAATCTAAAAGCAGAAGGTCGCCGGAGAATACCTCATTTATGGTCAAATGCCATTAGCGGATAGCCATCGAGACTCGCTAGCCGGATTAACCCTCGACGATGTGTTAGCCAACCGAGCCGCCGCGTCGAGCCATCAGCTTACAAATAACCGCCGAACCCTGCTTGACATCATTCGTGAAGACGAGTCCTCCAAAAAGGATCGCAAATCTTGGAAAGCCTTCAAAGACAAGCTTCGGCTCAAACGCGCCGGATCTGCTTGGACTTCCTCCATCCTTATCCCAGCTTCGGATATCCCTTTCCCTATCCGGAATAACAGAAACCTTGCCACACAGTTCCCCCGTCGTAGCTCCGTCCGAGTCCTTACATTCTCACCTGTGGACGTCACGACTCACTGCATGGCTGATCCCACCGAAGAAGCCATCAAGAGTTCCCACCTCGCTCCCATGATCACGCGCCAGAGATCCACTCGCCAGGTCGGGGATGCCGTTTTCGTCGACGATAAACTCAAGCCTCAGATGTCCCGCCCGAACTCCGCACGTCTGGTGGCGGCGGTGCGCGCGGATTCCATCCGGCGAGAGCGCGTGGTGACATTTCGTGATAGCATTGATAGCGATGACGATGAGGATGGAGATGGCCACCAGCCGAGGGAGGGGAGGCAGATGTCTGCTCGGGAAGCTGTGGCAGCTCAGGAAGCAGCGGAGGCGGCGGCAATGGCGGGGGAAGAGGATGAGGAAGATGAAGAGGAAGGATCATTCGGGGCTGGGGGAGGGGGGGTGACGATGTCGCTGATGGACTTGTTGGAGGAGACGGATCGGCAAATGGGGCTGGAAGGATCGACATACAGAATGGAAGACGACGACGATGACGATTTTGATGAGGATGAAGAAGACGACGAAGGAGGTGAGGAGCACGATTGCTGCGTGTGCATGGTGAAGCATAGAGGTCCGGCTTTTGAGCCGTGTGGGCACTCGTTTTGCAGAATGTGTTCGAGGGAGCTCACCGTGAGCAAAGGAAATTGTCCTCTCTGCAACAATTTCATCCTGGAGATTCTTGAGGTTTTCTGATGCAGAAAACAAATTTTGCTTTGGTTGCTTTGTTTTGCTCTATTTCCTTGAGCCTCGCAATATTGATTTATTTTGTAATTTTTCGCTCTGTCCAAAAACTCATGTTTGGCACGTTGGCTGAATTTTGAGATGTAAACAGGTGTGCATGTAAAGAATAATTAATTTACTATTTCAGTTTTCAGTTAATATCATGGTGAATTTCATTTACGTCTAAAGTGGGCCGGTAGTTTTCATTACAAAATAGTCTTGCGTACACACATGTATATAATATAGCATAGCTAAAAAGTTAAATAACAATTGACGGGGTTGGATCTGTCAACAAAAGCTAGTCTCCCACAACACAGTAAATTAAAATTGTCTGTATTTACAGTGTTTTAAATAACATTGCTTCCAATAAAAAAAATACCTTTGCTGATAAAAAATTAAATAACACATAATATTTTAATATTCCTTGTGATTTGGTTTTACCCTTGAAAGAATTGAGTTTGATTATGATTTTGTGTGATTAAATTGGGGCTCTAATATGAGCCTAAAGTCTTATCGTTTAAATATTTTAATTATATAATAAGGATATATTTAGGTTAAAAATTAAATTATATTTCATTCTTACATTAACTTTTCTTTAAAAAAAGTGGGTGAGAGAGAGAGAGAAACTTAGCTTGTAAATATTATCTCGTTTTTCAATATGCATTTTTCCACCGACTACATTCTAACCTGTGAACTTGCCCTCGCTCATTTAAAAAAAAAAAAAAAAAGCAATTTGGATCCACTGAAAAAAAGCACTTTTATGTTCATAAGGTAAATATGTTAAAATAATTTTGTCTCATAAAATGAAAAAATAATTAATAGAGGTAATTACTAATCAGTGGTAACTTCATAAATAACAGTATGGGATGTCACATTTAGCTAGGGTTAACAAAATAGCAAACGGACATTAAGATGCCTAAATCAGAAATTTCCACTCCCATACCGAGACTACCTCAGACCAACACTGAGAATTCTTCATCCCTTTGTTTCCCACACTGCATCCATGGCCAAATAAACAGGAATCTTTGAGTGCAGCCAACCTCAAATATTGCCAACCATTAGTTAGATTAATCACGAGATAGCTGTGACCTTCAACTTTTCATGATGAACTCCTCCACATGAATTTAGATGGCTTCATCATCTGACGAACAGGACATAAATCAGGTTGTCTCACAATATAGATTTGATCTCCCACTTTATTGCCAGAGTCCTGATTTCGGTACCACGTCCACAAAGCCCATGTGTCGTTTCTGACCTGAAGATTACATATCATATCAAGCATTCCGTAAGAGATCCGTAAGAGTTTGGATACTTTATAGAAATGAGTGTATTCTTGTTGTTTCTTTTGCGCTGCTCTTTCAAATTTTTCATAATTTTTTTAAAATCTTGATATCTCTTGTGTGGTGAGGGCTAGGACTAAAAGTACCATCCAAAACACTAAAAGAGCAAGCAGAGAAACTGGAGAGGATCCGGGTTCGATATAATGTATCTAATACAGATATCAGATTGTGCGTCTACTTGGTTCAGCTTAATCGGATTTAAGATAGAGTGCAGACTTCCATATGTTGACAGACATAAGAAATCAGGTTCCATTTGTATGCTAAAATATTGCATATTATGAACAACTTAGTAAAAAAATAAATAAATAAAAAGTGCCAGTAAAAAATTATATATTGATGTATTATGATTTGGATCCTCTATTATGACAAGGGATGACTTTAGAAACAGGAAGAGAGATGTTGCGTTCACATGGATGTGAGGCTGTCAATTTTTTCCTATTAAGAGCAACGCCAAACAATTGGAAAGTGAGGAGGGGGATTAAGAAAGTGATACCTCTAGAATTCCATGACCAAAGCTACTTTCCCTGAATGCACTGAACTCTGGCTGCCGATCCCAGCAAAACTTACCCTTTGCAGGGCCAGATGTGAAGTTTGTTGCACAGAAGCCTCCCATATAAGGATCAGGAGTACTTGATGGATCAGGACATTTTCCAGGTTCATCTGCAAATTGGTTTGACATCTTCTCTCGGTTACCTCCATCCCCAACAGTAATATAGACAGGACCACATGGATCTAAACTGTAATTGTAAACCCGATTTGACCTCTCATAAGCATGCACCTGCTCATCCATTTTCAGAATCAAAAAGTGAGTGAAGATTCGAGGTCTTGGGATAGAAGATCATTAAACATCCAAATCGTTTGCGTATATCTTAAGTGTATGCAAGCATTTGCAAAACCCCACACAACAAACTAGCAGTAAACACAGGTAGGAGGCAGAGAAGCTGATCATTTATTTATTCGCTTCATAGAAATTTACGGCTCCAATTTGTTTTTCAAAATATAATCGTTTATTTACCTCGTTGTTTAGATTTAATTCATTAATTTAGCACATTACGCACAAGCAGCCAAGGCTCTTAATTACTTATAATATAAACTTAACAATACACAAGTTGTCCTTCTTTCTCATAAAGCCCACAAAAAACCCAGTAAGGAACGAAGACCTGTTCCGCTGGTCAAAAAGAAAAAAGTTAATTGTATTTTTTCATTATATATCTGGTGACAGAGGCAAGTTAATGAACCTAAATGGATTGGATCATATTAAAAAATGAAGATAACTCACATGCCCATTAAATACTATATCCACGCCATATGAGTATAGAAGCTCTTCCATCTCCACCCTCATGCACTCTGCTTCTCTGTAATGTGCCACATAAGAACTATACCATGGAGGATGCCAAGTAGCTATAAGCCAGGGAGTTATGGACCTATCAAGACTAGCCAGATCTCTTTGCAACCACTTATATTGTTCAGCTGGCAAAGATGGTCACAGTTAATTTTCAAAGGTTACAAGGAACAAAATATATCGGCTCAACTTGGATCAGTATATGCATCAATTCAGAAAAAACAGAACACGTATGGCTCAAGCCCAAGAGAATATTAATGGATTTCAAGCAGATTCAAAATTTTATCAATTGGCCTTTCTCTCTCCCTGATTGTTAATACACTGATCAACTTCCAAAATTGAATATTGGTTCATTATCACTGTTTCTTTATTTAGTAAAAAGGTCTAAGACTTGAAAGGAGTGGAGAAAGAGGAATGGATAGCAATAGAACCCAAGTACATCAAGCTTAACTCAGTCTTAAAAGAGAAAGGCAGGTCCATTTGAGCTACTCACGCATTGGCAGTAGCCAATGCTTTCCAAAACTCAGCTGGTGGTAAACAAATCATCATAGTTAACCATCCTGTTAAGCCGGGTCTCCTAAACATATAATTTCAGTCTTCACATTTTTTAAGGCACACCTATGTTATGATTGAGGCTAAAAAAAAAGGTCCACTGACAACAGTTCTACCAACCAAAAATAAAATATCTTAAATTATAAATGATTATACAATAAAAAACAATTACAAAAGGGGAAAAAAGGACTAATACCTGATTTATCGTAACCAATGTAAGCCCCAAGCATAATAAAATGGATTCCCCCAGCATTAAAGGAGTAGTAAAACGTGGATGACGACCCACTTTCTTCAGAGGGGAAAGCAAACCTAGAACTATAGGCCACAAATGTCCTGTTAAATGCCTGTTCTTCTATTTCATGATTTCCTTCCACCACCATCATTGGAACTTTGGAAACCAAAGTCTGCATAAACCTGGAATTATTCAGTTATTGAAGCATAAGAGATTAAAAAGGCAAAGTATTGTCATCAGCCCAAAAAAAAAAAATTGTCAAAAGTTTATACGACTTTTCCATGTACCTTCCCCAGTAATCCCATCGAGGCTGGTAGGTCTCATGTATGGGAGTTTCTGGGAATGAGCAGGTATAGCAGTCAGATCCAGTTCCATTTGTTAGATAAAGATTTGCATAGGTCACATCACCGATCAATAGAAAAAGATCAGGTTGATTATTGATCAGGTGATGGATGGTTGTAGTTGTATTATACGTAAGGCCAAGATCTCCCGCTACTGCAATTCTGTCTGGATAGCTTTGTGGACTAGAAGCTGGCATTGTCTTGAAATGGTAGATGTCACTCATTGCTTGTAGAGAGGAGTCTCCGCATTGATAATAGTATATTGTTCTTGGTTCCAACCCTGCATAGAGTGAAAACTGTTTCAGTAATATAGCATGTGACTTTCCAGGGGCAAATGATATAACAAGACATGTATATGGGAAATTACTTAGACTTTCTCCACAATGGTGAGCAAGGAAGCATAGATACCAATAGACACAACACCCTGACACAACAATATCTGAAAATAATGTGTCATGTCCACGGTCCTTTTCTGAAGTCTCACACTGCAATCGTTATACAACTATATGACATGTGATGAACTTGTACACAATTCCCTTTTTGAAGTGTCAGGGCTTAAAAGCAAATCCAAACTTTCAATGATAATGTTTGAGATGAATAAGCATTTTTAGCTTAAAATTCCTATTAAATTTCATGCACAGACAAATCTACTAAGATATGACAGTTTCTGCTGATTGACACAGGATGGAAAACAGACATTGACTGAGTGCAAAAGAATCCTCATTATGGTTTACTCTTGATAAATTTCCCTCAAAATTTTGTTTTTCTCCCTACAAAAATTTAAAGCTTATTTATGCAGGTTAATTCAAAAAGCCCTCACCTGAAGTTTATATTCTCAGAACACAAGTGACCAGCCATTGGGGAATCTCATTATTAGTGTTTATCAATTAAAATTATAAAACCTGAAGAGACATGTATCTTATAAACAAACTATAAGTGAATTAAGAAAACTAAAAAGAAAAGTGATATAGTGATATATGGAGATGTAATGTAAGAAGTACCCACTGTTTTCATTCAACTCAAAATCCGCACAGCTCACCTGCAAGTTGAACGTGGTGGATGATTCCTGAGGTATAGTTCTGAAGTCCTTCAAAAGGATATAGCTGACTGTAGATGAGAGAATGACCTCTAGCTTCATGCACTAATTCAGATTCTGAGGTTCCATAATAAACAATACTTGAGACAGCTTTAGGATCCAATGGCTTGATATTGTCACCAATTTGAAATTCCCCTGATATTATCCATAAATTCAGCATTCTTGATCAACAGAGGAACATGAATATGAATGGTACAAACAAATATTTTTCAAATAAATCCAATAAATGCTAGCAGATTTGCTCTTGGTCCTTAACTGTGGAATAGATCAGAAAATCTGCTTCATCACAGAGTCACCTTCCACTAAAAGAAACAATGATAATTGGACCATTTTGAGAGAAGTGAGTTGTAGAAAAAAAGGAAGAGAAGTGACTTTGAAATTGCCAATGAAAGACCAAACATGGAACTCCTTTTATGTTAGTATATTTAGCTATGGACATAGACATAAGCAGCTGTCTTTATCAATTTATAAGGAGAAGTCCACTGGATTCATTACTGTCTAGCAATGTATTACTAGGATTCAAAAAACCAGTTGCTAAGAGTTGACATGAGGCTTATAAGGAGTTGCATTCCCTAGAGACTAGAGCAGCACGTTGCAGATAACAATAAATAAATAAACAAACAGTTGAGCTTTTTTTGGGGTTAGAGCAGCAACTTATATGGATTTAGTTCAAAATCCATTGATAATCTCATCAATAAACTCACTAGCATGTCAATATCTAACATGCAACCTGCAAATTAGTGAAGCCAAATCTTCAAAGGGAGGACCAACAAATTGTTGGTTGCCATGGTCAGCCGTTTCACCCCTATGAGAAGAAGAACACAAGTTCAAATCCTAAGAAGCAAACTTAACGCTCGTGGTTTGATATGCTAAGTTACCCACACCAAAAAAAGAAAAACACTTCAAAGTGAGGAGCCTTTGAAGTCTAAAACTGTGTGACGTGATCCAATGAACATGTCATAATGACAATATCCCACATTAAAATATTTGATACTTAAGAAAAAGACTGCAATGAATTTATGCTTTAATGCTTAGAAAATTGTCTCAATCAATGCTGGTTGGGGGAAAAAAAAAATCCACCCATCATAGCTCAAGCAATAAAAGAAGAGAAAAACTCAATTTTAGTCCCCGAGAAATCTAACAGACTGTTAATCATTACCTGAACTGAGGTTTGAGTTAATGGTACGGCATAATGCTAGGTTTGGCGTTAAGTAGAGATAGAATGGAAAGGCAATATTGCAATCATTTTAGACCATATTAAATAATAAATAAATAAATATTCACCAAAACAGTTAAGCACTAAATATATTTTCATAAAAGAATTTTAAAAAAAAAAATTAGAGATTAGAGATACCTGTAATCCATGAGATCCAAACTGAATCATGGCTAACCGAGAGAGACACTGAAATCTGCTCAGGCTCGAAACCCTCAACGAGGCGGCGAACGCGGGGATCGGTGTCAGGCAAATCAACGGCGATGCCACGCAGACTAGTATCGAAAGGAACAGTGACGGGCTCAAAGGGGCCTTCAAGGGTCGTCGGAATATCGCAGCGAACCGCGGCGACAAACAGATTCAGCAGAATAATCGAACCCGGGGAGCGAAAAAGAGCGAGAAGCGAGAGTATCGGAAGATCACCGGCTTCGGAATTTTCCATTTGAGAACAGAGAGAAGGGAAAAGGAAGAAAAGAAAGGAACATCTCGAAGCATCTTTGAATACTGAGGTGGTGAAGACTGAGGAGGAATCTGTCGGGAATCAGAGTGACAGTTGATGACCGTTGTCGGGGTGAACGTGGCGCCGCGCGAACGATGTACACGACTTTTTTTTGGTGGTACTCCTTCTATTTCTTATTATAAGAGACAAATAGTCAAATTACGTTGATAAAAAAAACAGTTGAAATTAGTTGAGGACAATTAATGTGTAAAAAGCATAATGTTATATCCAACAATGCCCCCATTAATAAGGAGAGAGAGTATGAGAGAGAACAATTAAATTATTAAAAGAAAGAGAGGTGAGAAGGAGAAAGAGTATGAGTTGAAGACAAAATAAATAAGGGTAAAATGGAAAATCAATACAAAAAAATAGAGACAACTTTTAAGTGTCTCTTATATATAGGAACATGCTATAAACATCAAATGTCTCTTATAATAAGGAACGGAGGGAGTAATATTTAGGAATCATACTAGTCTCTCTCACGAAGATTTATTTATGTTCTTAAAATATAATGTTTATTTATATTTTTAATAAAATATTCAAATTTAAATAAGATGGTGATGAGCTAAATACTCTTCTGGTTCTTAATATAAGACTCAATTATTGAGTTAGTTTTGATCCTAAATATAAGACCCATTTCTCATATTTATCAATTTTCTCTAAATTACTCCTATAGATACTTCCTCAACCATAATCAAGTAGAAGAGGAAGAAGAGGTATTAAGAAAGATGATTATAGTATTTTAGGAAAAACGTGTCACATTTCTTATAATTAACTAATTTGTCTAACTTCCTTAATTTAATCAAATTAGTTAAATGGGTCTTATATTAAGGATCGGAGGAGTAACAAAATGTTAGCTTCGATGCTTAATACAAGAGTTGTTTAAAGATTAAATTTGATTCTAAATATAATATTTCAATCCATTTTATTTTTCAAATTTGTAATTCATTCTATAAAAATCCTTATAAAATTACACATGTCAAGAAGTTTATATCTAAAGGTAGTCATAATTAAAAAAAGTAATTTAGAAAAATTAACTAATATTTGTTTCAAATTACTAACATAAGGTGGTGGTTAAAAAACCACCACTACCCACTAACCCCTTGTGGTGTTTTAATTTACTCAAATAAATTAAATAGTTCTTATATTAAGAATCATTAGTATTTCATATATCAAAGTATTTAATCCATGTAATAATTTTTACTACCTCATTTTCAAACGCCGAGCATTTTTAAGTAAAATAAATGAATAAAAAATAATTTGGTAATTAATTTTTTTTTCAATATTAACCTTCTTTGATGTCACAAATCATCAATTATTTATTAGGTAGAAGGTATAAGTAATTTTGATACGCTTCTAGAAGTATTTTAGATTTTTAAAAAAAAAGTTAGCAATTGCTTTTAAGACTCCATAAAGTTCCTTATATACTGAAATATAGGATTTTATAAAATATACTTATATTTGAAACGAAATGAATATCTATGATCAATTATCACATAATTATAGAAGTGAATAGGTTATAGAGTTCATATTTGTTATATTATAAATTGTATTTTTTTTTTGCGTGATGATTTGAATTTTTTAATTGAAAGAAGTTTATATAGGGTGATAATCTAAGAATATGTAATAATTTTCTTCATGAACATGTATTATCACGGTTTTTTAATTAAAATATGGCAAGTTTAGTGTACGTGAAAAATAGAAAAATCATAAAAAGTCTGGAAGATCTAAATTAAAAAAAAAAAACCAACAAAAGTTAGAAAAAATAAAAGCAAAAGATGAGAATTTTTGTATTATCAACATTGAAGATGAGTATTTCAGGTGAACATCTAAATATCAACTCCTAAATATTAACACGATGGAGGCAAAAATCCTATAAGAATGCAAGTTCAAATTTTGCTATCAATATTTACTAGCATGATAAGGGTTTTAAGGAAACTTTCTTTGGTCATGGATGGAAAGAACTAGCTAGAGATTTATGATTCTTATCAATATACGTGATGAGTACTTCGAGCTTTATTTTGGCTACGAAGACGAAATTTCTTTCTGGGAGCCGTTGAAGATGAATTGGCAAGACAAAACACTTGATAATGGGAGAAATTTTATGTTTGAGGGTGTTTTTGTCTTTAAGATTTCATATTTATTCAATTAAACACAAATAAATTTCTTTCCAGCATTTTCAATATGATACTAAACAATTTCACATGATCACTATTTCATTCCATTCTATCATCAAACATTTCAAGTACAATGCAACATAGGAAAGATTGAAGTAAAACATTTACTTTTGTTAACTAAATTCAGAAAGAAAATATGGAATGCTTTTCTTTTGTCCTTTTTTCTGGTTGGATAAAAGGGCCAACAAAAAGCTAAATGACCTTTCCCTTGGTCATAACTGATATTATAATAAAACACATTCATTTTCAGGCAATGCAAACTGCGTGTTAATTTATCACATAAATCTGCTGTAGACAACCTCACAATACATCTAATTGATGGGAATAGAGGTTCCAACTTTATCTTTAGGTCTTAAGTACTGGTTTCTTTAGGTGAACACAAGACAAGTCTACCTTGCATTACTGTGTCCATCTAAGGAGGTCAGGACCAAAAAATTTAGACACAAAACATGCCCGGGAAATCGGTGACAATAGTCACAATTTGTCACAAAAGAAATGTCGAAATCGCGATGTCTATATGGGAGCATTGCGTATCAATCATTGCTAATTTAGAGTGGTCAATTCTTCAACCAGAGAGTGCTTCTCCAAGATGGCCCTTGTCTCTTCCATTGCACTACACAACATGAAAATGGACACGGTTAATAGACTCCTCCCAGAGCTTGCATTATAATAACCAACTGAATATATAGACATGAATCATGTGTTGCTCATTTTTATAATCCATTCTGAAAGCATATTAAGAAACTTGAAAGACAAGAAAAAGAATTAGCTCAACAAAACGTACCTTCCAGGTCGAAGGATCTTGTATTTATGTGGTATGGTGAGGTCCACAACTGTGGAACCTGCACGACCCAATGGAAGCAGGCCACCATCATAAACGCAGGCACAGTGTCCCCAAAGGTCCTTAAAATCGTTGACGCAAACACTACTCGACTGTCCACTTAGGTTTGCACTGGTCAGGGCCATGGCAGTACCCGAGCCACGAGCAATGTCCCTGATGAAATTGTAGTCTGGGACTCTCACCCCTATGCTATCAAGTCCTGGGTTCAAAGATTGTTCGAGAACACTTGATTCTCCTGTATCGTATCCCAAGCGTACTATTAGACGAGTAAATAAGATATTGATGCTAAAGAATAGAATGAGATCTAGGCCAAATTTTCTTCGAAGTTCAAATCCATTTCTTTAGCTGACCCAGTATATTTAAAAAAGTTTGAGGACTATGTAAGTATCACTACCATCGTATTCTCATTTTATTGTACGTATTTTTTAGCATGGCATGAGACTTACAAACCTCGTTTTAGCACAACTGTGACTGGACCTGGAAGGAGGGAATCAAGTAGGCCCTGAGGCAAATAGTCAATAACCGCAAAACGCTGAATGTCTGATACGTCCCCAACACAAATAGCCAAGGGGCTTGTATGTTTACGTCCTTTAATCTCATAAATTCTATTAACTGCATCTAACGAACTGTAAAATATTCCAGTCAAAGGCAAAAGTTATTCAACAACAAAATTTTGAGCAAACAATTGAGATAATCGGAAACTGTGAAATGCATGATTTTTGTTTTCAAAGAAAGGTAATTAGAAGGACGGACATCACGTGGAGGCAAATTTCATTGGGTCAGAGACATTCTTTTTTTTTTTTTTTTGGGGGAGGGGGGTTTGGTGGGGAAGGGAGGCTGTTAAAAACATGAGCCCTTAATCGGTGACACAATAAAGGAACAGCAAGCCAAGATAAGAATAGTATTAATAATAATGCTATGAGGATTTTAAACAAACATGTTGTGAGCAAAATATGAAAACATGGACTAAAATAGCATACCAAGCATCACAAGCGAAGCCATAGAGCGTATCAGTGGGTACAGCAATAACCTTCCCAGCTCTCAAAGCTTCAGCTGCCTCTGCAACAAAAGCATCAGTTGCTGGACGAACCACCCCAATCTTTGTGTCCATGCCCACCTCAGAATTCTCCACACTGCTAGCCATATTTCTGGAAAATTTTCTTTTCAGCCACGTACTCTGTTTCAACTGAGGCACAATCCCCAACTTTTGGACCCCTAAAACAGATACAACACACTCAGTCAGCCAATTCAACATCCAGTAGGATTCGATTCAGGTCTTAAGATGAAAAGAAATATCACAAAAAAGTATTAACAAATTAACAAATATCCAGACACATATATATACATATAGAGAGAGAGAGAGGGAGATGGGAAGAGAGGAAGTGACTGACAGTGATGAGTAAAAGGCACCTCGAAAAGAGAATATGGGAATGGGATGAGCATGGAGAAGAGGCGAAGCTTGTGCAGCTATTCTGGTGGCAATGTTCATTCTAGTTTTGGCCTAATCCTTTGTCAACGGCAGGTCCATTTCTCAACAATAAGCGCAGTAATAAAGATCACACAGGCTTCAACTCTTAGGCTACAAGATATAAGCAGCGTGATAAAGATATTTCCCTGAAGGAGGTGATGAATTTAAGAAATTTTTAGAAACTAAACAAACTGTACGATTTCTGAAATCGATGTGATTATTCTCAAATACAAATTTGAAGACAATGTATTCAAAGACAAAAGACATCCTCAAAGCATCAATAAACATGTAATGTACTTTGAAATGACATACTCTTCAAGTATAAATTCTGAGAAAAGAAAAAGGCATATGAACAAGCAAGAGATAATTATAGTAGCCATGCTCCCTCAAAAGCCATTAACATAATCACAAAAGTTGAGAGCACTAATTCACTGAAATACAGAAACAAAGAAATTAGTATAATGGGAGCACAGTGGTTATAGAGCAAAGAAGAAGAACTACACATGCAGAGTACAGAAACAAAACCACAGCCAATTACAAGAGAGGAGGAAGTTAAAGTGGTGCAGAAGCATACCGAGCAAACACGATCTTCGTTCGGGACCCGCTTGTTGGTTGGGCACAAGTATAGTAGGGGAAATGGAAACCAGCCTCCTTTCCAACTGCCCGAGCGTTTGGCTGCAGAGAGGGAAAGAACAGTGCGGCAGTTAGGCTAGGTTATAGGAATTCAGACGAAGAGACTTTTCCGAGGTCAAAGAGAGAGAGAGAGAGATAAATTTACTAAACTAGCCACGGAGGCGGAGAACATTTTCGGCCATGTTTGGTTACTGAACTAGCCTTAAAAGATAAATTTTCGGACAAGAAAACCAATACAAATTTTATGTTATTCCAACTTCACCCTTTCCCTTATCCTCTTCCCAATGCTAGTGGTCAAGGATGAAAGAAAGAAAGAAAGAAAGAGCAAGCAGAGCAGCAACGATGGCCAAAACAGAGAGATAAAAAACAGAGCAACCATGGTGAACTAGCAAATCAAATCAGAGAACGTAAATGGAATAAACAAACCAGAGAACCAAAACAGAGAGATATAACCAGGACGCGAGAGGCTCACTGAAATATCAAAGTTCAGCTCTTCGCAGTTCGCACAGATTCTATAGCAAACTCATGCCCAATCCCGATAATGTCTAGTGCATCCATTGCCTTTTTTTTGCCCTTTAAAAAAGAAAATAGGGGTGTTTGAGTCTTTTCATTCCAATTCTACTTCTCTCCCAGCTGTGTTTTATGACTCACAACAAACATGGGAAAGAATACATAGAATCTACTCTCCTCCCTACCAAACGTGGCCTAGGAAGTATCTTCCTGTTGATCAACTTGCCAAGCAGTGAATAGGTTGAAAATTTATCGGAACATATTTAATACTCCTCCGGTCCTTATTATAAGACCCAATTTGACTTTTTATTTGGTCCTAATTATAAGACCCAATCCATTTTATCTCTCATATTTATGCATTTTTTTTTCAAGATAATCCTTCTAATAATGATAGTTTTAGCCAATATACTTAATTAGCAAGGATATTTTAGGAATGACAACACTTATTTATTATAAATAACCAATTTAACTTACTTCCTTAATCTTTTCAAATAAGTCAATTGGGTCTTATAATTAGGACCGGAGGAGTACTAAAATAGATTTATTAAATAAATACATCAACTTGTAAAAACGATAAATTTTTGGGGGAAAAATCTGTTCTTTATCATTTATATGTCGTTATCCTTGTGTTACTAATATATGCCTATAGTTATTATTTACGATAGTTGATGTTTATATACAAATTGAATTTTATTTTTTTATAAGATTGAATTTTATATTTTTACATTAGGATTTTTGGAAAATATAAATAGATATAATTAAATATTAAATAAATTTCTCTAATTTGCTACTATAATTTTAATCCACACCTTCAGTTCGGCCCCTTCTCTTTCCCTACTTCATCATCTGTGCGTCTAGTTTTTTCTTCTAGTTTTTTTTTTTAATAACATTTGAAAACTTTTGTAATAAATAATATATGAGATTCTTTTAGGTAAATAATATGTGAGGTAAAGTTGACATTTTGAAAATAAGAAAATGATGAACTATGACGTAACCAATTTTTTCAAAAACATAAAACAAAAATATTTAAATTAAATCTAATAGACAATCATAGTGCATTTATTATAATTTTATTTTCTTCCTCTTCTATATTAAATTTTTCCCCTCCAGCGGTCCACCCCAATCAAATCAAACAAGAAAATATTAAAATCCCTATTTTTGGAGATGAACTAAACTAAGGGGACTAAATTGAAAATTAATATAAATTACAAAACATCAAATGTTTAATTTTCTTTGACAAAAATGAAATAACATTTCAATTGGAATGTTGGCACAGAATTTGTGAAATCACAAACATCATCTTATCTCTAGATAGGTGCTTGCCAGTAATTTCCCCCACAAGAAACGCTGTGAACAATACTTTGCAGTAAGCCAAGTATTAATGTTAAATTATACTATAAAAAGAATCATTTGTCAAATTTTTACTAGAGAACATGATCACCACTAGGGGTAACTAGATTTAGCTTTGAAACATCAATATATCAATATATTATTAAAATACTAATATATCATAAAATTTTGTCGGCAAAAAATATATATATCATAAAATTTAGAACAAATTGTACCATTAATAAGTCACCAATAGTATAACTCATTTACCTAACTCCAAGCAATGTACGAGGATAACAACCTACATCTTGTTTCTTGAAACATATTCCTCCAGTTCTAAATATATGACTCTTATATTAGTGTGTATAAGGGTCTCATATTTAGGACCGGAGGAGTAACTCAAAAGGCAAGAGGTTTAAGTTAAAATATTTATTATCCAACCCTAAACTTGCCCCAAGTCTTGTGAGATTGAAAAATTTAAGGCTGCCAGGAGGAAACGTCAGAAAGATCAAGAATCTCATTGCAGACTTGGTCCAAGCACTAAGGTAACAAAAAACATCTATGAAACGTCTACATCCTACCAGGAAACAAACACAAAGGCGGTTAATTTATAGATGTAATAGCTAATAACAACAAAAATTGCAACATCATGTTGTACAACTTGTCTGGTATATGTTACAGAAAATGAACTCAACCCCACAAAGGGAATGAGACACAAATGCTAGTGCTGCTCAACAAGTTAAACTCAGCCTTTAGTTCTCATAATTGTGATGCTACCTTTTCCTCCTTCGGTGCGGATTTTCGTTTTGCCTACAACGGGTTTCCCAGAAAATGCTGACTTAGGGTAAGAAGATGGATCTTCAATTTTTGGCTCAGATTTCGAAGATGGTGGAGTCTGAATCCGCTGATTTATTTCCTTTAGAGTGACGTCTCCTTGGGCACCACTGGGTTTGATGAAGGCAAATGGATAGGCCACAGAAGTTGCCAACTTTGGAGGCATCTGCATCATAGATTTCCTTCCTACACATGTAAACCAAGTCCAACTTCAGAAGGAAAGACCATATAAGCATGCTTCCCGTTTTACGCCTCATTATATAATAGTATGGAAGGGAATTCAATTTAACGTGCATGTCATTGAAGGATAAGTCACTGAAAGCATAGTTATGTAGGGCCTTCATTGACCTGATTGAAACCATGAGACTGCATTTACAACTGAACTCGATAAAGTTATATTCACTAGACAGATTTGATTGCTCCGAGGGGTAAAGGGACGATTTTAGATAATGTTTATAATACCCTTATTATCAATTACTCAATTTTTTTCTCTTTTGATGGCATTTTTCAAATAGGGGCATAAGCATCAATGCCAAATCTAGCCTTAGATTAGATGATTGAATGAGGGAGCCGTGGCTCATTGAATCATATAAATATTTTCTTCGATATAAGAAATAAGATTAGTTTTCTATTGTTCTATGATTCAGATATTCAATATTTTGTGAAAATAATGTGTTATGGGTATTAATATCACTATTTTAAAAAAAACTACTACCCTAAATTTGAAAGAGTGTGTGTGTGTGTGTGTGTGTGTGGTATTTTTCAGTGTAAACCAAATCAGTTCGACCATCTTCAAATCAAAACTGTTCCTGGAAGTGAAACTAAGCAAGAGTCCAGTAAAACTGAAATAAAGTTTTCCAGAAAGGGAAAAAACCCCCTGGGGGGGGGGGGGGAGTAAAACCTTTGAAGATAATGTTTCTGTGTGATCGAGTGACATGCTGCTGAACCACATGCTGTTCATGTGCTGGTTGGATGTCGTGGAGCTCTGCAAAAAAATTATGAGTAAAGCAAGTGCAAAGAGGAGTGAAAGAAGGAAGAGTTGTAATTAGTAAACATCCGTGGATGTCCAACAATCATATACCTGCAACATCAATCTGAACATTACCAGCCCCTGAAAAATTCCTGAATCAAATAGCATGCATAACCATCGGATCATTATGTATAATTGGCAGCATTATGCCAAGAATCATTAAAGCGCTGAATTGCATCTAAAGAAGCATACATATATTCAGGGCTGATTTCCATATCAGCATCATTAAAGCAGTCAGCAAGCCACCCTTCAGCTGGCAGCTCAAGGTCCTCATAACTGGAGGCAGAAGCACTCCCTAACGCATTTTCCAATGAGTGTAGAAAGAAACATCAGAAATAAATATCCACAAACATTATCTGAGGATAATCTTTAAAGAGGCAGACCTGATGTTCCAGGCACCCATTGCAACATGTCTGGAAAAGCATCATCGACTAAGTCCTCCTTCCCCTAGATGCACAAAGAAGTATGAATTTTACAATCAGGCAGTTCCACAACTCCACTTTATATGAAAGAATCTCAGTCAAATCGCTATGCTACTGTGAGACATGCTCGACAAAAATGTAAAGAACAAAGGATTATCCCTCACTAGCAAACATAAAATAAAATTAAGCACATAACTTAGACCTCTTGTGGCATGTAATATGGGTGATGGTGTCATACTACAATTTGAGAGGATCTTTGGAGTGGGGATGTTCCTTTTGTCAAGCTTCTCTCGATTTGCATAATCTTTCCTTATTGCACAACTCTCCAATTCGTGATTTATGGTCTTTCTAGGGGAATTTTTTAATTGGAATCTTCATTTTGCCAGAATTCCTGAGATAGAGAAATCATGAACTTCAGGCTCTTTAACCTATTCTGAAGCCTATTCATCTTTCTTCCTCTCTTTGGATAGGAGAACTTGGACCCTTTTGATTTGGCTAGCATTTTCTCTTGCAAGTGCAATTTCAATTTCCTCATTTCTTCTCCCAGAAAGGCACCACTTTAATTGAAATGTTTAATTGTAAATCTAAAACTGCTATAAAAGTGAAATTTTCTTTGCAGAAAGCAGTACCCAACACAATAAATGTTTGTGAGAAGATGCAACCTCCAAAGCCAAATAATGCACTTCCCCTAATATTTGTTTTTCAAGAAGGGATGAGTCTGAATTCTGAAAACATCTATAAACTTGTTCTCATATTGTAGTATGGCTACTTTGTTTGGAATAAGATTTTGTTCAGACATGAACTTGCGCAGAAAATGTAGATCAATATTTGTTGATTTAGGATAATCACTCGGGACAAAACAAGGATGGCAGTGTTCTGTGGTTCTGTGGTAGTACATAATTTCTGCTGTAATGTTTCATATTTAGTTATAGAGCAACACTTGGATTTTTTATGAAGCCTTGGCTACTTTAAATGACTAAAGCCATCTCAACTACCCTAAAAAAAAACTAAGGTACTTTAAAGGGGAAAAAAGGTCACCCCAGAAGCTAGAGACGAGCTAACCAAACGACATATAAGGGCAACATATGCTAAAAATAACACAGGGGAAAGGACTTTGAATAAGAATAGTTATGAAAGATATAGGTCTAATATTACAAAACATAAATCTAACATAAATAAGCAGACAAGAGATATCAAGTCATGGACTGAAATATATTTCTTCCAATCAACTAAATTCAGCACTGAATTTATTTCAGACAAAATTTAAATATTTGCAGAGCTCATTCATCTAGTAATTATCTTTCATTTGAACAAAAAAATTGTCATTTTCAGAGTCTCTTTTGCATATGGTTTGAATCATTCAATGTTCTGTCAGAGTGAAAGCCACTCATGAAGAAAAATACTAGCACTGACATTTAGTTTCAAATATGCTGAGGACATCTCTTCATTGGAAAGAGAAGCTTGCACGTCATTGCTGTGGAACTGCAGCATCCTACGTCTCTTGAGAAGAGAAGTCTCCCTACATTCCTCAGGCTCCTTTAGCATATTATCTGAAATTGAACTTCATTGAAATCAGAAAAAGAAAAACAACAGTAAAGAGAATGAAGAACAATATATTGTTGCACACTTAAGAAGATGAAGTCAAGAAATCTGCTTCCTGCCAGAGAATGGTCTTACCACTGTTATTAACATGGTAAGCCAAATCCCCACACGCCTTAACTGGGGTTGTTTCATCATCGAACACGTGGGAACTTTGGTGTTCAGTTTGAGGCACTTCATTCCAAAGCTCCTGAGATATGCCTGGTTAAAACAGTACAATTCTCTCAGGGATTAGTCACCCAAGAATTGTATTATACGATTGTAAGACTCACCAAAATTGGATGTCTTCTGGAAACCACTGACCTCCTCATGCCAACCCCACGGCTCCCTAGCACCATAAATAGATAACTGATAAGTAAATGCGAAAAAGTTCACAACCTACAGAATAGAAGATGATAGAGAAATTTCACAGAAGAGGCAGAGGCCAAACTCATGTGGAAGAATCCACAAGTGTTGGGATGAGTTCAACCCTGGAAAATGATTCTAGACATCATGCTTATAACTGAAGACAATCTCATAAAGTAAATGGCATAAGGGTTTACCACATTGTAAACTGAAGAAGCAATGACCAACAATGAGATGCAGTACAATGACACTAAAGAAACATCTAAAGAACAGAGAGCAAATGCTAATCTGGATCCCCTAAAATTAAAGTGCTTATGAACTCATATACTCCTTCTCCATCAACTCCTTATTCTCACATCCAAAGGGGTTCGCAGGCTTCAACTTAAGAATGTACTGTATGGGTTCAAGTGGTTTTTCTTCATATGTTGATAATGTCAGTAAAGGAGTAACTGCGGAAAGGAAAAGGGGCGAGGAGAAAAAACAAAAAGAGGAAGGGGATAAAACGATAATCCCTGAGGCCCCAATTAAATCAGAGCCCACATTCTCATCCTTTCTTTATCTTTTACAACCTCATTCACATCGAATAATCTCGAGTAAAACAAATATACAGATGGAAAATTACCGTATCAAACAGAAAAATCTTTCAGCATCTGACACAAATAGCTTTCTTTTAAAATGCAGAGTGAGAACAGAATGGAAAGTCCAAAAAACAATCTCACATGTGAAAAAATGTTAATTTAAGGGAACCCATTTCATTTCTCAGATTGAAAAACAAAAGGTCCTAATTGAAAGGAAAATATGAATAACCAAAATCAACATCTTCAAACACAAAAATGAAAGCATTCAGGTGCAGCTTCCTAGACTAAACAAATCATGCATACCCTCAGAAAAACTCAGATAAAAACAGAGAATTTTACTTGTCATTATTGAAATCCATCACTATGTCAGCAGCAACCAAATTCTTTCCACTGATCACAATCCAATATCCTTCTTTCTTCCCTCAAACCCAAGTTACAGAAGATCGACTTTACTGACTCGAAGTAGCAGCCTCCAGTTCTAATAGATGATGCATAAAAGAAAAAGAAACATCAGGAGTACCCGCCGTCTCTGTGCGTCTTCTTTGGTCTCCCTGTTTAGCACTGGCTCCTCATTCTTCACTTTCTGCATTTTATATCTGTCTTTTTTTATAAAAAAAATCTTAATCTTAATTTATAATTGTTTTTAATTCAGTTAACTAGCTAAAAACTTTAAAAAAATTACAAAAACAGAAAAAAGACTTAATGAGACAATTAAAGGACCATGTACATTATCCATGACTACAAGACAGAGCCCGCATTTACTCAATGGGGCCTGTGTCAGTCCGTTACTCGTGAACCGTGATATTATTCATTTTTACATTTAATTTAAAGTGTTCTATATATAATTTAAATATTCTAATTCATATATTAATATATTTTGATTCTCAAATTTGTATATTTAGACCCGTCAATCTTGTTTTATAATATCGAAAAAATTATGATTCTGAATAATGAAAATTATTATTAAATCTAAAAAACCGTATCATATTAAAAAAAAAAAAACCTTGGCCCCAAGGGAGTTTAGCTTGTAATCTTTTTATTGTTTTGAGTAATATTATCCATTTTTCATTAAAAAAAATTTCTAGGCTGTTATACTTAATCTTGTTAAATACTCCTCCGGTCCTAATTATAAGACCCAATTGACTTATTTGAGGAGATTAAGGAAGTAAGTTAAGTTGGTTATTTATAATAAATAAGTGTTGTCATTCCTAAAATATCCTTGCTAATTAAGTATATTGGCTAAAACTATCATTATTAGAAGGATTATCTTGGAAAAAAAATGCATAAATATAAGAGACAAAATAGATTGGGTCTTATAATTAGGACCAAATAAAAAGTCAAATTGGGTCTTATAATAAGGACCGGAGGAGTATTATGTTACGAAATTAATAAAATGAATTACTAAATAAAATTAAAAATATAATTGTTGTAAAATTGCACATCTAAGGAAATATTATTAGAATAAATGTTCCATTTTGAATTTGGGGTTCAAACTTATCATAAAATAAATGTTGATTATGAGTTGACCATTAATAACCCTATGTCTAAGTTTTCAAAATGTTTAGATAGTTATCAAAGTTTAAAAATAAAATAGATGATAAAATAATATGTGGAACCTGATATTATTTCATAGATACATTCAACATTATAATTTTATTGATGGTGCATCTACCACAATAATATTATTTTTCTGGTGTTTTTTACACCCTGCACTAGAAAAATAACATTTATGTGTTAAATGTTACTATACCCAACATTGTTTTACTTGTGCTGGTAAATAAATTGCATTTTGAAATTAAGAAAGATGCATTTTTCAACCCATTCTTTGAATGCGATAATTATATTTGAGAGGAATGTGAGAAAAGTAGTAACCTCTGGTGTTTATAACTTGTATTCCATATAAAACAAGTTTCTGTTAATTAAAACTTTAAAAGTACATATAATAACTCTTGGTTTTTAAACTTGATCCTCATCGCTATGGATCTTATTGTTTTTTAGCGGGTGTCGGCTTGGGGGTTGCTGTGGTTTTGTTTTTGGCGGGAGTTTTTTTTTTTTTTGTGGGGGGGCGGGGGGAGAGGAATGGGGAAATTGTTGGAATTCTATGAACGAGTATCGTAGCTTATGCTCGATGTTAAAATAAAAATTTGGAAACTAACAGAAATTAGGTATAGTGGCAGAGATTAATCCATTACAAAATACTCCTCCGGTCCTTAATATAAGACCCATTTAACTAATTTGATTAAATTAAGGAAGTTAAGTAAGTTAGTTAATTATAAAAAAAGTGACACATTTTTCCTAAAACACCATAATTATCTTTCTTAATACCCTTCTCCCTCTTCTACTTGATTATGGTTAAGGGAGTATCCATAGGGGTAATTTAGAGAAAATTGATAAATATAAGAAATGGGTCTTATATTTAGGACCAAAACCAACTCAAGAATTGGGTCCTATATTAAGGACCGGAGGAGTAATAAACTAAGATCTGAATTCCTATTATGAGAAATACCCACATTCCGATAATTATTCCGAATAAAATTGTCTCCGATAGAAAAATACCTTTGCGTCACAAAAAAATATTAAAATTTGGTAAGAAATTGACTCATAATCTATAAGATCTTGAGTTCAAATCTCACTAATAATGTGAGAATATCCTGATCTTAGTGAGCTTTCGGGATTTAACTAACCTAAAAAAATTTTATATTAAAAAAGTGAGTTTTAATCACCTTAATTACTACCTCCAATCTTTTATATAAAAGCTAGATAACTAATTTAATAATATTAAATAAATTAGTTAAGTTAGTTATTTGTTACAAATATATGTTAATCTTCTTAAACTATTATCTATAATATAATCATGCATTAAAAATTGCTGTTGGTAGTATCCTCTTTTAATCAATAGAGATATTTTGAAAAAAAAATACAAATAAAATAGATTTAGGTCTTATATTAATTGTCATTTCTTCTTGTTTTAGTAGAGATTTAATTTAATTACCATAGTCCTACATTTAATTCATCAATCTCTTTTAACTCACATGTTTACTAATTTTTCCCCCAGGCCTATCAACAATGATCGCCGGCAGGAAGTAGGAAGTAGGTTCATTAACGTAAATCAAGCCATGCACACATTATTAACCTTGGACCAATCCGATTCTGTAATCTTCCAGTTAAGGAAACATCGTTGTTTCCTCGATCGGTGCAAGTAATAATCAAATAACTTTGGTTTTAGGAAGAACTTCCACCAGAAAATGGTGAAACGCTTTTCGCCTCTGCACTTCAGCTGAATGCATAAAATAACCCTAATGATATCCCAACCTCGTTTGGAAGAATTTCCAGCTTATGAAACGCTCTTCTTTCTTTGGAAATCTATATATAATCCAATCTGATTCTTAACTTCCCTTTTTTTTTTGCCAAAAATATTCCGATAACTTTCAGTCAATGACTGAACAAATCGCACCTTAATTTTCTTTTTGTAGAGGAAACAGTTATTTCACGTTTCTTTCATAATTTTCAACATAATTTACCACTACTTAAATTTCGTTTTCTAAAAAGGATAGAAACAAATACTATGCAGTGTTAAACGTGATCTTTTAATTAATAAATCTTTTGATTAACAAAATTAAATATGATATGACGACTCCATTATGCATCCGTTGTTAAAATCAAAATCATCATTAGCCAGAATCAATATATAAAAACAAGCCCCTTAAGAACTATAAAGATATAAAACATAGGATCCATTTGATTTCTCTGAGACTGCAGATAGAAGATTTCACAACTGATCTGAAGAACATATAATTTAATATCCAATATTCAAATTAATTAGATGAGCATGTTTCACTAGAACGACGGCTTCTCAGATAATCTCAATCATTCATGCACATTGTTCCACAGAAAATGGATTTCATCACCTCCGGTTTGATGCAGCATTGCATCGATCTCATCACCATCTTCCATATCAAGCTGCGCAAGGGGGGAAAAAATCAACTTTATAGTTCAGATAACTTTGGCAAACATCTAACATTCAAGACTCTGCACGGAGACTAAACCAATCAAAAACCTGCCAATAACTCCCTCAAGAGAAGGAAAGAAACAGAAGAAACATGAAAGAAGGGAGAGATACAACGAGACTACTCGTTCACATGAAGTAATTATATTTCTGTTTCTTCCTTTTGGATCTGAATGATTTTCTGCTATTAAAACTGAAAAAGATTGAGAGGTTTGGAAAATTTACGTCATGAGGAGTTTGTTCAGGCCTGATTCTGCGTCCATCAAACAGGAAAGCAACGGATTCAGGGCTTTTCGACGTTCGATCACAATAGGCATTGATGAGTTTTCTCAGTGGAGTTCCTTTTTTGATCTTGAAGAACACCTCCTCACCCTCCTGCGATTCTCAAGAACCAGTGAAAAGAAACAAAAAATGATTGTACTATCGTCAATGAATCTAATTCGTATCAGAAATTCCGAAAATTAAAAAACAATCGGAAAAATGAGAAGATCAGAAGTGTCGATTCTGACGAAACCTGGCTCTTGACTTTCAGATTAATGTGAGCCAATAGATCGTCGGCCGGCGGCGGCTGGCTCCCACCAGCTCCACTTCCACTTGCAGACATCTTCGCTTCCTTCAACTTCAGCTTCAACTTCGATTTCTTCTGTGGGTTTCCTGAGGCGCTCACAGTTATGTAAAGCAGTGGTAACCTTCCGCTCCACAAGAATCATCACAGCCTTGCTGCACAGTTCCCGAGGCGTTACATTCCACGGTGGTGGATGCATCCGTTCCTCCCCACATTTCCATGCAAACGAAACACCTCACGTAGTCACGTGACCAGCCCCGCCTCTGGGTCAGAACAGTAATCTCAATCGAATTTCTGCATTATTTTTAATGAATATAAAGAACTTTATATCATAATTTTTTTAAAAAACTATTAATTACCTCTTCTCCTAAATATAAAAACTAAACAAAAAGTTTCCATTAATTCTCAATACAAGACATCAATCTATTTTATTTTCAAAATTTGTAATTTTATTCCTTAAAATATTTTATCTCTAATAGAAGGAACTAATTTCTCATCACAACGTAGTGAATTAATGTTTGAATCCCATAAAGAGAGTTGTTTATCGGTGTCATATAAGAATTTTTTTTCCATCCATGAGATTTGAATTCGATTATTTTTAAATCAATTTAATAGGACTTATCTTGGAATTGCATACTTTAAGTTGTTTTCTAATGTATTTATTGAAAGTGAAACTTCAATACTACCTCATGTCTTAATTATAAGAGCTTGTTGACTAATTTGAAGAGATTAAGGAACGAAATTAAGTTAGTTATTTGTAATAAATAGATATTGTCTTTCCTAAAATATCCTTGCTAATCAAGTGTATTGGCTAGAACTACTATTATTAAAAGGACTATCTTGAAAAAATACATAAATATGAGAGATAAAATAGGTTGGGGTTTTATATTTAGGATCAAAATAAAAGTCAAATAAGGTCTTATATTAAGAACTGGAGGTAGTATATTCTAACAATCAATACTAATCACAACCACAGTGCATGAGATATAATTAAGTTGGTGCAAAAAATATAATATAGAAATGCAATAGAGTCCTAAAATATAGATTGACTTATCTGTACAATGAGCGTTTAACATGTTAATATATAGAGGGAGATGAATAACGCCTCGTAAATGAGAAAAACGAGCAAGTAATGTGATGGAGTTGTTCTGCAAAGAATATAATGAAACCATACTTGGAATTGTCGATATTCTTCGTATGTCCTCACAACAATTGTCAGTGACTTCTAATCCTCGTTTCCAGCATCAATGTCCCCAGTGATTTGGAGAATCCAATGAAAGCATTCCATTCAAAGTAACAATTGAAACGGTCAATATATATTGTCCTTATGTCTTCACGTGCCAATGACTCTTAATGTACGTTCTCAAAATGAATGTAATCTTCCAGTTCTAAATATAAAATTCTTTTTGTAGTATAAATTATACTACAAAAGAAGTTTTATATTTAAAACCGAAGGAGTATCATCTTTTTAGAATTCTATAAAAATTAACATTCCAGTATAACCATTAGGCTTGGTTATTATCACATGACTTTGAGGTGTGTTTGACTTGATTCGTAATATTTGTAAATTTGCCCTCATAATTAAAAAAGGAAAGAAAAAATTGGGAGAGATCCATTTGCAAGTGATGTTGGGTTCTTTATTGTATTTTTCTCTCTTCTACAAGACTTTGAACTCACAGAAGATAGACCAAGGGGCCCACAGGGAGAGTTTATGATTTAAAAAAATGCCTTTTTTGCAGAGTTGTTCAATAAAAAAGTGTAATTTAGGAGATTTTTTATGCTATCTACAGATACATAATAAGAGCATGTGGTGCGCTTTGCAATGCATTGCTTGTCAATTTTTCATGTTCTTATGTCACGCCCTTCGGCGAAAGCCATCAACTCTGACCACTCTTCCATTGTTAATTTATTAATTTATCACAACTGAGGTATGCCGTGACGCACATCTGAGGACAGATCCACCATTTTATTTCACAAAGTGCATGTTTATTATCTAATTTTATATGAAATTTTAATTTTAATTGTACCTCTTTTTTTTAATATTAATCATGATTGTCTACATTTTTGCTGTCATTTAAAGTTATTAATTTTTAAAATAAAATATTCATATTTATCAAATTTACCAATTTCCAGTAATTATCCAAAGTGTCGGTTTGGAGGGTCATTTACACAAAAATAATATAGTTATTTCATAACAATAATTAATACTAAGTATCTTAGAAATTTTAGAAGAATTACTCTTCCAATGTTTAATGTAATATATAATTAACTTATTTAAGTAAATTAAAAATACTAAATAAACTAGTTAATTTTAATAAAGATGATTTCATTTTTCTGGCACAGGATATGTGAGTTAAATAAATTATTTGAAAAAATAAATAAATACTCCCCCTGCCCTATAAGACTCATTTACAAAATATCTTATATTTAGAATCAAATGAGTATAAAAAATAAATTAGTATATTATATTTAGGACAATAATTTATTTCTTATATATGTAGTACTAGACTATCTCTTCCACTTAGAGCTGAGGAAACTATTATTGTCTAAAGATTTAAAGATTTTAGGATATTGTGCCTAAAAATAAAAATAATACTCCTCCTCTCCTTAATATAATAACTAATTAACTAATTTAAATATATTAAAGATATTAATTAAATTAGTTAATATAATATTTTTTAAAAATACCCTAAGTATCTTTTTTAATTATCGTCTTCTTTCTCCTATTTGATTATTATTGGGGTAATATTTTTAGGGTTAATCTGAGAAAAAGTTGATAAACAAGTAAATAAGTCTTATATATATAGGATCAAAATTAACTTTCTAATTAGTTTCTATATTAAATAGTGAAGTACTACCTTCAATCGTTAGTATAAGATTTTATTTGATTTTTATTTTGATCATAAATATAAAATTCTGATATATTTTATCTCTCATATTTATTCCTTTTTTTCTAAGATAGTTCTTTTAATAATAGTAGTTCTAATCAGTAAATTTGATTAGTAATAATATTTTAAGAAAAATAATACCTATTTATTATAAATAATTAATTTTAACTTATTTTTTACTCAATTTAAATTAAAATTAGTCAATTAGTGCAGGATGCGGTGTATTATCATGGGCTCGCCGTATTTTCTCAAATGCTCTTTTGAAAATTCTAAAGCGGCACCATTATAATTATAAATACGACGAAATCACGGCAAGAACGATCATCAATTTTCAACTGAAAGTTGGAACGACCACCCATGGCTTCTTCTTCACCGTCTCTTCCACTGAAAGACCGAGCAGCCATAGTGACGGGATCTTCCAGGGGCATAGGTCGAGCCATAGCCATCCATCTCCATTCACTCGGAGCCAGGGTTGTAATCAACTATGCTTCGAGCTCGAACCAAGCCGATTCGCTCGCCTCTGAGCTCAATAAAGCCTCCGATTCGTCAGAGCTTCGAGCAGTCGCCGTTCAAGCAGATGTGTCGGATCCAGATCAGGTGAAGCAGCTCTTCGACAAATCGGAGCAAGTGTTCGGGTCTATCCATATTCTTGTGAATTGTGCCGGAGTGCTTGACCCGAAGTACCCGAAAATTGCAAATACCGCATTGGAGGATTGGGATAGAACTTTCAATATCAACACTAGAGGTGATTATGCTATGAATTATTATATTATTCTTTGCAAATCTGGTATTTGAACCCAGAGAAATGATATGACTTTATCTTCATTAATTAATATAATACAGATTGTGTAAAGTTTAATATTATAGTGGTATTAATATTCTTTAACTCTTTGTTCGCTTTTAATAGGTCTAAAGTGATCGGAATGATGGAACAATTTAGTTTGCTGGAATCAGTTATGCTGTCTAAAATGGAGATTTTTATTTAAATAACAAATTCTTAAAGCACTTGATGAAAGAACAGAGACTAGATCAATATGTCTAGACATTGATTTCAAGGGTTGGGTTGTTAATTTGCTCTGCTGAAATCCTATATTTGTTGCATTTAATCTTTTCCGAAGTGGTTCATATGCGTGCTGCACAAACTAACAAACAAACAAATTTCCTATTTCTTACATTCAACTTGTACATAGAATCATTAAATTTTTTTTAGAGCTACGATTGGATATATCCAATAATTTTCTGGTTAAGTTACTAGTTGTGATAAGCATAAAGCTGAAGCTTCCCCAGAGGCAACGGAAGACCTAATCCATTTGATCACTGATAGCGAATCCCGTCAGAAAGAATTTGAGCTTTATCATTTACCTCTTTACTAGATGACCCTGAATCATTAATCCTAGTTGATTATAAAGGTGTTTGGAATCCCATCGGGCTGGAATCAAAACTACGTTTCGACAAAAGTAGTTCAAAAGTTGCTTTTATCAAAATCACGTTTTGGTTCTTGTCAATGTGATATCAAACATAAAATCGTAATGATACTAAATTCTAAAAGACTGTTTTTTCTTTCCTTTTGGGTTTGAATAGGTGCATTTCTGTGCGCAAGAGAGGCGGCAAATAGGCTAGTCAGAGGCGGTGGAGGAAGGATCATACTGATAACTACGTCGGTGGTGGGGAGCAACACGCCGGGTTATGGAGCCTATGCAGCTTCAAAAGCTGCGGTGGAGACGATGACAAAGATAGTGGCTAAGGAGCTGAAAGGAACAAAGATTACAGCCAACTGTGTGGCACCAGGGCCTGTAGCCACGGAGCTGTTCTTTGCAGGCAAAACAGAGGAAACTGTAAAGAGGATAGTGGATGCTTGCCCTTTGGAAAGACTTGGAGAGCCCAAAGACGTGTCTCAATTTGTAGGATTCTTGGCTAGTGATGCTGGAGAATGGATCAATGGTCAGGTTGTTAGAGTCAATGGCGGCTTTGTTGTCTAGACTTTTCTTTATTGTTATAGGGTTCTTAGATCATATGTACTCAATCCTAATTCCCCCACTTTTTCTGAGTTGTGGTCATAGATTATACGAATCATGTGTAACTTTTTTATAGAGGATGCTTGTTTTGCTAATGTCGGTGTATCAATTATCAAATAAATCTTTCTATCATAAACAAAGTTATTCATTGCTGGCCTTAAATTATCAGTAGTGCATATCTGAAGATGCCCCTGAAGAACACTCACAAGCCATCGACTCTTTGTCGAACGTAAATCCTCTGCTTATGCAAGTTTTGCGTGCCAAAAGAAGAATGTCACTTCCAGAACAAGGTGTTGGCAACTCCTTGAACTTTTTACAGTTGTAGGCATTGCTATGCCACCATGCTGCTATTCTGAAATCCTACCTCCGGTCATAATTATAAGACCCAGTTGACTTATTTAGGGAGATTAAGGAAGTAAGTTAAGTTAGTTATTTGTAATAAATAAGTGTTGTTATTCCCAAAATATCCTTATTAATTAAGTGTATTGGCTAGAACTATCATTATTAGAAGGACTATCTTGGAAAAAAATGCATAAATATGAGAGACAAAATGGATTGGAGTCTTATAATTAGGACCAAACAAAAAGTCAAGGGGGTCTTATATTAAGGACCGGAAGTAATATTAGTAAGATCCTGATCCTAGAGAAAAGGAGAGGAAGTTAAAAAGTAGGGGCGAAAATAATAAAACAATAACAAACTTTTTATCTCCCGAGTGTGGCTGGTTACATGGATGGTAAGATAAAAAACAAGGAAGGAAAATTTTGGTTTTTTTTTTTTAAAAAAAAAGGAGCATGAAATCTTGTGTATTTTCTTTCAAAAATTATCTCCTTCAAACAAGTGGAAAGATTTTGGAGGAAGAAACATAGACATTGCCCTAAAAAAGAATAAAACTATAAAAAGGTTCATATCCTTTTTTATATATGTAAAAATGTTACTGTTTTTTTTAAAATTAGTCGCTTTTTTATTTTTTCGGTTTTCTCTTGAACATCCCGGGGAGAGAATATTTTTTCTCCACTTTTCTCATCAACTATTCTATTTTCTCTCTTCTTATTTTTTTCCCCATCTTGCTTTTTCCCGTGTCCTAACAAAAATATGGTGAAAGTTAAATGCTTAATCTGTATGCTTAAAATGTATTTTACTCAATTTAAAATGTGTCATTTTTACTCATAGTATGATCTACGCGATGACTAACTGTTGCTGTTAACATTTTAAAACTATTTTCTTAGTACTACCTCCTATTTTTAATATAAGAGTTAGCTGGCTAAGTTGAGTAGATTAAAGAATTAGTTAATTAAGTTAGTTATTTGTAATAAATAGATATTGTTTTTCTTAAAATACTTTTACTAATCATTTATACTAGCTAAAACTACCAAGTACTAAAGTGTCTATTTTGGAAACAAATAAATAAATAAGAGAGATAAAGTGAATTGTGGTCTTATATTTAAGATCAGATTAAAAGTTAAACAATCACTTATACCATATGTGGTCTTTAATATAAGACTTAATTGACTAATTTGGAAAGATTAAGAAAATTAATTAAGTTAGTTATTTATAATAAATATGTGTTATCTTTCCTAGAATACCCTTACTAATAATGTGTACTAACTAAAATTATCATTTGATTGAATTTTTAATATGTGCAACCTACAAGGACTATTTTGGAAAAAATAGATAAATGTAAAAGATAAAATGAACTGGAGTTTTATATTTAAGACCAAATTAAAAGTCAAACAAACTTTTATATTAAGGACCAGAGGTATTAAGGACTGAGTGCCTGTTTGGAAACACTTATTTGGAGCTTATAAGTAGCTTATAAGCTCTATAAGCTCTATAAGCTCGATTGAAAAAAGTAGGGTCTGTTTGGCAACACTTATTTGCAATCGGGCTTTTGTCTGAAAAGCTACAATAAGCTATAAGTTAAAATTAACAGCTTATGGCTTATGGCTTATGGCTTATGGCTTATGGCTTTTGAAATATGGAGAGAGAAAAAGTTAAGAAATTTATTACTTCTTTTGATTCTTATTATAAGCCTCAAATAACTAATTTGTAGATAATAAAAAATCAATTAAAATTAGTTGAAAGTAATGAATAAGTTAGAAATATATTTTTATTTTTAAATATGCTCCTAAAAATATACTTTTATTTTTTCATGTTTCACTTTATATTTAAAATATTTTTTATGACTTCTTCATATTAAATTATTTTAATTTCATTGTATTATGTGAAATTATTTTTTTAATCATGTTTTATTATTTATTAAAACTCATGCCCATTTTGGTAATTTTTTAGCCAAAATTACTTTTACTCAACTATAATCCAAACAAGCTTTTTCTAATCTCATTTTTGTAAACTAGCTTGTCTGAACTCCAATCCAAACACAATTCAGCTTATCCAATTTAACTTTTACCAACTTCACTTTTCCATAAGCTACTTTTTCTATAAGCTGCTTTTCCAATCGCTGATCCAAACGGACCCTGAAGGAAGTATTAAATAGAATCTCCCGTCCCCCTTAATAAATCTTTCTAGTTCCGTCCCTAAATTTGACAATCCGAATTAATCTAAGCTTGGCATTAGACCTTTGGCCACAAGCTTTGCATGATGAGAGAAATCAATATTAATGAAACCAACAAATAAAAACATGTTTCTTCTTCCTTTTTTTCCGGTGAAACAAGCGAGAGAAAAACATGTTTCTTCTATTAAACAGGAAAAAAAAAGGTTTATGAGAATTGAACAAAATTGTAAAAGATAAAATTCCAATTCAGATTTGTCAATTAACAAACTGAGACAAAAGAAGGAAGCTTCACCGTCATAATTTTCCCTTGACATTTTATTATAGTAATCGACAGAAAAAAGCTGGAAATTCTTGTATTATTTTTTAGGACATCATGAATTTTCGTAACACAATAACAACCTAAATAGTTACAAATGAACAAAATATGAATTACTCATGTACGATATAAATGAATAGAAAATTGCTTGTGCACACATTCAAAGAGATATCGATATAAATAACTGAGATTAAACATTTGATTTGTTTTCTTTTGTACCATTGAATTTTTCGTCTCCTTAACTGTACTTTATAAAATTACTCCTATGACTCTAACGAATTTATTAATGTTGCTTCGAAATTAAGTTAAATATCCTAAATTCATGAAGTGATTTGCTATGGAGAAATAAGAGGCTTCAATTGGAGGTAAGAGCCAGCTAATAACGGATCATTTTCTTGTTGCTTTTCTAAATCTTCGTAATCATCTAAAGCCTAAGTCTTTCTTCTCATCGTGTATGTGTACGAAATATATGTATGTGTGTGTGTGTGTCTGAAATCTGCAATCTACAAAGTTATATATCAAATTAAATTATCTAGCTAGCTAGCTAGCTTGCTAGGGTTTGCTGATTTGGGTATGGATACGTGGTTGCTATTTCTTCTTGTTATTAGCACGCTTGTTGCTAAGGATAAAGGGATCGTTGCTAGTGATGTTAATAATGAAGTCAGGTTTGATGGGCACTATGAGATTATGTATGGTGATGATCATGTGTTTGCCTCCAACCAAGGATCAGAAGTTCAGCTCTCCATGGATAAATCTTCAGGTTCTATTCATTTATGTTTATTCTTATAACACAAATACGTATTTTATATTATGAGTTTGAAGAGTTTCTTCCATTCAATCAATACGATAGGCTTTAGGAGTGAACTTTCCCTAACCATAAACTGAGATGATTGAGAAGTTAAATTATGCGAATAGATAATGAAATTCATTTAGGGAGTGTCTGGCTATTGTCAAAAGTGCTTTCTTTTTTTTTCTTCTTTTTTTTTTGAATTTCTTTCCCGATATCTTGAGGTAAGACTATCTTCCAGGCACATCAACAGGCTCAGACTAATCTGGAGCGTACCGTATGTCAAAAGTGCTTTCTAAAAATACTTTTCGGCAAATCAAGATAATTACACTCATTCACATATTTATTTTATATATCATAATTAAAATCACTTTTAAAATCATGGTTTGGTTTCTATCCAAATATCCTTTTAATATGGTGTTGGTCTCTCTTTTCAGATCACCATTAGTTTTGTTAGAATCGTAAGAAATTATATATAACGATGTAAAATTCTATAACAATACAAGTTTTATATGAAAAAATATGATGTTTTTTCTTTATTTAGTCATTAAATGTTTTTCCTGAGTGTTGGAAATAAAATAGGATCTGGATTTGGATCCAAGATGACGTATGGTTCTGGGTTCTTCCACATGAGGATCAAAGTGCCAAACGGAGATTCTTCTGGAGTTGTAACTGCTTACTATGTAAGACTTCCTTTGACCATAAATGATTCTATAAATTTAACCAATAATCTGATATATATATATTTATTTATTTATAGATATATATGTATATCATATTGAAGGAAATTATTGTATTTTATGGATCTGTCTTTATATATATGAAGCTGTGTTCACGTGGGGATTATCACGATGAGATAGACTTTGAGTTCTTGGGGAACAAAGCAGGTGAGCCAATCACACTACAGACCAACATATACGTAAATGGCAATGGTGGTAGAGAGCAAAGGCTTCATCTTTGGTTTAACCCTTCTCTGGATTTTCATAACTACTCCATTCTTTTCAACCAGCATCAGATTGTGTAAGCTTCATATACTAGTATCTTTTAATTAATATTATCCATATTCATGAAACAAAAAGAGTAGAATAAAATAGGCAGAATTACAATTAAGTCCCAAGGAAGGAAAATAATTACTAACAAGTCCCAATAATAACTAAGCAGCTTGTAAAAGCAAGTTCCAAAGTAAGAAATAACAACCTTTGAGATTTATTTTGTAATTATTTTTCTTTTTTAGAACCTCATTGTAATTCTCTTTATAAAATATGATATTTATGTGATCATATAATTTTTATGTAAGTCGTGAATTTAATCTTACTTATAACTTTAGATTGTTAATTAGTGCTTGCTCTTTTAACAGGGGAAAAAAAAAAGTTTGACATGTTGTATTACATTTTTTGGGAGGACAATTTGGAAGCCAAATAATTAAGATATTTGTGAAATTGCAGATTTTTTGTGGATAGAATTCCGATTAGGGTATTCAAGAACAAGAGCGATATAGGAGCAGGATACCCATCAAAGGCAATGAGAATAGAAGCAACATTGTGGGATGGTAATGATTGGGCAACAAATGGAGGCAAAAGCAAAGTGGATTGGAGCTATGCTCCTTTCAAAGCATCCTTCAGAGGCTTTGGTGTTAGAGGTTGTGAAGTTCAATCATCCTCCTCCTCATCATCAAACGTTCAAGATTGTTTCTCTGATAGCTTCTCTTGGAACAGACAAAGGTTTTGGCAGTTGGATCCTGAAAGACAGAGATTGTATGAAAATGTGCAGAACACTTATGTCACCTATGATTATTGTGCTGATACACCTAGGTTTCCCACACTTCCAAGAGAATGCCAGTAAATGTTCTTCACATATAATCTTTATTGTAACTACTAATTAGTTACTTTGAGTTCTATACATTATACCAGATAAAAAGAATAATTCACACTGTTAATGACTTGTCAATGTTAAGATTTATCAAGAGTTTTACATCATGTTAGATAGTATTTTTGTGCTTTTACGTCTGAATTTTTGAGCATCATTAGTATAAATATCAAATGTTGCAGTTAGGAAGTGAATTTCGTGATTTTGTAAAAGGAATAAGTTCTCTCATAGACACTCATCGAACTTGTTTAATGAGGATTTGATGTCTAAAAGCTAACCAAATGGTACCCCACACATCTTTTTAGAGTTAATGTATAAATTTGTCCGGAAAATTTTTACTCAAGAGCGCTGGGTATATGAAAGTTTTTTTAGAAGCAAATTTACCTAAAATCATAGTGATATTGTCCTACATAGTTAACAACATTAACAGTTAGCATTGCTATTTTAACAATTAACATTAGTTTTTTTTATGATAATGCGCAATGTTACTGTGATTTTAAACTTTTAAGACATATTTGCTAAAAAAAAAAACTTTTGGACACCCATAACTCTTTAAGTAAAAATTTCTAAAACAAATATGCACCTTAATCCTATCTTAAAAATGGCAAAAAAGACTGCCAAAATAAATAAAAAATTATAAATTGGGATCCATGACAATATTAGTATGGGTTTTAACAACAATAATATAAGTTTTCATAACAATTTTATGAATGAGTCCCAGTGTGTAATTTTTCTATTTCAACCGTCCCTTTTTGCAACTTTCCCAATACTAAATATAGAAACCTTTTTTAGATAGGATTCAAATATTAATTCTTGTTTGTTGGTTTATTACTATCTCTAGTCCTTAATATAAGATCTTGTTTGATTTTTATTTTAATTATAAATATAAGAACTTAATCCATTTTATTTCTCATATTTATATATATATTTTTTAAAGTAGTCTTTCTAACAATAATAGTTTTAACTAATATATTTGACTAATAAGAATATTTTAGGAAAGACAATACATATTTATTACAAATAAATAATTTAAATTTTTTTAATCTTCTCAAATTATTTAACTAGATCTTATAATTAAAATTGGAGGTAATATATATTTTGCATATCTTAAGTGAGTAAGATAAGGATTGAGGGCAAAAAAAAAAAAAAAAAGAAAAAGAAAGTCGTGGCATGTAGGCCTGGTCCAGATTGATCACCGTATGCCCAAACCTTTACTTGAGCACATCTTCCTGGTTACCAAAAAAAAAGAAAGAAAAACCATCTAGACCAATTTACAACCTCCAAGTTCCCACCCCAAGTGATTTCAGTGTGTCCAATCCATGGCGGACTCCATATAGCAGTCAGGTCACTGCGTTACCAAGGTCACCAATGGCTCTTCTGCCAAAGGGGAGCTCATCACTTTTTCTCTTAATCTTCTTTCCGATCGTATTCTCTGCAATTGCCACCAGATCGGCGTTCGAAGAAGAAGAGTTCACCGAGGAATTGCTGCTTAAACCTTTACCTGATTCTAAAGTGCTGGCACATTTCCACTTCCAAAGCAATGCTCCCCTCATCGATTCCTTTGCTCGTCATCACCACCTCTTCCCCAAAGCTATCTCTCAGTTGGTATGCATTTGTTTCTCCAACTTCTACCTTGGTCTTTGCTTTCTGGGAAACTTGTGAGAGTAAATCTGTGGGAAAGAGAATGCTCTTCTCCGGTTTTCAATTCTTGTTTGTAATCCATTGAACTGTTTCACTGAAATCTGGATATGTGTGAGTATTAGTTTCAAATTTTAGCATCATAAATTTATATGGCGGCGTCTCGAGATGGTCTGGTAAATGATTTGTGTGCCAAACTCAGTTAACTCGAGTTAAGGATCAGATAGCTATTGAAAACAGCGAAGTTTTTTTTTTTTAACACTTCAGTCGTGTGACCACACTCAGGCTTGATATTGATATTACCGAAAGAAAGATTTCTTTAAACGTGGAGACATTGGAGATACTTAATGGACCTATTTTCACATGATTATATATATGAAGTTTAGCAAGCTATGACTTGTTCATTCAAGTTCGTTCATTGTTCAAATTAGTTTACGAAGCTGGATATACTTCTTGTTTTGATTACTATACATTTGCTTTGAGAATATTGTAGTGAGTAGTGACTGCTACTATGGTAGAAAACGTGTGGTTAAACTCCGTCATTGTTTTGGTCAACCGCTGATGATAATTTTTTAAAGTCACAACCTTTGATGGGTTTCTTTTTCTCCCTGTTGGTTTTTTGGGACCTTGCAATCATTCGTAGCTTGTGTTTTCTGTTGCACCAAAGCGGAAGGACGAAGCCTCCCACTACTGGCGCAACTCTAGAAAATCAAAATGTAACTACCCTTTATCAATGTGCTGGAAGTATAGGGAAGAGGGAGGTTTACTGTGGGACTTCTTAGGGTTAAGTGGGGGAATAAATCTGCGATATCTTAATTAAACGTAGCTGTTCAGTTTGAAACGGTGATGGGCAGTTTCTGTTGCTCTGTAGAAGAACAAGCAACATGCGAAATTGAAAATCCATACTTTTCAATTCTTCATCCATGTCATTAAGTATAATGTTTTTCATGGCGACCTTTCTACTATGGGACATATTATTGGATGTTAACGGTGGATGCTGGATCTGTTATTTTTGAACATTTTCTTTTGATCAGCTTAGCCATTTTGAAGACTTAAACCCTCATGTGCTATATTGTGCTAAAGCAAAATGCTTGCATCTTTAAAATTTCTCCTCAGCTGTGTTTAGCCCATGGCTTCTTTATTGAAATGGAGCTTTAAGGTATTTATGGGAACTTCAGTCATTTCTTCTGCTTTCATGCTTTGTGTCTTTGTTGAGAAAGATATCTCAACCTCCTTATTTATTGTACTATTTATCACTTCCGTGTAATTAAGTCTCTATGTTTATTGTAAAAACTTTTCTTCAATTTTTTTTTTCTTTTTTTTTATGTTTCTACAATGAAGAATGAATTAGCATTCACCTAAGTTGTTTTACATCGAAAGAGATTTTTCTTTCGGAGAAATTCCTTTGCCTAATACCGATTGTGTGGGCCCTGCATTTGAAGGTCTCACTAAGTTCCTGGACTTAGTTACCACTAGGCTCCTGGATTTAGTTACCCTTCCTAGGCTTTTACTTTGGTCTGTACTATTGTTTTTCTTAATGAAAATGCTTCTGCTGTGGACAGAAGTATTTATTATTTTTAATCATTTGATGCCACAAATTAATTGCTTTCTTCTGAATACTAAATAACATGTGGGTTAGCATTTAACTGACAGGTTCAGAAGTATCATGTTAATGCTATGGAGTTATCCTTTACACAAGGTCGTTGGAATTATGAAAGCTGGGGTGGTTTTGATCCAATATCAAGCAGCAATGCAAAGCCACCTGGAGTCGAGTTGTGGGCAGTCTTTGGTGTCCCAGAACATGAGGTTGATGCATCTTGGAAGAATTTAACACATTCCCTGTCTGGACTCTTCTGTGCTTCAATCAACTTCCTAGAGTCCTCTACCACTTATTTTTCTCCTAAATTGGTGTTTCAACCAGCTTCAGGAAGTTTGAGATATGGTACGTTGCCACGTGAAGCTGTATGCACCGAGAATCTAACTCCCTGGTTGAAACTCCTTCCATGTCGAGATAAAGCCGGTCTCTCTGCTTTAATGGACAGACCATCTATTTACAGAAGCTTTTATCACTCTCAGAGATTGAGATTGACCCTTGCCAAATCTGCTGATGGATTAGACTCAGGAGTTATGCTAGAACAAACTCTTACAGTTGTACTTCTGCCTAATAGTCAGAGAGCTGGTACGAACTACGGCAGTGAATCAAAAATACAACCAAGCTGGTCTTTGAGTTCGATTTTTGGCAGGCAAATATATGGAAGATGTGTTCTTGCCAAGTCAAGTAATGTTTATCTTCATGTTGAAAGAGGTCTTGTGGCTCAACTTGAGAATCTCCAGAAGGATGCCTATGATACAGCTCCTGAAAATTTCAAGAATAACATTGGCTTTGAATTGTCCGTTAATCCTGAAAGGGTGCATAAGGAACTGGAAAAGACCCCCTCTATTCTGTATGAATATTCAATCAAAGAGTATAGTGAAACGGAAAAATTTGATTTAAGCCTGACATGGAAGCAGCCAGTTCTTTGGTCAAGCCCACATGCCCCTTTATATGCGAGTAGATTTTTAATGGGAAGCGGAAATGAAAGGGGTGCAATAGCAATATCTTTGAAATCCACTGAATCAACTCTGGGTTTCCTTGGTGCTAATAATGTTAAAGAGGGGTGTAGGTTCCAAGTTAACATTCTACAATTTGTGCCTTGGTACGTTAAGGTATACTATCATACCCTACAGCTATTTGTTGATGAAAGGCGTCGAGTGGTCTCTGATTTTGTTGAGAGTATGCATGTTTCTCCATCTGAAGACAAAGTATCACCTGGGGTGATGGAGCTGGTTCTTAAATTTCCCTGTGACATGAAGTCAGCTGTCCTAAGTCTAGAGTTCGACAAGGTTTGTTCAAGTTTTGGCTTTTGTTCAATTTTATTTGGATTACTTCACTTTCGCTGATATCAAACACTATTTGCATGATACAGTTAAAAAAGTTGCAAACGGGAATATTAGTTGTAAACTGATTTACATCTGAAACTCAAATACCTTATTTGCAACTGAGACTCTGAATTTGTATTTGTGTGAATCAATATTTGCAACTCATTTTTTAGAAAAATTTGTCTGCGACCTAACTTCCATTAATTCGCTCTTTTGGGACCTAAATGTCATTCTCCCTTTTTCTTGCTCTTGGCTTTCACCCTCTGGTCGCTACCCATCAACAGCTACTTTCTTTCCCTTTTTTTCCTTCACGTGCTTTTAGATTGTTCAGAAATCTGGAGTTAATGAACTCTGAACCTACTCATTAGATGGAAACAATGTTCCAATTGTTAAAACAGAAAGCTAGAGTGTTCAATTGACACTTCCACCACATCTTTGAGAGAGGATTATTCTTATGTCCTATTTGTGGGTTACTGCAAATAATTTTTTAGAGGGGTATCCCTTGCAAATCTTCAGTTTTTCTACGCCCTTGCCATTTGGAGATGCTTCCTCTCTGATTCCTTAACCTCGTTATCAGAAATAGTTGTTCTTGCACTCAATTAGAGCTGCAATTATTGGATAATTTAACAATCTACTGTATTTGGGAGCCTCGCAATGATACGGAATCTGTTGATGACATTCTTCCCTGTCTTTCTATTTTCCCTCCTAAGGTTTGTTGAATTTTATAACATGTTATTGCAGCATGAAATGCGATAATTATTTTTTTCCGATGTGTAATGCACTCAAAACTGACGGTAGCCATCCCCAATTAGGTCCAACAATTTCAACTACTGGGTCTCAAATAAATAAAATTTTATATATGTCACTGATGGTCGCTATTTACTATGGAAAAAATTGTAGCAGGCATTTTGAACGTGGATGAATGTGATTCATTTCTTCTTCTGATAAAGTCGATTCTTAACAAACCTTCGTTGATCTAAACAGGGCTTTTTGCACATTGATGAGTATCCTCCAGACGCCAATCAAGGATTTGACATTCCATCAGCAATAATAAGCTTTCCAAACTTCCATGCTGGATTGAATTTTCCTGATGACCCTATAAACAAATTACCCATGTTATCAAAATTACAGGTAATTTGAATTTGAACAATCCTCGTCATCACTGTAATATGCTTAATATCTCTATCCGTCATACCTATTGATCTGGGATCTGCAATGCAGGAGAAGGGTCCTGTTCTTTCATACACGGAAATTCTGCTGGTACCCTTGACGACGCCTGATTTTAGCATGCCTTACAATGTCATCACAATTACATGCACAGTGTTTGCATTGTACTTTGGGTCTTTGCTAAATGTGCTCCGGAGGCGTGTTGGAGAAGAGGAAAGACGTCTGAAAGAAAAAGGTAACCCCTAACTCTTTCACTAATTGCATCTTGATCCCCACAAATAAACTGAATTTGCTGCCAAATACCAAGTCAAAATAGATTTTCAGTAATACTAATCTTCATCTAATATGGCATTTTTCTGCTAACCTTCCTTGTATGCCTTCCTATGCTCATTGTTTACTAATGACGACCATGTATCATGTCATGCTTCTAAATTTAGCTGCAATAATATTTGAGCGTGCGTTTTTGTAATTGTTACTAAGTTTCTGGATTTGCTTGTAGGTGCTAAGAAAACAGGGTTTCTTCCTCAAGCATTAGCTAAGTTGTCTGCCAAACTGAGGGGAAAATCATTAGAGACGTCTCAGCCATCATCAGCCTCATCATCTGTCTTTAGTCCAAAATTGATTCTCAAAGTGATAATTGTTGCGGGCGTTGCTGTTGCTTGGCAATACTTCTCACAATGATATACCACCCGAATAGATAATTTCTTTTAGTGTACCATATTTGCATATGTTAATTAATGTTGCTTACATTTCCTAATTGATTTTAAGGCAAACCCTGATTCCATCAACCTTTCAACGCATGATCAGCTCAAGTTTGTTGGCTATACACAAATTTTGCCCATTATTCTGATTATTGTCAAGTAATAGAAAATTAGAAAATGCAATTTCTCCATAAACAGTTTGGATGTTGAAAGGATACGGATATGACAATCTGTACAACTCTCTTTAGTATTGTCAAAGAACATCACCAAGATCATCAAAATTACACTTCAGCTTATAATTATAATGTACAGACTAATATACATAGCGGTGATGTGTAATGAGTCCATCAAAGAACAAATTTAGAAAAGATTAGAAATTCAAATTTTGCTAACAAGAGAAAAAAGGTAAATTGTACTGGGATAAGATGAGAATTCATCTAATCCTTTTACAGCGAGCAGCTACAATTGCTTCGTCTCTTATCTCGTCTCTCATCCTCTTTAGATTCTGACTTGCATTTCTGCATGTAGACCGGCTACCTGAAGTGTCGCTGGAAATAACACCTGCTTTAACTCCACCATCTGTGTAGATTCCATTCAACTTTTAGGTTTGTTGATATGAAATTAAACAATAAAAAGTGTAACATTTACGTATATAAAGATAGCATTAACATATCAAGATTTTCAAAATTAAAAGCTGTATCGGATAAAAGACCCATCCAGAAATTCAATCGAAGTCACATGACATAATAAGAAAGCAAGTAGAAGAGAGCATGTTGAGTGGAGAATTAGAGTAAACACATGCCTGTCGTATCATCATTTGTCTTTAGCTTCTTGAATAGGTTAACATCTTCAAATAGTTGCTTTCTCTTGCAGCCCAGATTCATGTTAACTGCAATACAAATATACCAAAATGATCCATGTCATAAAGAGTCAATGGAGTTTCATGTAGGCTTCTAAGGACCTAACACAACACTCTTCTTTTGCTTAAGTTAGGGATTAGCCATGAAGAAGTCTAAGCAGTTACAAATATACCAAAATGAATACTGCAAAATGTTTCTTCAGCTTATCATCTATTGCCTTGTAAACTAGAATGTCTCTGAACTTGTTAGAGCACACAATCTAATCACATTATTATTCATAAGCGCAAGTGTTCTCTTTTGCCTTACATTCTATATCCGTGGTTCTATAAGGAGTCATTCAATCAGATAAAAGTCATATATACTCTAGTCTTAACAAATCAACAAGATCACCAGCGATGTAAAGATGATTGCACGAAAAATTTACCTGGGTTGCTTTCTCTCAACTTCTTATTCTTAAGCAAGTCGATAGTTTCCCGCTGCGTCTCTCTAATTCTACCAAAATTCCCACCTTCCATCTCTTTACAAACCACATTTACAGCATCTTGTGAGTCTTGCCCTCCTGCAAAATCAAAAGTTCACAACTCGTTAGTCCTAATAATGAGGAGCTGACTCGGAAGCATTAATATTAGCACGGATATAAGACACAGCACAATAAGAGCACTGTGCACCGACCTGTGCCTAGGAGGAAGGAAAACCATGTTGCATATTCTTGAGGATTAGGCACTCTTAGCTAGGATTAAGAAGGTGATCAAGCTATGGCGGGAACAATGCAAAGAAGAAGAATTTCAAGGCCATGACAATCAATGCACAAAATAGTGATCTAGTGATCTGTAAATATTTTTTGGACTGACATTTACAAAAGAAGAAGGATTAGTGATTTGTAAATATAAAAGTGATTAACATACAAGCCTCTGTATTTTTTCAGAATCCAAACGTCCACAAACTTTTGTCCTAAAGCCATGTAGGCAGAACAGGCACTAAATTCTTTCAGTGATCGTACCAACTCAAATTGTTATTGCGAGCATTCAAATAACAAAATTCCTCTAAAAACAAACAAACATATTGTCATTGTGATACACGGCACAAAGTTTATGATCAACCAAACAGAGCATTCTTGTTTCCCTCTTCTAACTAAAGTTTTCCAAGAAAGATGAAGTTCGCAATCGGAGAGAGAGGCATATCCATTGATCGTCACAGTTTTAAGAAATCCAATAACCCATAAGCATACCAAACGAATAGTTGCGACATGTGTGTGTGGCACACAGACTTACGCTTCTTTCCAGCTTTAAAGAGTCTGCCAGTGACATCAAGCGCATCACCGTCGTCTTTCCCAGTGGGCAATCCTTTAGCAGAGAAGAAAGAAAGGAGAGATTTCCAAGTAACAGAGGAAGCGACGAGGTCGACGCCTCTACTTATAAAGTGATCATTCAGCTTGATGGTCGATGGGTCGAGCCCAAAAGCTCGAGCTATGCACCCAAGGTCGATTCTCTGTTCATCCGAAGCAACTAGCAGCCGAACTACTTTCGACAGTGAAGGGCATAGCAGCTTGATAGCTATTGGCTTCCTAGCTGACATTTTCTCTCTAATCGCGCTAAATGATCTCTCTACGAACTGGCTTGTAAAGCTCTTGTAGGACTGTATATTTCTTTTTTCGTTAGGTTCCAACGGTTTCTCGAAGTGTCCCGGCGTACTACTCGGGAGGGGGATTCCCTGTGGACCCGGATCCGCACAACTCTGGGTCGGACATGGAGATCCGGGCTTGCTACCTTACCCAGTAAACCATTACGATGCAGGAGGACCAGATTGCATGTGTACATTGTCAAAGGTCAAAAGGACAGCTGTATTTTTATTCCAGAAACACGGACTACAATGTCCATATGCCTGGTAAACAGAGCACTGTTTTTTTTTTCTCCCCCATTCGACAGAGCGTTCTTTGTTTTTGGTAGAAACCCGAATAGCTAATGATTAATCTTCCCAATACGTACAAGTGGTAAGCGGCTTGATACCACTTAAATGAGGTCTCGAGTTCGAGTCTCAGTATATGTAAAAATTTCCGCTAGGAGACTCACTTACCACAGTCAGGTACGTGTCCAGATGTAGTCAGAGTAAAATTCCAATGAACTGGGTGGGCAAAAAAAAAAAAAATCTTCCTAAGACATAGACATCACCGACATGAGTTTTGGCCTCTCCTAACAAAGTCAAGAGCATTCTATTAAACGAGTTTGTTTCAAAAGTTTTTGATATTATTTTACAACTTAAATTAAAATATTATTATATTTTGAATCCATTCTTGCAAAAAATATATTTTGATAAAAACTAATAAAATATATTATTTTGTACTATCTCTCTTTGTATTTTTGTGTTAACGTGTATTTCGTACCTTAAAATATTCTAGGATGCAATTTTATTCTTAACATAGCAGTGGACGTTTGAGTTAGGAGAGTGTCCAAAAGGCAAGGGGAAGCAGTTGGAGGTTTGGGAGGACGCTAATAAGGTGCAAAATTGATTCATTTTTAATATGTTGAGGGTGAAATTGCAATCCAGAATATTTCATAGTGTTGAATGTAGCTGTCAAAATATTTTAATATGCTGGATATATTTTAATTTTTTTTAAAAATGAATTTAAGGGATTAGTCACTTTAAAGGACGTGTGGTTACAATTTACAATTGAGATTGAACTGACAATCTTTTACCTCCAAAAAAAAAACTTTCATAACACTTAACTAAGAAGTCATTGATTTATGCTATTTTTTTATCCCTAACAAAACCAATATGAATATTCTTATTACTAGTAATAGTATTTTACTCATCTGATCTTAAATATAAGAGTCATTTTATAGTGCAATTTATACTACAAAATGGGTCTTATATTTAGGACCAGAAGAGTAATTGATACGTACTTGGAAAAATATAACGTGTGGTAAAATAAAATAAAAACATTCTAAATCAATCTAGTCTATAAGAGGGAAAATAAAATCTGCATGAAATCTTTGACAAATAGTTCAGATCAATTTAATATGTAAGAGGGAGAAAAAATTTTTAAAAAATAAACATGGGTTCATAAGAAACCTTATAAAATCTGACCAAATATGTGACAACAAAAAAGAAAAGCGAAATTGCTCAAAATAAATGGTTTCATATTTATAAGACAAAATTTATCTCATACTCATTTCATATAATATTAAATTACTTAAAATAAATTAATTTAAAAAAACACTAAATGAATGCGACAGATGACCATAAATTAAATTACAAATCTCAACATTCCTAGTCTGTCAAAAATTAGTCTCAAATTCAAAATGATTTGAGGATATTTTAAGTTATACCAAAAAAAAAATTATAAATTTCATGATATCATATAGTGTGATATGAGTAAATATTTTCCAAACACGACCTTGGCGGCTTGGCTTATTGTAATTGCACAGATTGTTCATTACTCCTATTTTCTTTAAAAAAAAAAAGACAGAAATAATTTTTTTTTCTGCTGGATTATTTATTATGATGATGAAGAATCATATTATTACCATATTTTTTCCAACCGATTCATTACTCAATAAATTGTTTTTCCTCTATTCAATTATTTACTACGATAACGACAATCAAATTATTACTATATATTTTTCTCTTTTCTACTACTTCCAAGTGCACGACAACTTGGAGAAGGGGCCCTCCCGCCCCTCCCTTCATCACTTCATAGTAATAGTCTGGAGGATTCATAACCACTGTTACCTAGCCAATACTTCGATCCAGCTTTACCCAAAACATTTTGGCTTACCCCAACATTCCCCACTTATCCAGTTGTCGCTGCTCCAGCAAATTGTCTACCTTTTTTGAGTATGATTTCTATGTTACGTATAGCCATGTCTAACCACTGCTCCCATTATTCATTTCTTTTTCAGCTTTTGTGTTGAGTTTGTTTTATAGTTGCACATCCATTTGAATCAAGCACAGCTTTTCGTACAACTATAAGCTCATGCATTCGAGAAAAAGAATAATACATCAAATTATAGATGCCAGTCCCCTAAATTCAGCACAATGAAGTATAGATGCCAAACCTCCAGAAGAACATCCAGATAGAAGAGCGTAATTGAACAAATCAATGAAATCAAACAGAAGTCAAGCAGCTACTTATCTTTTCTTTGCTGAAACTGTCATGCAATTGCAAACCTGTTTAGCATAGAGCATGCCCTTTGAGACATCAAATCCTCCATCGCAGCTTCCCAGATGCGTTGTCCTCTGAAGTACAAACCTGCAGCCTACGGAACAAAGATGAAATTAGTGATAGTTCAACAACATTATTGACTACCATGATCCACCACAGATACTACTGTGAGATCAAATCCTTCAATTAGTTGTCTTGACTTGACAGTTTAATTTTACTTTCAACATATATAATGCAAAAATGAACAAAAACCAAATTAACACGTAATCTCAGAAAAGAAGAAGGAAAATTGTGACAACTAAATAATAAAGAATGCCATGGCTTAAGAGTAAATAGCAAGACCACCATAATTGTAATCTTCCAAAAAATTGCAGAAGAGAACAAAATTAGAAGGAAAAACTCCGGCTCCTCCTACGAATGACAACTTGAAAAAACTTCATGCTAGCATGGATACGGTATTCGACTAGATGTTGCAAATCATACTTCACACAATGCATGGCTCATGGAAAAGATAACATTGAAAATAGACCTGTTTTGCCACTAACTTTATTTTGACTATCCCCGCTAAAGGATAAGCCATCAGAGTAACCAATTTTTACTCTGTTCCAGTTGGAAAAATCTACAAATAAATGAAGTTGATTTCTAGTGAAAACAGAACAGCGTGAGAACGATGGGAAACTTAGTGATGCTGATTGTGTTCTGAGCAGGATTTTCTAACAAGTGATAATGCTCCGCTTATAATTTAATAAAAAGACCCAAAATAATAGTTACCGAAGTTGGATTGAAGTGGCTGGTACAACTCCTTGGAAGGCTCCTTGCTGCTCCCCGCCACGAAAGATGCAGACCAACTTCCATTTTCAGTATGTCTTGGTTTACCTATGCATCTTGCTAACAATATTCAAGCAATTAGATGAACCCACTGAAGCATCCAACCAAGAAATTGACATAAATTTCTGAGTTGTGAAATTGAGGTCAAACCCACCATCTGGGTATAATACTTAAGATTTTCCATTTTTTCTTTGGAGACCCAAAAAAAAAAGAAAAGAAAAGAAAAGAAGAGGATAAGTGGGACAGGATGATTGAGGTAGCAGGCTGACAATCAGTGAGTATGATGCGACTTAAAATCTTAAAATCCTAATATAATTGTTCACTGTTAACTCACTGCTCAAACATGTTCAGGATATTGAGGCAACTAAGTAATTAATATAATACAAGAATTTGGTTCTCTGCTCTTCATTGGTTGGTCATATTTTACTTGATCTGTCATGAAATCAGAAACAAAAGGAAATAAAAAAGAAAGTATAAAAGAAAGAATACATATTCACATGCTTACATATAAATATAAACACTGTGACCTATGAGCATATCCAGTGAATTAAGGATTAGAATTGAAAGTCCATGTAATGATTTTTACCTGTCACGGAACAATCCAGCATCATTTAATCATTTGACTCTTGTGGTTGCGGGAAACAGTCCCCTAAATTCGTCACAGTGAAGTATAGATGCTAAGCCTCCGGCAGAACCTCCAGATAGAAGAGCCTAATTTAACAAATCAACGAAATCAAGCAGAAGCCAAGCAGCTAGTTATCTTTTATATGCTGAAACTGTCATGTAAACCTGTTTAGAATAGCGCATGCCCTGTGACTTTAAATCCTCCATAGCAGCTGCTCAGATGCGTTGTCCTCTGAAGTACAAACCTGCAGCCTATGGGACAAAGAAGAAATTAGATATAATTCAACAACATTCTTAACTATCATGATCCACTGCAGATAATACTATGAGATCAAACCCTTCAATTAGTTTGTCTTGACTTGACAATGAAATTTTACTTTCAACAAATATAATGCAAAAATAAACAAAAACCAAATTAATAGGTAAACTGGGAAAAAGGATATGGAAAATTATGACAAATGAAGAATAAAAATGCCATGCCTTAAGAGCAGATAGCGAAACCACCATAACTGCAGGCTTGTAAAAATTGCAGAACAGAACAAGATTAAAAGGAAAAACTCTAGCTCCTACAAATGACAGGCGGAAGAGATTTTATGCTAGCATGGAAAAAGTATTCGACTAGATGGCGCAAATCATACGTCACACAATGCGTTAGATTAAACAAGCCAGCTGAGCAAGGCATGGTCACTCGCTTTAACCTTGTTTTTGAGGTAAAAATTAAAATATGGCAATAAATTGAACAGTACACTACTGGTGCAGGCTAGGAGCTTTGAGGGATTTCCTCCTTTGTGTATTAGAAAAAAATCTCCAATTGTATAAGCCAATTAAAGGGAATTAAAGAATTTTTAGAATCAATGGAGCAGGCAGAAACCGAAACAATCGTTACTCAAGCATTTGAAGTAGAGCACTATACAACTTGTTAAAATCTCAGAAAATCTCATTTGGTTACTTGGATGATCAACGAAAGAGGCAGAATCTTGATAAGCAACCAAGGTTAAATCAATATCTGACAAG